TTGAAGGTCACGGGATTCCGTCTTGGAGCCGATGTCTTCCAGCTGCCCAGAATGCATGACTGTGCGACTGTAGTAAAGCCTGTAAGTCCAAAAGTCATGTCTCGAGTGCTGTGAATTAACTATGGACCGCATGGTATCAACATTGGTGACGGTACTCAATCTGGGATCGCGCGAGTTTGTCCACACCATACGGCTAAAACAATCAATGAGGAGGAATATATAGGTGCACTATAAGCTAAGCGAATAGCGGTGCGCCCTGTTAGCATACTGGCTATGTGTTTTCCCTGATAATTAATGCTGGGGATACTCGGTCCATGCATAGGGCTTGTGCAGCCTCGTCCCAGACATACACATGCATGCAGGTGAAATCGTCTGCCGGATTGGTCAAGAGCTGTTTAGGCATGAGCTGTCCAAGGAACAAAAGCATCCCATAAACTCGAGATATGAGTAACCTCCGGAATCACCTGTCAACTTCTGTACGTGTCGATTTCACTGCGAAATGGCCGCCGAAGAGCACAGTACATGACAAATGCATATTCCCGCGCCGCAAACTACGATCATTTGATTAACATTCTGCTCTGATCTGCTGTGAGCGTGTCGGAAGCTTTTGCTTGCCCTTGTGGTGTTCACCTGAAAGCTTGCCAACTGACATTCGAGGTGCTGCTTTCCACTCGTTTGGACCAAAGCAACGTCGCTCAGCTGTGGTAGAACCAGTGAAAGTCAATCGGAGAAAAGAAAGACGACCAGTTGTCCGAGGTTGTGCCGAAGGGTGAGGCCATGAATGCATGGGACGAAAGGCGTTTCGACGTGATAGAAACCAGGTGAAACAATCCCATTTCACATAGATTTGATCGGTCGACCTGGTGGTTAAGCTTTCTGCCGTTTGAGTTGCCGGCCTCATAAGCCCTGAGCGGCATTGGACTCCTGCGGGGAGCATTGCCTCGAACGACGGGACATGTGTCGGTTCTCAGCAAGGCGTTTCGGCTACGAAGTTATTAATAGTAGTATTGTCAGCTTCACCTTCTCTATAGCCACCAAAGAATCACGTGTCAGACAAAGTCTGATGTCGTACAAAGAAATACCGGTTCTTGCGTGTGGTGAGGCAGTTCCGGCTGTACAAAGCAAGTTGCAGCTCCCAAACCATCTTAAATATGGATCTAGTACTTTGGGGCCGACCCTGACATGGCTGACACCATCTGGTAAACAACAGAATCCCAAAATGATGATGTGCTCCGAAATACTCTGGACTGTCAAGTCATACCACTTCTGGCACCGAATGTGCCTACATTCTACGGCGCGTAGCACTTCAAGCTCGTGAATTGACCTGCAAGAGACCACCGAAGGACGTGAAGTCTCTCAAGGTCTCCAAGCGAGCCAGAGAAATTGATCACTCGCACGCGAGTAAACGTGCATGCTCACAGCTTCACTGCCTGCAACCCTACCCTCTCTCAAGCACAAGATGGGGGGAGGAGCATCATGTCAATGGAAACAGCCATCCTCACAAGCCGCCAAAGATAGTTCTGACCGTCGGCATCAGCACCGGCAGCGACTTCAGCTAAGACGATGTGACGCAGTTTGCCACCAAGCACAAGGCGCCAGCCGAAGAGTCTGCCCTCGATCTTTCAACCTTTCTCATTGAACTTGGACAAATGCATCTGGATCACACGACACGGCGAAGCCGCAGAGCCACGGGTGAGATGGTGTCGTACTCGGCTATGGGAGCCGTGGCAACCCCGTGCCCTGCCTGTTTGCATATTTCCAACAGCGCTGACGCTGTCATTCAGGATATGGAGGGAACATTGAGAATCATGTCTAAGCGGTTGTCTGGTCTGATGCTGTAGGCTCTGTGGCGGATCAGCTCGCCTGAGTCGGGTTCGCAGCATAGGAGATGTTCGTACACGGCGTGTCACTGAACTTTGAGTAAGAATGTACTTCTGATGAATTTCTTGCTTATGATCGCTACGCACACAAGTTGATTGAATAACCATGTCGCTAACCTTGCAACGAACACAATGCTAACAATAAAGGTTTGGGGGAGGGTGCGGCTGGACGGGTTTTTGTCTCTATATCAGGCCTGTGTTGCCTGCCAGAACTGTACGGCGTGTTGAACGTGTGCCAATGTTCCTTGATTATGTTCGCGGCCGAGTACACCACAGGCATGAGAGGTCTCTCACCCTGGAGCTGCGAGTAGTGCAACGTCACACAAGGCGATGGTGATGGCCCATCTCCTGGTTCCTCGAGTAGTCACGTGTCGAGCCTGTCTTCCACACTACACACGCTGATGCCGAACAAACGCCTTTTAGGGCAAAGGCGCTCAGACAGGAGGTTCTTCCCTACCATGGTGTCGCATTGTACCATGTGTCGGCTAAAGTTGGGATGATGAGTCGTCTGGTCTGGGAAGACGGGATGAGCTGGGCGGGAAACGACGTGTGTGGAGAGGTCGGCTAGTGCGGTCTGGCAAACCCTCTAATAAAACAAGGCCTCGGAACATTTTTGCAGTGAGCTAGCAGGTGCTACCTACAGTACAGAGCACCTACGTGCATGCTACCCCTTGGCTGACTGGTGTGCCCGACGGTTGATGGACGGATGGATGGGTGGGTGGATGACCGTTCGTCCGCGGGTTGACTACTTCCCTTACCCTCCCTCACCCTTCCCCCTCCGCCTGCAAGTCTTGCAGCTGCAGTCCCACACTGCAAAGGTGCCTTTTTAGCGCACGACGGTTGCGGCCCCCTTGTTTTGGATCCGCCGACCTCCACGCCCGGAGGGATTCCTTACGGTGGTGATACGATAAGCACTGTACTCAGTATGCACTGCCCGCCCTGCTTGTCCTGCCCGCGGTGGGAACTGGCACGGTGACATGTGCTGCATCCTGCGGTAAACCGCGACTGCGCATGCCAGCTTGTACCGGCGGTAGGCAGGCTGGACGAAGCTCAATTGCGTTGAGTGGTCCTCATGATCGATGTGTGCTACGTAGCTTCGTCTGCAATGAGATCACGAGTGCAACGAGTCCTGGGCCGGTGAAGGTCGGCCTCTGGTTTGGTCTGAAGTGAGGCGATCCGATCATGTCGAGCATGGCATTGCACGGCCGGGTCATTCATCCCAGCAGCTGGTGCGGCGAGACGACAGCGTATGAATCGACGCTCCTTCGAAAAGCAGTGAGTGAGACGGAGATGGAACAGAGATCTGATGTCGCGTGTACGCAATGCCGTAGCACCAAAACGAAGCACAGTCAGACTGTGTGCCGTGCTGTGCTGTGCTGTGCGCCGGTGGCTGCCACCAGGCCTGCCAGGCCAGCTTACATCGGTCCCATCTGGCCCCAACTTTATTTTAGACGCCGTGATGAAATATACTGCGAGCGCACAGACGCCAGAATCATCTCGAGCGCCTAAGCAGGCTGGGGGAGGGGGGAGGGTGGGCGCCGCTCCTGGCCTTCTGACAAGAAACCCTGAATCCCGACCTGCCACCTGGATTCGACTCGGTCCCGGAGGAGGTCTCTTGGGTACGTACCGTGCCGAGATACCTACAGAATGTACTTTCAGCACAGGCAACAGCCGAGCGTGCCTCACCCGCAAGAGCCACGTTTTCCATCGGGGCTTGCCCTGTTCAGGCAGCTTGTCCTGCCTGCCTCCTCCGTGTCCGTCCGGCACAGAAACCCTTACTTCTAGCCAATTCGGGCAGTTATCGCCCCCACAGACAAAAGTGTCACCTATTGCCAAATCAGTCCCACTCACTCCAACGGGCGACGATGATGTACATGTCGTAGCTGCAGGCTGGACAGTGTACTGTACGCCTTGGACACTCCGCATGCTTGTTCCCGTCCTTGAATACAGGCTTCGTGACACATTCCATCCTGGAGCGAGAGGGGAAAGAATGATATGCCTCTGTGACACTATACCTCTTACTACCTAGGCATGAGCCACGTACTTGTCAGTACGTTCATCGCACAAGAACCGGGGTGGCGGCAGCTACGGAAACCTCAGGCTTCTGCAGATGCGTGTTGTGTATTTCATGATGTGTACATGTACATGCAGCATACCCAGACGTCGGTTGTGCAGCACCTCGGAATACGTGTACCCAAGCAGTGCTGATCGGTATAGGGTACCTGCGGCAGGCAGCGCGCACTATTCGAATACATAGGTACTTCACCGCAGCACCAGAGCCCGAGAAAGGAAGGGGCACCCTTGGTGTGCATGGTTACCGCAGGTGGCCCGATTCGGCTGTAAGCAGGGTTTGTCTTTGGTGGGGACCCACTCGGTTGCGCTAGGCCGCGCCGCCCCATTCTTTTCAGCAACCAAGCGGGAGGTTAGGTGAGTTACTGTGCGCGCTGCCACTGGCAGGCTGGTGGTTTGCAGCTTGCCTTGCCTTGCCTTGCCTACTCGGTACCTAGGTAGCCCATCCATGCCCGTGCCCACCACCACCCCCCTACCCATGCCCCGTTCCCACCCTCACGCTACCAGGGCACGGCCGCCAGGGCCACCTGGTGCTCAGGCTGGGCTTGGCTCGGGTTCCCTAAAATCAGTCGTGCGTGCTTGCTTCTTGCTTCCTCAATCTCGCGCGCCTCTCCTCTTCTCCTCCTCTGCCCCTGCCTTGCTCCCGCCCTCCTCCACGACACGACACGACAAGACCCAACCCAAGCTAGGTTTGGAAGGCGTCTTCTTCATCAGCGACCATCTCGCCGCCGCCTAGCCTTTTCATCCCCCCAACGTCGTCACCAACCGACGGTGGAGCTCACCATCCCACCGTCTCCGCGAAAAAACACTTTAGAAGCCCGCGCTTGGATCGCAATCCCACAAAGACTCAGTCCCAAACCCACCACGACCAACGCTGGTCCGACCCAACCCTCGTGACCCGGACCGGCGCTCGATCCAACCAACCCAGCAGCAACACACGACATCTTTAAGCATCGTCAGCTGTGATCTTCGCTACTGCGTCGACACCAGGCCCTGTCGCCATTCCCAGACGTTGTCAATAGCAGCATCTACAATCGAGGTGTCGCAGCCATGTCCATGTATCCGCACCGAGGCATGGGAGGCGTCCCACCCGGAGGGAACGGCGCGTCCCGCTTGAACGAGCTGCTCGACAACATCCGCTCCGAGTTCGAGACCCAGGTTCGCCAATGCGAAAACTACGAGCACCAGAGTGAGCATGCCTGACCTCGCGACGAGGAACACTGGCGCCAGCCCGGCGCGACCTCCCCAGTCCCAGCTTCTAACATGCCTCACAGTTCAAACCCAGGTCAATGAAATGCAATTGGTTCGTGAGAAGGTCTACGCGATGGAGCAAACCCACATGGCGCTCAAGCAGAAGTAGGTCCCTCCCTCGAGCTCGCCATTGCGCCCGTGCAACGTCCGCTGACCATCGTGCCTGGCAGGTTTGAAGAAGAGGTCACCCATCTCCGCCGACAGCTCGAACAGGCCAGAGGTGGCGCTCCCCAGGGCGCCATGGTCGGCCCGCCTCCCCATCAGGGTCCTCCACAAGCTCCTCCCCCGGCCATCGGCATGGGCACCAATGCCTTCAGCGCCATCATGTCCGGCCAGGGTGGCCAGGGCGGTCCTATCCCCCCGCCCCCTCCTCCGCCTCAGGAGCAGCAGGGCCCTCCTCACCAGATGCCGCAGCCTCCCCCAGGGCTCCAGGGCCCTCCGCCGCCCCCTCCACCGCCATCACAGGCGCCCCCTTTCCAGCAGCAGTACCCCCAAGGCCCAGCTCCGGGTGGTTTCCCATCCCAGCCTCCCCAGAGCACCGCCAGCCCCGGCCCCGGTAAGCGCGGCGGCCCCGGTAGACCGCCAGCTGGTGGTCCCGCGACTCCTCAGATCAACACTCCAATTCCGTATCCGGGACCCGGAGGCCCGGGCCAGTCTCCTCAGGTCGGCACCCACCCGACCCCGGACCACGCCAGGATGGCCCAGCCGCACCATCCTCCCAACAACGCCCTTGGTGATCTCGATGTCGAGCGTCTGGCCCCTCAGCACAAGAAGGCAAGGGATGACTGGGTTCGTCGTCTTCAACCCGACTGTTCCACGCATGCTCGATGTAGACCTGGTCCACACCCTGGCGCACGAGAGCGTTGTCTGCTGCGTTCGCTTCAGCATGGATGGCAAGTACGTCGCGACTGGATGCAACAAGTCTGCCCAAATCTACGACATCGTCTCTGGAGACAAGATCTGCGTGCTGCAGGACGATAATGCCGACACTGGCGGCGACTTGTACATCCGAAGCGTCTGCTTTAGCCCCGACGGCAAGTACCTTGCCACCGGTGCCGAGGACAAGTTGATCCGGGTCTGGGACATCCAGAGTCGCACTATCCGAAACACATTCTCTGGCCACGAGCAGGATATTTACAGCCTGGACTTCTCTCGTGATGGCCGGACTATTGCATCGGGCAGTGGCGACCGCACAGTCCGACTTTGGGATATCGAGACATCCAACAGTGTGCTGACACTCACTATTGAGGATGGCGTCACTACTGTTGCCATCTCTCCCGACTGTCGACTCGTCGCAGCTGGTTCCCTCGACAAGAGCGTTCGTGTCTGGGATATTGCTACGGGCCACCTTGTTGAACGCTTAGAGGGCCCTGACGGTCACAAGGACAGTGTCTATAGTGTCGCATTCTCCCCAAGTGGGAAGGACCTTGTGAGCGGCAGTCTGGACAGGACCATCAAGATGTGGGAGCTTAGCTCCTCCCGGCCTGGACAAATGAACCAAGCCCCCAAGGGTGGACGATGTGTCAAGACGTTTGAAGGCCACCGGGTAAGTTCATCAATCAAGCGATACTTCAGGCTGTGCAGTCTAACATTTCTTAGGACTTCGTTCTCTCTGTTGCTTTGACGCCAGATGCCCAGTGGGTCATGTCAGGGTCCAAGGACCGAGGGGTGCAATTCTGGGACCCCAGAACCGGAAACACCCAAGTCATGCTGCAGGGCCACAAGAACAGTGTCATTTCCGTGGCACCGAGCCCCACCGGGAACTACTTCGCCACTGGCTCCGGAGACATGCGCGCTCGTATTTGGTCGTACACCCGAACCGGCCCTTAGTTGGACAAGCCGGCCAACTGTCACAGACACAAGCGACAAGACGTTGATTCGGACTGCGATCCTCCTGAAGAAGATTAACAGGAACCGGACGAGAAGTCTGCGAGCTTCTTCGATACTGCACGATCTTTCTGACAATATGCAGACTCGTCCTCGGTCTTCAGCTACACAATTGAGGCCCATGTGTTCTCTAGCTTGTGCTATGCGCTCGCATCGATTGGATGGCAGCAGATGACCTGGGCTGCCCACTCACACTTGGAGACAGATACTCCCAGGCACTCATCTTCAATTTGGGTAAAAGACTTGGTCGGGCTGTAGTCAAAAAGAAACCAAAAAAATTGAGATGGAAGGCGGGCATGGGATTCTTAAGGCAATGGAAGTCCACGCATGGGGGAAATGGGCAGGATCCTGGGGCAAGGTTCCGAGTGTGACTTTCGTAATGACTAGATGTGTAGTTTCAACCTGCAATGATACTTTCCTCCACTTTGGATGCGTGTTTGCGTGTGCGTGAATGGTCGGCGCCCCTTGAAGAGTGAGAGCACACCAAGGCTTCACGCGCCCAGGGCAGGGCACAGTAATGGCAGCTGTACAGTACGTCAATTCTACATGAGAGAGCTAAACAAGTCATCAAACTCGTCGCCTCCTTTCTTCTTTTTTTTCTTCTTGGCCTTCTTCTCGTCCCTCGACAACTCCGGCCGTGCCGGCTTCTCAGGCTTGGCTATCCTCGACGAGCCAGTGTCATCCGCTCTGGGCCTCTTCTTCCCTTTACTCTCACCCTTCTCGGGCCTTTTCTCCTTGGGAGGCGGCGACGGACGCCGGGGCCTCCCCGAGGTGACGTCCTCTTCCTCGCCCTCGTCATCGTCGCCGAGCTCGTCCCTCGAGATGGCAACCCCCAGGTCGTCCTCGTGTCCCGCGCCCAGGCTGCTGCTTGCGCTGCCGCCGACCTGCGACGCAACTGGGCCGTCTGCGCGCCGTGCAGCCATCCGGGCTACTACCGCCCGGGCGGGGTCCTGTCCGGCCGCATCGTTCTCGTCGTCGCCCCCCGGCGGCTCGGCTGGCCTCACGAACGGGGCCACGGACGCCTCCACTTGTGCCAGCACGCCTATGAGCATCAGGCCCAGCTGGGCGAACTGCCTGTCTGCCAGGAGCTGCGTGAAGGCCCTGTTGTTGGGACGCGTCAGTAAGATGCACTCTCTAAGAAATAAGAAAAGGAAAAAAGAAGGAACTCACTCGAATGCCTTGATGGCCACAACGTCGTGTACCCACTGCGCCCTGGCCTCCACCTTCTCCAGCTCCGGCTGCTTGGCGCCGGCGCCGGCTCCCTTGTCGTTCGTCTTCCTCCGCTTAGCCGACGCTCCTCCTGATGAAGAAGAAGACAGGAGCTCAGAGCGCTGCACCGCGCCCTCCAGGTCAGGCACGAGTTTGCGCACGCTGCGGCGCAGCATGTCGAAGGGCGCCCACCATCGCGTGCCGCGGTGCTGGTTCTTGTTGCGATGGACGAAGCCGTCGAGAAGGTGGGCGGCTGTGGATAGGCGGGTAAGAGAGGACTGGAGGGTGGGCAGGTCTGGGGGTGTTTTGGTGGTGGCTTTTGTGTTGGTATTGGCCATGAGAAATGGGATCTGAGGTGGAGGTGGAAATAAATGGTGGAGTTGAGGTTTGCTGAGAGCCATGGAAGTTCTCAGGGATCATCATGTAAGTCGGATCATTGTATTGGAGATATTGCAGTTGAGTCCGGTATTGATTTTCAGGTGAGTCAGGGTTGGACCCTTACTGGGCTAGTCCAGAATAGGCTAGATTATCACGTCGGCCTTGCAATCTTGGAGAGTTGGACGGAACCTTGGAAACGGCCCAGTGCAAGGGTTCCGCCTTCCATAAACAGAATCTGGTAGGGACTGGGCTGGACCGTGTGGGCAGAATCCAGAATTGCGGGGGAGGGGTCCTGCGGGCAGCTAAAATTTCGCGACTCGTTCCTGCCGCGTTTTCCCTCCGTTTCGCGCAGGAAAGAGAGAAAAGATGTCGAGGATCACTTTCACAAGGACGTGGTCCATCCAGTCCCAAGTTTCAGACTGTCTCAACCCCCCTTGAGCGATCTTTTCGTCTTGAATTGATTCTCCAACCAGCAATGGCTTCCCAGTCCCTCCGCATCCTGCTCATCGGCAACGGGGGCCGCGAGCACGCCCTCGCCTGGAAGCTCAGCCACTCGCCCCTCGTCGAGTCCATCATCGCCGTCCCAGGAAATGGCGGCACCGCGACCTGCCCCAAGGTGACCAACAACTCCTCCGTGTCTGCCGAGGATTTCCCCGGCCTCGTCGCCCTCGCACAGAAGGAGAAGATTGGCCTTGTCGTCCCCGGTCCCGAGGCGCCTCTCGTCGCCGGTATCGAGACCTTTTTCACCAATGTGGGCATCCCGTGCTTCGGGCCCTCAGAGGCCGCTGCGCGCATGGAGGGCAGCAAGACCTTCTCCAAGGACTTCATGAAGAAGCACAACATCCCCACCGCCGCGTACGAGAATTTCTCCGATTACGAAAAGGCCAAGGCCTACATCGACTCTGTCCAGCACGATGTTGTCATCAAGGCTACGGGCCTGGCTGCAGGAAAGGGTGTCATCATCCCCACGACCAAGGAGGAGGCCCACCAGGCCCTCAAGGAGATCATGGTTGACCAGGCTTTCGGCTCCGCCGGCAGTGAGGTCGTCATCGAGGAGTTCCTGACTGGCGACGAGCTCAGCGTATTGTCCTTTTGCGACGGCTACACCATCAAGTCGCTGCCGCCCGCTCAGGATCACAAGCGCATCTTTGACGGCGACCAGGGCCCCAACACTGGCGGCATGGGCTGCTACGCGCCAACCAACATCGCCACGCCTGAGCTGGTGGCGCGTATTGACAAGGAGGTCCTCGAGCCTACCATTGCCGGCCTGAGGAACGACCGGATGCCCTTCAAGGGCTGTCTCTTCACCGGCCTTATGATCACACCCAACGGTGTCAAGGTCTTGGAGTACAACGTGCGCTTCGGTGACCCCGAGACGCAGACGGTCCTCCCCTTGCTGTCAGAGGACACCGATCTGGCCGAGATCATGCTGGCTTGCGCCAAGGGTTACCTGAGCTCTGTGGACTTCAAGGTGCAGCCCAAGTTCAGCGCAACCGTCGTCGTCGCTGCAGGCGGATACCCCAACAGCTACGCCAAGGGAACCCCCATGAACGTGGGCACCCCTGCTGCGGGCAGCAACATCACCATCTTCCATGCTGGCACCAAACTGGCGGGCTCCCAGCTACAGACAGCAGGCGGCCGTGTGATTGCTGCCAATGCCATCGGCTCAAGCCTCGAGGAGGCCGTGAAGAAGGCATACGAGGAGGGCATCAAGCTCATCCAGTTCGAGAACATGTTCTACCGCAAGGATATTGCGCACCGCGCATTCAGGAAATCTGGCGCCGCCCCAAGCGCAGGACTTACCTACGCCCAGGCTGGTGTCAGCATCGACGCAGGCAACGAGCTTGTTGAGATGATCAAGAAGGCTGTGCGATCAACTGCCAGGCCTGGTGCCGACGCCGAGATTGGTGGATTCGGTGGCGAGGTCGACCTGTCGGCCGCTGGCTATCGCAATGCGCCCGTGCTGGTGGGTGCCATTGACGGCGTCGGCACGAAGCTGATTATTGCGCAAAGAATGAAGAAGCACGACACCGTTGGCATCGACCTGGTGGCCATGAACGTGAACGACCTGATCGTACAGGGTGCCGAGCCCGTCATGTTCCTAGATTACTACTCCTGCAGCAAGCTTGAGCCGGCTGACGCGGCAGCTTTCGTCTCTGGCGTGGCCGAGGGCTGCCGGCAGTCCAAGTGCGCGCTTGTAGGCGGCGAGACGGCAGAGATGCCGGGTATCTACCACGGTGACGACTACGACGCGGCGGGCGCTGCCATCGGCGTCATGCGCAAGGAGGCGAGACTGCCGCGGCTCACAGGCATGGCCGAAGGTGACGTCCTCCTTGGACTGGCGTCCAACGGCGTGCACTCCAACGGCTTCTCGCTGGTCCGCCGCATTGTCCAGCGGGCCGGGCTGAGTTACACGGACGCGTGCCCCTGGGACAACTCCGTCAGCTCCGTGGGCGAGAGCCTGCTGACGCCGACGCGCATCTACGTCAAGCCGCTGCTCAAGGTCCTTGGCCAGAACCTCATCAAAGGCCTGTCGCACATCACGGGCGGCGGCCTGACCGAGAACGTCCCTCGTACGCTGCCCAAGACGCTGGCCGCCGAGATCGACGTGTCCAGCTGGGAGGTGCCTGCCGTCTTCAGGTGGCTCCGCAAGGCAGGCGACGTCGAGCCCAAGGAGATGGCGCGGACGTTCAACAACGGCGTCGGCATGGTCGCTGTGGTCTCCGCCGCGGACGCGGATCAGGCCGTTAAGGTGCTAGAGGCAGAGGGTGAGAAAGTTTACAAGATCGGAAAGCTCGTGAAAAGGAGCGAGGGTGGGGAGGGATGCGTCCTCAAGGGACTGGAGTCTTGGGCTTAGATATATAGATAGAGAGGGAATAGGGGTCTGCTTTGGCGCTTGGATTTGGGATACGGCAAAGGAAAAGAAAATTCGAAATATTGCTTTGTTGACGGTACAATTAGACGGAATGTCGGACTTGTGATGGCTACCACCTGGTGTTTCTTGCGAAAGGCCCGAATTGATTTCATCTCCATTTTTAGGATACAACCAATCGGCCGACTGCATCCAGATTCCCAGCTCGAGTTTCACCACTTAGAGCTCAATCACCTTGGTATGATCGAGAAACAAACCATTTGAAGGACTTAAACCAGGAGTTGTGGTCCAGAACGCGAATGAGCCTTCATTATGCGGAGATGGTAAGCTTCCTGCCGTTGCGCAGTACCTCGTACCAAGGCACCCGCATCCTTCGAGGACAGAGCTGAGCTTATGCTCACTTCAGTCTCTGTCACCATCACAGCTCGTGTCCCCGAACCAACCAGCCCCCATCATGCTGTCCATGCACCACTTCTACTGGCATCCCCAGCGACCGAAAACCTCTGCTGACGTATTTCAGGTAGAGCAAGAACTATGGGCTGTTCTTGCCGGGCATCGCGCCTCGTATTGGCGTAACCGTGGTATCGAACCGCGAGGACCAATCTCGCAGGGAGCTCCTCTCTACACCTCGTTAGAGAAGGAGAAAAAGGAGATCCGTCTTCTACAAGTCACGCGCCTAGTACAGTCTGATGGCCAAGAAACGAGTTTTGTCGGACAGCTGGTGCAGGTCGCCCTGGAGGACAACCCAACCTACGTTGCCATTTCATACACATGGGGCGAGCAGTCGGTAGTCGGACACTTTCTCGATTCGGATGGCGTTGAGACACCGCTCGGGTACAGCCAGGTGATTCTCGACATCGTCAGCACGCTTGTGCCGCCGGGGGGCACGCTGTACCTGTGGATCGACGCGATCTGTATTAACCAGGAAGACCATGATGAGAGAGCAAGCCAGGTCACGATCATGAGCGATATCTACAAGCAGGCACAGCAGGTCGTTATCTTTCTCGGCGTGGCTGACGATGCGTCAATCCGGGCGATGGACCTACTCCAGTTGACCCGGGGCTTCATCCAGGCCAACGGCGACGTGCTCCCCCCTCTGAACATCGAGGAGTTTGAGAAGAGGTCGCTCGGGGCAGGACTGAGCCCCGCGTACTGGGCGGCCGTCGCGCAGCTGCTCTGCAGGCCGTGGTTCACCAGGTGCTGGGCCGTCCAGGAGGCCGCGCTCGCCTCCGACGCGGTGGCCGTGTGCGGCCGCCACGCCGTGAGGTGGGACGAGCTCTGCCAGCTGTGCCGGTGGGTCGTGGACAACAACGGCCTCCTGTTCCAGGTGATGGAGAAGCACCTCGCGGGGGCGAGCCGGATGGCGTACCTCGAGGCCCCGTTCAGGAACCCGCCGAGCATCGCGGTCGCCAGTGGGCTGCAGCGTGCTGAGAAGGACCCGTCCATTTTGCAGCGGCTGCTTCTGCGTTTTCGCCACTTCCGGACCACTGATCCTCGTGACAAGACATTTGCTCTTCTAGGCTGTGAGTGAAGCGACCGTCCTTTCGAGGAGTGTGGAAGCTAATAAGCGTGTGATGTTCCCTCAGTGGCACTACCCACTGACAGAGTCGACCAAGACCTCCGGCCCAACTACAGGATCGCGGTTGAGGACTTGTACATCCAAGTCGCACGGCGCATTCTTCTGAGGGATGCGGAGGTTCTCATCCTTGCTGTAGCAGGGTTGGTCACCGCCGGTCTCTGCATCTTCCGTCCTGGGTGCCGGACTGGACCTCTCTGACGGAAGGCATGACTCTGGACGAGATCGCAGCCGCTGGCAACTACCACGCAACAGAACACGGCACGAGACCCATGGTGTCCTACGACTCACAATTTCCGAAGGTTCTTACTATCAAGGGGTGCATCGTTGACACGATAACAAAATTGAGCTCCGAGCGCCTACCCCTCGGGCGAGACGGCCGCCTGCGCTACGTCCAAGACACGGCTGCCTGGATGGAAGAAGTCATCGGGATGACAGAGCTCAACGAAACCCCTGAAGTCGAGCAGCCACAAGACTGCACACGCATACAATCTCACAAGACGTCCCTTTGGAAGACCCTGACCGCCAGCGGGCCGACTACGCCACCAGCCACCGGCCAGAAACGAGGCCAGCAGCAGCAGCAACAGCAGCGCGGGAGGGGCCCACCGACGGAGCGCGGCTTCGACAACTGGCTCGCAGAGCGCCGCGAGTGCGCCGCCAAGGGATCGCTGGACGGACTGAGCCTCGGCAGGGCCGCGAGAGAGGAGGTCTCCGGGTTTGCGTACCACTGTGACCGTGCCACGCGGGGCCGGCGGGTGTTCGTGTCGGCCGCCGGGCACCTTGGGCTCGCACCTGCGGGCGCGGAGGTCGGTGATGCCGTCTGTGTGTTTCCTGGGATCCGTACGCCCTTTGCCGTCAGGAGGGCTGAGATGGGGGATCCTGCGGAGGGGGACTATGTTCTCGTGGGGGAGGTGTATCACTATGGTGTTGTGTCAGGGGCATTTGGGCCGCGTCTACCGAGCGCACCTATACGGCTTGTCTAGATTTGAGGTTTGCTGTTTAGTCCCAACGTGTAGTGCGCTGAACTTTATACTGAATAGTATATTTTTTCTCTGTGCCCGTAGAGGAATGCTACAGTTTAGTGATAATAACTTTCTGCCGGTAAGGGCCTAAAGTCAAACCATTTCGATGAGCTGCCCCAGCTATAGTGAAGCGGTTGTGTGGACCAACAGGAATGAAACTCATGGCTCTGGACTATGAAAACCGCAGAAAACCGGCAAAGACAATGAGGATTCGGGTTTGACGCTTGGACTAATTCAACCCAACGTAGATTAAAAACAGGAATATACCCATTAGCAGACAATAGGGATAAGATGACGGGAGAAAAGGTAGTAGGCGAGCGTTCAGTCGTTCCTATTCTCACCCATACGGTGTCTGGCGCATATCTCCCCAGAGGAGACCAGATCTCCTTCGTCCAAGAAGGCCGTTTTGCCAAGACAGCGAGGCCTTCTATGGGGTTGAGCGGCGTTCGCAGAAGGCTGCTGATATGACCACACTGCGCACCGAAATGTGTCAAGGAGACGTATCCGCGCTTGTTGGTACGTACCTCTGATTCGCAACGGCTCCGGATCGTCCCAACTTCCAAATCATGACCGACGCGGTGCGAACACATGAGCGGTGACTCGACATTTTCGGACAAGAATAGATGTGGTAGCGATGCTTCAATTGAAATTTTGCAGCCACTCTTGTGGCCAAATTCAACCAAAGGTCGTTCAGGACAGAATCATCCTGGAACACGCATGATCTCCAACCACTTCACCCACACCTACACACCCACACCTACACACCTACACATCTAAGATTCTAATATCTTTATCAATGATAATATCCTTATTAACATAATGCATACGTCTACTATATTTCCATTTTAATCATATCAGAATAGTAGTATTTTGTTAGTATCTCACTATATTCTCTAAATTTTGATTGAATATCAATTCGTGATTGCATAGCGTGACCTATTTAGGAACCCTCTTTCCTTCGGGTAGGTTTCAATGTTCGACATACCCTCGACGTTCACGGGCATATGTTCCTCGCTTCAATATATCGTCATGGGGAAACATTTCTCGCTCCACTCTGTATAGTTCGTGGAGAGCGTATTGTTCCGTCAATACTCCTCTTCCTTCATTACAAAACTGAAGTATATCAGCGGCAATTTCCTTCATTCTCAATGCATTTGCAAGCTCCCCAAGCTTTGCCCACATCGGAATGTCCAGTTTCGGTCGAACATCGGTCTTTTGAAGAGCCAATAGGTAGATGACAACGCCGCACAGGGCCTTCAATGCATGTTTCCCCTTCAGTTGAATTGAGAGTAAGCCCAAATGGGAGTTGGTGATGGCCCAAATTATTTCAGGATGGAACTCACAAACAACGTAGCGTACTCTGCCGCGATATACGTCCGTCCAATATCCTAGCACTCGATCAGGTTTCTTCTCCCACACATCAAGAACTGCAGCTTCCACACTGGCAGAACGGCGAGTATCCATAAGCATTTCTTTGGCGAAGACGGGGTGAGTCAACAAATTTCTCCACAATGAGAAGGAAACGGACTCGGAGCTGATCGTTCTGGTATGAAAAAGCCAATATTTGCGTGCATATTCCAGGAGATGGAAAACTACCTGGGCCTCGGAGCTCTTCTTATAGGCACCACTGACTTCTGTGATTGTTTTCCCAAGATCTGGATCATGCTCACCTCGGAGGCGCAACAATCTCAGGGCCGCAGTCTTTTTCCACGATCCGTCCTTCAGAACATGCTGAACCACCGTAGTTGGTGCTTTGCCGACCGAGATGTTTGGAACTACCGTGGTGGATAACTGCCGATCGAAAACCCCGTAGCTCAGATAGGTCACTAGCAACTGGCCCAATTCCAAGCTTGCTTGATGAGAGGTGAAGTGCCAATCTAATGGAGTCTCGTTGTCGGCACCCTGGAGTAAGAATTGTGACACGCTCTGATGTACGAAGCGAACAGTGCCTTCCTCTTCATCAATGGTAACTAGACTCCCGCAAGATGCCAGGGCATGCGCGATGTTGTTGATTTGCTGCTGGGGTCTCCATGTGGCGTCTGCGGGTACAATACTGAGCGCCTCTCTCATCTCGTCCAATGTCAAGGGGCGTTGAGCGGCGACAAGAACCTTTAGCACTCGACTTTGAAACGAGGGACCTGTAACTTTCACCCTTTGAAGTATGCGGCTGAAAAGAGTATGCAAATCCCTAGGCATATCTTGGAGGCTGCGTCGGATAGAGTCATCTGTCTCGATGTCGTTGTTGCAGAGACAGTCGAGCTGCAAAACGACCCAGAGAAACCTGTGGAAAACCAACACCGTTAGCCGTCATTTCCGACCCACTGAGAGATGAACTAGTGTACAAACATTCCGTCTGCCCCTTTCAAGAGTGCATCTCGGATCGCTACAACAATTGTTGGATCACCGAAAACGAACTGATCGTCTTCTATCCTTGCAGCCAATTCCGAATCGATGAATGACCCTATGTCGGGATTGTCTTCCAATATGCTCAAGAGTCGTTCTGGGCCCAACCTTCGATACTTGGAATGTACGTTGTCTGTTTGTGACCTCAGATATGCAAAGACGAGCAAGACACAGTCCGTGGTCCACCGAACCATGTCACGCAAGGTCGAAACAACGATGTGTGTATCATTGTCGTCACAGTCGTCAAGACCATCCAACACGAAGAATACTCTTTTGCTGAGCTTGATGAGAGATCTGAGGAGGCCCAGAATAGCATTGTCGTCCAAGATTGGATTGTCCTGAGCGCAAATCAAATCCACAGCGTCGTCATCTACATGACGCGAAAGCAGCTGGCGACAAAGAGACCTCAAGATGATACTTGATTGGGAGCTTTTGCTGATATCGTGACGGATGAAAAAGTAGCAGACGGTACTGTTGCCGGAGAGAATCAAGTCGTCCACTACGTTCGCTGCAAGGACTGTTTTTCCGGACCCGACTTTCCCGGAAAGGACCATAATTGAAGAATGTTTGCTTGACTTGAACTCCATGTATTCTTTCTCAGTGGCAAACCACGTAGCATTCCCACGCTTTCGGGCTTGCTTCCAAGGTGTTTCGTGGTCGTAGTCCGTACAGGCGCTCAGGTAATCCGACCGTCTCTTGAGTTTCTGTTGGTTATCTCGTTTACGGTCCTTTCGGTCAATAAGAGCTCTGATTCTTGAATTTTCGCGAGACTCGTATACTAGAGTCTTGGTGTTCAGAGTGTCGACTTCCTCCTTGACATTTGCAGCGTATTGCTTTAAGTCCGATTCCGATCGTCGAAGTTGTGTATCAAAAGCAGAGGTTGTGAGCTGGACAAACTTAGACTTCTTGCCGTAATTCACGAATTGCTCACAGATGTTGACGACGATAATGAAATACTCCGTAAGATCTCGCTTTATCTTGTCGGAGCAGGAGTACAGCAATGCCAGGTCTTGATAGCGTGGGGAAGAGCGTCCAATTTCCATGAATAGGGACGAGAACTTTTCTAAATGCGAAGAGAATCCTATCAAGAGCTGTAGAAACATCAGTGCTGATCGGCCAGGTGGACAAGGAGTATAACGCACCGCTAAGCTTGTCCTCACCACGCACCATACGCCGCAGGCAGGGAGATTATGAGAACCACCAATGATAACGTCACCAATGGTAGCAAACTGTTGCACCGCCATCAACATATTCGTGAATCGGGGCCCTATGCCAGCTCTGGGAGTGCGCTTATTTATTTCGGCAGTCACGGTCATTACATCTTGTACTCCCGGGGTGCTGTTCTGTGCTTGTGACTTCAATGTTTTGAAGTCTGCCTTCGCCCGATCAGAGAGAGAAGCCTCGAACTGAGAAATGGCTTGCGCGAGCCGAATCTCTGGGGTCAGCCTGCCAGCAAGTCGAAGCGCAAGTGCCATGTTTCTCCAACAGTCGGACACTGCACTTTCATTGAATGTAATGGAGTCCTCGATGGGCACGATGTAGGTGGGTGGGAGCAATTCTGGTCTCAGTTGAAGGAGGAAGGATACAAGCAAGCCGAGATCGAAAAGTGGTTCGGGGGTAAAAAGGTGAGGAGACCCGGTTTCCCATGCACCATGCTGACTGCACACGCAGTAACTAGTTGCCTCTTGTGCGACACCAGCGACAGGCATTCCTTCTCCAATCAAATGCAGGTAAGCAATAGCAATATGCTAGCAAAAGTTTCTAGGCTTTCTGTTAGGTGGATTTGGCATCTCTCTGCAGCAAACATGCAGCTTACTGGTATATGCTACACTTTAGCCGCCACGCGCAGGAAATCCAGAGCCATGCCGTGCCAAGGGGTAGCCGTAGGGAGCCACTATGTCCCCTACTGTGAGAAGACTATATAGCATGTGGCCCTTGGAGTGACCATTGTGTAAAGCCCCTCTTCGCGCAACGGAGGAGTACCAATATTGAAGATTTTCATGGAGTATCCTTTGGACGGAAGAGTTAATTCTCCCAGAAAGAATTGCCAGGAACGGAAGGTGGTGGCTGGCGGGCAGCTGAGGATACCAAGACAGCCGTGGCTCAAAGTCCAGCAGTCAACGTAAATATCTGTGCGCTCGTGGTTCTAGCAAGTACTGAACAGTATAGAGATTTCTACACAGCAAAGGGTGGTGCAATTGCAAAGCACCATAATCGCCCCACCCCAGTGCCACGTTGCGTGCATGAACATGAAGGAGACGCAGCAAAGCTTTGCTCATGTCTCAATCCAACTTCATCCTGATGCTTCTCAGCGGCCACTTTTCGGGAACACTGAATCGAAGTTGCTAGAAAACTTTGCAACCCATCCCGGGTGCCTTGATCATTCAGATGGAGAAAAACACTCTGGGTGCTGGCGGCTCACATAATCTGCGGGATGGCCAGTACCAGTATGAGCCGCTGATCGCAGAGGACGCAGTACGCATCCTGGTTCTGGAGGCAGCCGACGATTTTGAGTCACCGCTTCGTTGTTCCATTATCCAACGCGGGCGAGATTCCCAGTCACGCAGTGCGAGTGGTTGCGAGTACTCGGCTGTGTCGTACACATGGGGTGACTGTGAGCTCTCCCATCAGCTGTTCGTCAGACACGACGCTCAGTCATGGCACTGTCTTCACATCACAGCAAGCGTCGACTCACTGCTTCGTCATCTTCGGGTGTCATATAAGCCAAAGCTTTTATGGATTGATGCCATATGTCTCAACCAAAAGGACGAGACTGAAAAGACTCAGCAGATTCCCCTGATGGGACGCCTTTACAGCGACGCGAAACGGGTTCATATATGGCTGGGCGATACCGAAGTCGAAGAGGCCGCTCGAGCATTTGCTATCTTCCGTTCCATCGAGCGTGAGCAGGAACCGAAGTTTGACGAGGCAGAGAGAATGTGCCTGGCCGAATTCTTCACACGACCATGGTTTAAGAGACGCTGGATCATACAGGAGGCAGTCTTCTCGCATGATGCTATATTCCGTCGCGGATCCCATACATTGAGCCTTTCGCGGGTGATGCTCGTTCTGAGGAAGACCTATGGCGTCGGGGATGATGCCCTGATGGCATATGGCTCGCGAATGCTCTTGTCAAGCGACGGCCTCGGTGAGACCTCACAAAAAGGGCTCCTTACCCTGCTGGTGAGCAACCTCCGAGACTCATTCTCCACTCCACAAATAAGCACACCTACCATTTTTCCCCCTTGGCGCCGGCTGCCTTTTCTTTTGCTCCAGCTGCCTTGCCGCTTGCCTCAAAGCTTCTGGCCAAAGCAGCTTATGGGACAAGCTGCAGACACTAGGCACCCCTTTTGGCTCTCTCCTGTGGAGTATTTCTTTGTTTGTGTCCTGACAGCTGACCCCGGAGAATACAGTGGGATTTAAATGAGTCTGAATGCTCCGACCCTCGAGATCGAATCGCTGCGGTGTATGCTTTGGCTTCAGGTAATCGGTGGCCACTGCGTCAGTATGACTCACGAGATTGGAAACAGATGTACATGGATGTGGCATCCTACCACATCAACAGCCATCCCCATGGATATTTTGAAATCCTTTGCCATCTCTGCGAGTTTGGGTCAATAAAATCAAGAACGGGCAGCATACCAGGGTAGGTTCCTGATTGGTCCACACGGCGTCAACAGCTACTTCCAGATACGGTTGTAGAATTAATGTCTGATTTCCTTTCGGGTGAGTTCCGCGACAGGGAGCTGGATAAATGGGGTCTCACTAGGCAGTTCTTTGGATCGACGGTCGGTTCAAGAACACGGGCAGAGGAGGCGTTTCGTTGGTTTAAGACCCGCAACTTCGTTTCGCCAAGTATCCATGCTTCAAGCAAGAGACTTCGGATTGACTATAACCCTCTAACTTTCTTGGATCGTGGTGGAATTGCAGACCGGGTCGTCTGTCCTTCTACAACATCAGATTTCTTGCAGGAGCCCCTTGCCGGCCTTGAGCCGTCACCCAAGTCAGCCGAGACTTATGAGCTGCCTCAAAAAGACTCACTACGTTTATTTCTAGCCAACATGCTTCGCAGGCGGGACCAAGCAGCCGACAAGCCCTGGAGAGATATGTCATCCTACATGAAGGAGATTGACAAAGTAGTGCAAGCCCACCGAGTCAATCCCGCTGCCTTGAGCGCTGCACACGAGATGGTCATCCAAGATATCAGCTCCAGCCTGCGCCATGCAGCAATATTGGAGATCCAGACGATGGCGGGATCCTACTGGGCGACTGGACCGCCGAATTCGCGTGTTGGCGACTGGGTTGTACCGATGATGTTCAGAGGGGCAAGCCAATTTGTACCAATAATGTGTCTCAGGCCGATCAACTTGACGAAAGCCGAGGAGCCGCGGCAGATCCCTTCTACCACTGATATGAACCAACGCTGTCTACGCTTCTTCTCGAGCGGAAGCATCGCGGAAGTTGGTTGTCTGCATGTTATTGCGAGGTTCGTTGGGCCTGCGAGCCGTGATAAGGAGCGACGTTATACGCTCGGCACCGGGGCAGACAATGAGATCATGCTGGATATAATAATGCGGGCTAATGAAGTGGCCAGGGGCAAAGGTCTACCAGGTCCTATTGTCTTCGACATCGTCTGAGAGGGCTACGCTGGCGCGCTGGGATCATTTGGTTGAGATGAGAGCTGTGCGCCACAGTACTGAGAAAACAAGTGATTGATGGTCATGAATTACCTAGGTATTGTCAAAGCAAAATAGCGTTGAGATAGACTGGCAAGGCCGAAGTGTGGCATAGCAATTGGGTGACAGTGTGATAAAGTCGTAAGCCTGTCCTGACGACATGGGATGGGATCTTGGGTGAAGTTGGACCCCACACGCAATTCGGTCCCAGCACAGAAGGTGCCTGCCGTGGGATGAAACGTGGGGAGGAGCTGCAGCCAAGTGGGCCCCTGGAGCTGCTGTGACAGACAGCACTTGAGCTCAAGGGGACCTCGGGAGCTCCAAAATCTGGGTGGAAATGGGGTAATCTGGACCTCGACACCGACTGTCCATTTGCAGTCCTGACCTCTTCTTGAGCGATTTAATTCAATTCTGACCATGTTTTCTTAATCTTTCCGTCCCATCAATCAACCTCTCCACTCTAGTCACCACCCCGACTCCCTCGACACGGCACAATGCCTCCGCCGAATCCTGGGCGAGACAGTGCCCGGTCGTCCGGTCCTCCTCCCGACTACAAAGCCATTGCCGCCCAATTCGCTGCAGCCAAACGCCGCCAGCAGGCTGCAGAGGCGGATAGCAAGAATGAGGAACCACGTGAGGAACAAAAGAAAGCCAGTCTCCAGCAGAGGCAGCGTGAGGCCCTCGAGGCCCGCCGAAAAGCCGCATACGAGCGCCGCTGGGGATGGACGCTGGGCTTCTGGGTCTGGATGCTCTGCATACACGTAATAGGCATCGCGTACTTCACGTCGGGGTTCCTGTTGACCAGATTGGTCTTGGACGAGAAGTCAAGCTGCGACGCCAATCCCGTGGATGGCACAGACGGAAAAGACCTCAGCATTCTGTCCGATTGGAAGGGACGGGGCACTGTGGACGGCGGGTGTTGGCACCCCAAGACCTTCGACAAGGCAGTTGTTGTCCTGATCGATGCGCTGCGGTATGACTTCACCGTTCCAATAGAAGACGACGCCGAGTTCCACAATGCCTTCCCCTTCCTGTACGAGACGGCCGTCAAGTCGCCCAACAACGCCTTCCTGAGGCCTTTCATTGCGGACCCACCTACAACGACGCTGCAGAGACTGAAGGGGCTCACGACCGGAACGCTGCCCACGTTCATGGAAATGGGAAGCAACTTCGCAGGCACCGCCATCGAGGAAGACAACCTCCTGATCCAACTCCGGGACGTCGGGAAGAAGATTGTGCACCTTGGAGATGACACCTGGGATGCCTTGTTCCCGGAATACTTCGAGTCCAACACCAGCAGGTCGTATGACAGCTTCAACGTCTGGGATCTACACTCCGTCGACAACGGAGTCCTGGACCATATATTCCCACTACTGCAGACGGACAAGAAGGGAGATTGGGATCTGCTTATCGGGCACCTCCTTGGGGTCGACCATGCCGGCCACCGCTACGGACCTGCTCACGCTGCTATGACGGCGAAGCTGCGCCAGATGGATGACTTTATCAGGAATCTAGTGGATACCATCGATGATGATACATTATTGGTTGTCATGGGTGACCACGGCATGGATCCCAAGGGTGATCACGGAGGTGAGAGCGATGATGAGGTCGAAGCTGCGCTCTGGATGTACTCGAAGAAGGCTATTTTCGGCAGGACGAAACCTGAGTTCGTCGCCCCGCCTGCGACGGCCAAGATACGACCTGTGAACCAGATCGACCTTGTTCCGACCCTTGCTCTCCTACTGGGAATTCCAATCCCTTACAACAACTTGGGCGCGCCCATTGAAGAGGCATTCGCAGGCAAGAAGGGTGATGCCTGGAACAGCCTGGCATCTGCGGCCCGTGTGACCGCTGCAGGAATTCATCGGTACCAAGCATCGTACTTTGCTGCTCGTGGCCTCGAGCAGACAGCTGAGGCTGCTGCGCCGGCTGCCCTTTTCGGCAACGCCGAGAAGGTCCTCAAGGACGACACGAGAGGGAAGTCTCGCGAGCTTGTGTATGCCGCATTCATGGACTACCAAGCAGAGACGTTGAGGATATGCAAGAGCTTGTGGGCTAGATTCGATGTGCCAAGCATGTTGATCGGCCTCGTCATCACTGGGCTCGGCTTGGTAGCACTGGTCCTCTACGTTACAAAAGACGAAGATGACGACTTTGCTGCTTTGGACAATATCGAGCTCGATATTGCTGAGAGAAAGCTCGAAGCCGAGGGTGTTGAGGTGAACTCGGAAGTCCCCTCGTACCAGACTCACAAAAGACTGTGACATTAGCTGCCCTGATTGGCGCAATACCGGGAGCTGTCCTTGGAACCGCATATGCTGCTTTTACCAACGCACAGGACTACCGACTCGCCGCTGCGGCAGCTGGTATCACGAGTACTGTCCTAGTTGTTGGCATTCTTGTCCGGACTTCCTTCGTGTTGCCCATTCCGTCAAGCATCTGGGGCTGGATGGCCGCCGTGTTTACTATCAGCCAGTCCATCGGCTTTGCATCAAACTCGTACACCATCTGGGAAGACAGTATTCTTCTTTTCTTTACCACCACGTTTGGCCTTGCAAGTGCACTTGCGTCTCTGAACATCGAGAAGCTGGCAGATCGATACTTCGCCGTCTACCACTCGATCCTTTTTGTCTTACTTGGTCGGGCTGTGTCCTTCTCAAAGCTCTGCCGGGACGAGCAGTACCCTTACTGCATGACTACCTATTATGCGTCCTCGGCCTCTTCCACCTCCGCAACCTGGCACTTGGCCATACCTTTCTCTGTCTTTGCCATTCTTCCCTCGATCATCAAGGCATACTACCTGCCTACCCGCTCCTACCACGGCCTGGCACCAACATGGGTTGGCTACGCCCTTCGCGCCGCGCTCTTCCTCTCTGCCGTGTACTGGACCATGGATACAGCAGACAACGAGAACTGGGCTACCGGTCTTTCCGAAGGCACGCTCAAGATCTTCAGTGTATACACCGCACAGCTGGCCCTGGCCATCGCCGTCGTCGCTGGCACGACTGCATTCATCTGGGCGCCGCCTTGCATATCCGTCCTAACGACCTCCACAAACGCCAAGCGCGCCCAGATTGCCGTCCTCGGCTACGCCAACGCCAACGGCGCCCGGTACCTATTCCTGCCGCTCAACATCATGACTGCTTGTATCATACTGTCGAAGCCGATGGGCGGGGGTGCCATGGCGATTATGATGTGGCAGGTCCTGTCGCTGATGGAAATCCTGGACCTCAATGAGCTCACGGGCGAGACCATCGGCCCCATCATGTTGGGCCTGCTCGGCAACTTCCACTTCTTCAAAACGGGCCACCAGGCCGTCCTCAGCAGCATCCAGTGGGACGCGGCCTTCATCCCTCTATTCTCAATCCGATACCCATGGACGCCGCTGCTGGTCATCCTGAACACGTACGCGGGGCAGATCCTCGCGGCAGCGTCGGTACCGCTGGTCGTGCTATGGAAGACGGGCCCCAAGCGCAAGGGCGTGCTCGAGAGCGTCAGCCGGGCCCTGGGTATCTTCATAGCGTACTACGCCGTCGAGTCGCTGGCCACGATGGCGTGGGCCGGCTGGCTGAGGAGACACCTCATGCTGTACCGCGTTTTCAACCCGCGGTTCATGATGGCGGCCATGGTGCTGCTGATCGTGGACCTGGTTGGGATTTTGATCACGTTGACGGGCGTGAGAAGCAATACCCTGTCCATCGCGGAGGTCTTTGGCATGGCGGATTAAATGTTTCGACTTGGGACGTCGCACGGTATTCAGCATCTGTCTCTCAAAGCATTGCATAGTCATCAAATCTCAAACGGGCGGGCGTTATGCTTTCATCTGATGCAGACTGGGGATAGAAGGGTTGCCATGTAGTATTATGCTCTTTATCTAGTAAGGTGTATAAAATCATAGCATGCAGCAAAACAAGATATTTAACGCAGTGTTCTCCCAGATCAATCATGGCCCGCTGTATTTGTCGAAAGCTGGCTCATTACACGGAAAAGAATTGCAAATGCAGGTCAGTTGGTCGTCCTTCACTACAGCATCGCGGTGTACAACAAGCAAAAGAAGACGGGCCAAAAAATAATTCGGGACCCAAGCTTGGCTGAGCTGACAACTACCGTTCTCCAGCGACGAACCACGAAATTCCTCCCAGGAGGAGAGCTGACCTGCACGCAACAGAGTCGGTCTCGTTACACCATCCTTCCTTGGGGCTAAGAGCTACCAGTCGCCCGGTAGAAGTCAACATTTGGGTCCCTCGCCGGGAATTGAACCCGGCCTGTGCTGCAGTTTGGGTGGTGGGCAAGCCTTGCGGTAGGAGGGCGTGGGACTCACCCCTGCACTAGCTGGTCTTCGTTTGTTCTTGTTTTTGGTGCTTCATGTAGGTTGTTGTTGTTGTCGGCGGGGGAGGGGCAGCTGTGTGGTTGACTTGCTATGTTGTGCGGCGCGGTCCCACGCGTCGACGCCCTGTTGACGTGAGGGTATCGTGATCTATCTGTGGCATGCAGCTGCCTCGTTCACGTTGCTCGAGCAACCTGCCCACCTGTCACAGCCCGTGCTGCTCCCATACTTGGTAGATCCTGTCCCTGATGGCTTCGTGGCCGAGTGTCCGTGGGTGAAACGTCTTGCCGTAGTAGGTCGGCACCCACCACATGTTCTGAGCCGTGACGCCGTCGTGCGCCGGCCGGAGTGAAGGGTCGCGATGCTTCGCCATGGCCATGTAACACAGCGCAAGCTCGCCCCAGTCCCCTCCTTCCTGGGCCCGAGCCAGGCAGGTATGAGGGTCGACCAGGGGCGACAGGGGCGATAGCACCTTCTCCGTCTGGTATCTCGTCGCATCTGGATCACCATTCGTCCCGTTCGGCCACGTCGTCTCGTTCCTCGCATTATCTGGGCCACCAACGAGGAAGAACCAGCTATCCGTCCGGTTGTACGCAGGCTCAAGCACGCCGGGCTCGCAGAACCGGTGACCCTCGAAGAGATCATCGTAATCGACAAAAACCACCCTCGGCGTGGCGCCCCTGAACCCCTCCTGAACCGACTCGACAGTCCGCCGCAGCTTCGCATTGGCAGCATCGACCAGCGCGTTCATCCGGCCCCTGATGTCCCGCGACAGCTTCGGCCCGCCGTACCACACGCCCAGGGACATGTCGTCGCAACCAGGCGTGTCGGCGTCGAAGAAGCGCGCGTACCCCGTGACGGTGATGCTGAACCGCGGCCGCTTCTCCCAGGCCACCTTGTCGAGCACCTCGTGCAGGATCACCGCGAGCCGCTGCTCGAAGACGCTGCTCTTCACGGCCGCGTCGGCGGCCTCGAGGGCTGCCTCGCAGGTGCCGCTGTAGAAGGAGTAGAAGCGGAAGATGCACGCGTTCATGACGTCGAAGAAGCCCATGTCGTTGCCGCCCACCGACAGGGTGGCGAAGTCGAGCGGCAGCGAGGCGTTGAGGACGTCGACCTGGCCCCCATCGTGCGCGCTGTGCTTGCCCCCGCCGCCGGAGAGGATGTCTGCCGTGACCGCGCCGGTGCACGAGAGCCACTGGAAGGTCGTGTTGGGGCCCGTGGCGTTGTTGAGGTCGCGGTGGATCAGCTCCGGGTAGGCGTGCACGCCATGGCGGCAGTCGCCCTCCGATGGGAGCTCCTTGTCGTCTAGGCCGGTGCCTATACCGGCGCTGTAGCTGTCGCCGAGGGCGACGAAGCCGCGGGCTTGTCGGTTGATTAGTCCGCTGGTTCCGAGGACTTGTTGTTGGTGTTCATGATGTTGGATGAGGCTTCCGTCCTGAAAAGGAGACGATGCCCAACAAAACGAAATCAAAACAGATATGATGAAAACATAAGCCGGCATGTTTGCTATCGGGCCGCTCATCGAGCGAACCTCATATCACCGGTCGATTATGAGTGAGACTCTGGTCTCTGCCGCGGATGGCTTCCATCGACACTTGTTGTGTTCTGGATGAGAAAGCCGAGGAGATAGGAGGCTTGTTGCCCGGGGCTCTTGACAGAAAGGAGCCCCGAATGAGAGATATGCATACCGGAATGATGCGAGGTTCACGTTTGCCTGGATGGCGGCGCGCGTGACGAACTACCACCGAGTAGTGGCGGCTGAGGTGTGTGAGATGACGAATGGCTTGAGCCAATCGGCTCAGCACATGTTGTCGTTCGGGCGGCCCAGCGGCCGGATCGAGACACACCTCGTTTGCTGGTAGGGCTGCAGGTGGCCACGGCATGCAGGCAACTTATCATGCCCAGAGTTTCCATGAATCTACAACTCAGGATTTCTTTCCCACCAAGTGCCGGGAATTGGGGCCCGAGTTGGTTTGTTGAATATGACTTGGAACAATAACCGTTACAGGTGAATGCAGGCAACGAATGACCTCAGTCGGTCATATCATCTCACGGAGTGGACTAGCCCTGCTTTGGTATTTATGAAGACGCATTGCCGATCAAGGTTTTGCTGCATGTTTTGCCGTTCAGTATCGCCGAAGATGGAGATGTTGCTAACGAAATATCGACCACAGATCATTATGTGAGTATTCATGCAGCCCACAGCGGGGAGGAGAAGTTCGCCGTTGTCTACTTCAGCGGTGGTTTCACTTCTCCGTTTGGCTTCAGGATCGTGTAAGACTTGAATCGTCCCCCGTCGGCAGCATGCTCCTTCGCACCCTCCACGTCTTCTATTGTGTCGAAGGTCTTGAACTCGGACCCGCCAGACTTGCCTATCTTCAGAACACCATCGTTGATCAGCTTTACGATCCTGACAAGCGTGTCCCGCGTGTTGGCCCATCGTGCCAGGATCTGCCAGTCAAGATGGAGAGCCGTCTTGTACGGGGGCTCGAGCTTGCCGTACGGCGCGCCGCTGAGGACGATCCGGGCCCACGGGTTGGGCGTCTTCAGCGCGGCAGGGAGGTACAGCGGCTTCTCGAACCAACCCGGGGTCCAATCGTTGAAGACGTCCACTCCCCCCGGCGCCAGCCTCCTGATCGCCTCCGCGTCCTTGTCCTCGTCGCCGCTCATGGCGATGTACTGCAGCTTCTCCGGGCTGCCCAGCCTCTCCCTCATCGTCCTGAGCGTCCCCTCGGACCGCCCCAGCATGATCACCCTGACCCCGGACAGCAGCGCCAGCTCGACCGCCGCGCCGCCGAAGCTCCCCGTCGCCGGGCCTATGACTACCGTCTCGCCGACCTGCACCTTGGCCGTCTCGAATATCGCCCCGCCGGCGATGTTATACAGGATGATCGGCGTGAGCTCCTCGGGCGCGTGGCCCTCCTGGCCGAAGAGGTACTCCTTGTTGATGAGGTGGCACGACTCCAGCGGCGCCTTCATGACCTTCTGCATGCTCCCGTCCCGCCACTCCCCTTGCATCAACTTTCTTCCCTCGGGGCCCTCCCCGCCATGGTGGCCCTGCACGATCTTGACGAGGGCGTCGTCTCGGGCATGCACCGTCCCGTCGACCCACACCCAATCCCCCGGGCGGATCCGCGCGGCGTCGGGCCCAACGTCGAGCACGCGGCCCACACAGTTGGCGTTGGGCACGAGGGGGAGCGCCAGGTTGAGCTGTGGGATCTCGCCGCGGTGCACCTTCGCGACGTAGGGGAGGATCAGCGTCGCCACGACCTGCACGACGGCGCTGCCTGGCCCTGCCTGTGGGGTCGGCAGGTCGACGACCTTGCCTGGCTCCTTGAAGGAGGAGAGCCAGTAGCCCCTGTTGGTGAACCCGCCGGGTAGCAGTTGCGGCGACGACATGGTTGGTATATCTGGCTCGGGAAGCTACCTAGGTAATACGGATACCTGCTGGTGGCATGGATTTGTGCGTGTGACTCGTAAGTACCATACCAGATGGTGCGTTGCTATTCATATATCGCCAGCTCGTCGCCTTCGCGCTTTTCGTCCTGTCCGAAGTGCCCCGGACGGAAGTCTGAGCTGGCCCATGGGAATGTGTTGAGGAAGGGAGGCCGGAGTTAAGAGGCGGAGGCGGGCCCGGTGAGCTCAACGTCGACTCGGGCTGGGTGCATTCGTCAACGACGGACGGGCCACTGCAATGTGAGGAAGGCCGGGTTCCGCATCGAGTTCCGCGCTCAGTTCCGGGTTCTTTCCATCCCATGGAAACTCTTTGCTTCTCCCAATTTGACACAAGGGACTTTTTTTTTTGTTGATGTACATGACCGTTGTGCTGTACTTGAGCCATTTTTTTAGAATAGAAAAACGTCCCGGACTTGAGAACGCCTGTTTAAGCAGTGGTGCAGCACGTGGGTGCAAGCTGTGCTGTGAAACAACTCAAGAGCCTGATACTCATTCCAGGAGCTCTGTCGTATGAACAAAGTTCTAGGACTGCTGTAGAGGTCATTGCATGGTTGGCTTCAGTTTTCTATTTTGAATGCTTGCTGAATTCATTTTTTGGTTCGGCTCTTAGCCAGAATACTCCATGAAACCTGAATAGGGTGGCTACTTAAAAGAATCCCTACAACTTTCGATCCCTTTGAGCGTCGGAACAGCTCCATGAGCCTGCACTGGTTTCCAAAAGCGTGTTAGAAACTCTGATCTTTGGACCCTTTTCAAAAATGGAGCGGTTTTGGCGCCGTCTCATATGAAATCCTCTCGACGTGGACATAGGCAAGACTAGAGTTGTACTAAGAAAACAGCAGTGATGATTCGAAGTTAGTGCTTGAGCGAAGATTGTCCCCGGCCATCAAGTGACTTGGGTAGTGTTTCCAGTGACGTGGCCAGTGCTGTTCACAATGTTTTCCTCTGGACTTGCAGAGTCTGTGACATGCCCTTCTAAGTGACAAGTCTTCGTAGGTGACATATCCTTGCGTGTGACAGGACGTTGTACTTGAAATGACCTGCTGTGTGATGTGCCATCACAGATGAGATGCTAATATTCTTGCACGACAGACGCATGAGGTCGTGGACAGTCATTGTGAATCCGGTTCAAACTTTGTGTTTCAAATTCTTGGGTTCACATCCTTACACGGCTGGCTGTCGGGCTCGCTGGGCAGCTTGTCATCCAAGAACTTATAGAGCACGAACAAATATGTTGCTTCGGACTCCTGGAAGCCCAGGCGGGAAAGTTCATCTGAAGAGGAAAAGAAAATGATGCAGTTCGTCCGTGACGAAGATGAGCTCTTTACAAGGGAAGCGCCCAACTTCGAACAATGGATGGCAGGGTTGGCTTGAGAAGGCAAATGAGAGGACAGAGAGAAAGGAAACATTCTAATATGGTCTGAAAATCATTCGTATGAGAGTGGGGGCCCAATAAGGATGTTGAAGGTGACAGCAGCGATGGTGAAATTTCAGACCCGCACCCCTCAGTGTATGTATTCAGCAATTTCAGAGGGGGTGCCTGAAAAGCAATGAAATGAAAGACTAACCCAATTGGGAAGCTAACGCTTACCTAAAAAGGTTAGTATAGTTAAACTAGATAAGCTTATCTAAATAAGATAAGATAGTCTTATTTAGGCCTTATTTAGGCCTTATCTGGCCTTATCTGGGTCTTATCAAGCCTTATCAGGCCTTATCAGCGAAAGCGTTTCAGACCCACCCAACTGGGTGGAAGGAAATTTCACTCGGGCCGGTGAAAGAAATCGAAATGAAAAATTCACCACCCATCGCTGGGTGACAGTCTCCTCCAGTGGAGCTTACCTGATCCCTGTCCTTTTGCATCACAGCGGTCCAGCTGCACAATCGATCAATGCATGTCAAGCAAGTACCGCCATACCGCGTTGGCCCCTCCGCAGTCGGAAGAGGTGCATCATTCTGGACAGGGGTTGGAATTTCAAGATCTGCAACGGACTCTTGCAGGCACACACGGCATGCAGGTTAGTCATAAGCTTTTGGGACGAGGCCATAACAAATTTTGCCAGACCTTCTCAATCCCTCTCAACTCCACTTGGACTTACCGACAGAAACCCAGGCTACAAGGAGGACTGTCCAAGGAGAGCACCATGTCGTCCCAGCTTCCCGATCCCACAGAAGACCTGGATTGGTCGGGCTTCGTCGGCCCAATCCACGAGCGCTTCAGAGCCTCCGCCGAGGCTCACCCGGACAGGACAGGACGTGCATCGTCGAGACCAAGACGTCCACCTCTCCCAACGGTCCGTGGACTTGGTCGTGTGCATCATGGGAACCCTGGTAAATAACTGCAAACTCACTCAAATAACGAAGAACTCAAGCTAACGCAATTCCTCAAGGCATCTGGTGCTACCATGACCGTGCTTGACCCGGCGTACCCTCCAGCCCGCCAACAGGTGAGTCACGGCCCAGGGGATGGGATGATGGCCCCCCTGCAAGCTGGTTCAAAGCTTGACCGCAGGACTTGTTGGACAAAGCGACTGAAATAATTCCGTTAAGTCTATCTTGAAGTGTCTCAACCACGAGCGCTGATCAGAATTGGCCGGGCAACAGACGAGAACGGCCCCTTGGCTCCTCTTGTCCAGAGCTACATCGACGAGTCGCTCCAGCTCAAGGCCGAGGTGCCCGAGCTCCGCCTTCGTGACGATGGCTATCTTTTTGGAGGAGAAATTGACGGCCAGGATGTCTTCCAGAGCGCAAGGCAGAAGGCGTCGTCACCACCCGACGTTCTCGTGGGGCCAGACTCGAACCCCACACTGTCTTTCACGTCAGGGAGTGAAGGGCGGCCCAAGGGTGTACTCGGTCGGCTTTACAGTCTGACAAGGTACTACGGCTGGATGGCAGAGCGTTTCAACCTGTCTTCTGAGAGCAGATTCACCATGCTCTCTGGAATTGCTCACGACCCTATCCAGAGAGATATCTTCACGCCACTCTTCCTTGGAGCACAATTGCTTGTCCCAGCCAAGGAGGATATTCAGCACGAGAAGTTGGCAGAATGGATGAGCGAGCACAAGCCAACAGTGAGCCATCTGACCCCAGCTATGGGTCAGATCCTGGTCGGCGGTGCCACGGCCCAATTCCCTAGTCTCCAGAACGTCTTCTTCGTCGGCGATGTTCTGACAACGAGAGACTGCCGAGTGCTGAGGCGACTCGCCGTCAACGCAAACATCATTAACATGTACGGAACGACCGAGACGCAGCGAGCAGTCAGCTACTACGAGATCCCAAGCGCCTCCAAGGACCCTGATTACCTGAACAAGCTCAAGGACACCGTTCCTGCCGGAAAGGGAATGCAGAATGTCCAGCTCCTGGTGGTCAGCCGAGAGGATAAGACCAAGATGTGCAAGGCTGGCGAAGTTGGCGAGGTCTACTGCCGCGCTGCAGGTCTGGCCAAGGGCTACCTCGGGGACGAGGCGAAAAATGCTGAGAAGTTCCTCAACAACTGGTTCGTTGACAACCAGAAGTGGGTAGAGCTCGACGCAAAGAACAGCAAGGATGAGCCATGGCGGAAGTACTACAAGGGCCCTCGGGACAGGCTCTACAGGACCGGCGATCTCGGACGATACCTGGAAACTGGAGACGTCGAGTGCACGGGACGCGCTGATGACCAGGTCAAGATTCGCGGTTTCCGGATCGAACTGAACGACATCGACAGCAACTTGAGCCAGCACCAATTGATTCGTGACTGCAAGACGCTGGTGCGGAGGGATCGAAACGAAGAGCCCACGTTGGTGAGCTACATCGTTCCCGAGGCGAAGGAGTGGCAGCGCTGGCTCTCTTCTTTCAACTACGAGGATGTCGAAGACGAGGGTGTCGAGATGGGCACAGTGAGGGTCTATCTGAAGAAGTACAGGCGGATGCAAACCGAAATGCGAGACCATCTCAAGTCTCGCCTGCCCGTCTATGCTGTGCCGACCATCTATATTGTGCTCAACAAGTTGCCTCTGAACCCGAATGGAAAGGTCGACAAGCCCAACCTGCCTTTCCCTGATGTGTCTGAGCGTACCGAGGAAGCATCAGAGGAGGACCTGAAGAACTGGGAGTCCCTGACCGAGACAGAACGTGCTGTTGCCCAGAAATGGGCAGAGCTCGTCCGCGGTCTGAACCCGAAGACCATCCGACAGGATCAAAGCTTCTTTGACCTCGGTGGACACAGTCTGCTGGCTCAGCAGCTTCTCCTCATGACGCGCAAGGAACTTGGTGTTGATATCTCCATCAACCTGCTCTACGAATTCCCGACCCTGAGCGCCTTCAGCGGCCAGATCGAGAAGGTGAAGGGAGGCGCAAGCGTGGATGTCGAGGAGGGCGACCCGGAGTACGCCAAATCCTATGACGAGCTTGTTGAGATCCTGGCCGATAAGTATCAGGCGGCAGACGCTGGAGAAGCCGACAACTTGACGGTCTTCCTCACAGGAGCCACTGGATTCCTGGGCGCCTATCTCATCAACGAGATTCTTGGGCGGGCGAAGCCCAACATTAAGCTGATCGCACATGTGCGAGGTGCCAAAAACCCTGCTGCAGCACTGGAGCGGCTACAGCGTTCGCTCCGCGGAAACGGGGTGTGGAGGGACGAGTGGAGCTCAAGACTGAGCTGTGTCGTGGGAGATCTGTCCCAGCCACAACTCGGCATTGACATCCTCACATGGAAGAGGCTGAGCAAGGAAGTGGACGTGGTTATACACAACGGTGCTTCAGTGCACTGGGTCAAGCGGTATCACGAGATGATGCCACCGAATGTTCTCTCGACCATTGACGCCATGAGGCTCTGCAACGAGGGCAAGCCCAAGAGGTTCGCATTCGTAAGCTCGACGGCCGTGCTGGACTCGGACCATTACATCAAGCTCTCTGAAGACTTGACCAGAACGGGGCAAGGCTCGATCACGGAAGAGGACGACATGCTAGGCAGCCGGACGGGCCTCGGCACGGGCTACGGCCAAACTAAATGGGTGTCCGAGCAGCTGATCCGCGAGGCGGGCAAGCGCGGACTACAGGGCACCATCATCCGACCAGGCTACATCCTGGGTGACGCCGAGACCGGAGTGTGCAACGTGGACGACTTCATGATCCGCATGCTCAAGGGCTGCCGTGTATCATCAACACGGTCAACGCCGTGCCGGTCAAGCACGTGGCGCGGGTGGTGGCCGCGGGCGCGCTGAGCCCGATCGCCGGCGGGGTGCACGTGGCGCAGGTGACGGCGCACCCGCGGCTGCGGATGAACGAGTACCTGTCGATCCTGGAGTTCTACGGGTACAAGACGCCCGAGGTGTCGTACGACGCGTGGAAGGACGACCTGGAGCGGTTCGTGTCGGCGGGGCCGATCGAGAAGGACCAGGAGCAGCACGCGCTGATGCCGCTGTTCCACTTCTGCATGAACGACCTGCCGGCCAACACGAGGGCGCCGGAGCTGGACGACCGCAACGCCGTCGCGGTGCTCAAGGCCGACGCGGACCGGTACACTGGCGTGGGCGAGAGCATGGGCTACGGCGTGTCGAGGGAGGACGTCGGGCGGTACCTGAGGTATCTCGCCGAGACCAAGTACATCGGCCTGCCGTCCGAGAGGGGCCGGCCGCTGCCTGAGATCAAGGCGGACATTGCGAGCGCGAAGGCTGCTGGCGGGCGTGGCGGCGCGTGAGCCGTCAACTGGGTTTGATTTTTCAGAGGTTTAGATAAAAGAGAAGATAAACAGAATCGAGGATCGGCTGATTTTTAAAGATGCAATAGATTATCTCGCAGTCAAGGCTCCCCTAACCCTTTGTCGGGCTTGCGCCTTCCTCCGCCCTGGTCAGCAACGATTTCGGGCAGTAGCCCTGAAATCGCGTGCTCGGATCCAAGTCGGTCTAGCGTTTGCAGGCAGATCCCCTCGTGTTGGTCGGACTCAGCAGGAGCCTGCTCGACAACCGCTTCCCCCTTTCTGCTGTCGCCATAGACTAGGCCTTATCTAAAAATTAGCGGGCGCTTGAAGCACGACCACTTCTCTCTGATGCTCAAATGGAATATCGGCATCTCCTCGGTTTCCACGCGCTCAAGCTCTTGCCAGCCTTATTTAATCTGTTCTTTCCCCTTCGCCTTTCTATTTGACACCTTTGTTCAAGGCTGTCATGTAGAGTAACCCTTTAGAGGAGCGCGTCGACGAACAGGGATAAGCATCTGGCGTCACACAAGCGCTCGTTCTAAAGCTTGCTGCTGTTCCCCACGTGCCACGCCAACCCTCCTCTAAGTTTCCCCAGTTTCCGCCGGATCTCGCGATGGACAACCGCTTCGGAACCTTACCGGCAATAGCGACAGCCGGACCGAAACCAACTGCTCCTGATGATGCTGCTGCTGCCCATGCTGCTTCTGCACTGCCCTCGCCGTTCGCCCCTGACCCAGGCGGGGGCGACGGGCGGCAGCAGCCGCAGCATCAACGGCAACGGCAACGGCAGCAAGCGGTGCTGCCCCTCTGGGAAGCGCCTGCTGCTGCGAAGAAGCGTCGCGCAGGGGGTCCTCGCGAGGGCTGCACCATGTGCAGGCTGCGCAAGGTGAGACAACAAACGGCTCTCTTCGTGCACGCCTGCTGTGTAACCCAGCCCCTTACTAAACTGCTTGTTCGTATAGGTCAAGTGCTCGGGCAGACCGGTGGTCAACGGCCCCTGCGCCAACTGCTCGAGGCTGGAGCTCGAATGCAGCTTCGTTGACGCCGAGCAAGGTAAACAGGCCCTTCTATGTTTTGACCTCCTTTCGACGAGGACAGCTTCTCACACCGTACTTACCGCCTGAGCAGGCAAAGTATCTAGGGTCGCACCGTCCAGGGACCGCACAGAGGCTGGGACGGCGAGGAAACGTGCCCAGAAGGCCTGTAAAGAATGCCACCTCCATAAAACAAAGTGCTCTGGGGACCTCCCACGGTGCAAGCGGTGCGAGGCGAACGACCTGGCGTGCGAGTACGTGGCCTCGAGGAGGAAGTTCTCCCACGCGCCTACTTTGCAGTCAACGTCCCAGAGCGACGGCCAGGAAGTCGAGGACAGGCCTAGTTTAACGGACGTCAAAGACGACGCAAAGCCACTCATATCACCTGTTGGTTTCTCCATCTCTCCGGCCTTGACGTCCCAGACTAGGCGGTCCTCGGTGGGGAACCTGTACGGGGAGTACGTACCTCCAAGATCGTTTGCACTGGTTTTTATAGCTCACAGACTTGCAGAGACCTTTTAGCTCAAAAAGATACCCTGGTTAGGCATTTTGATGTCTTCTTCCAGCTATGGGCGCCCCAGCCCTGCATGGGTATCATGCAGCGGGACTCGACCTACATCGAGATTGATGAACGACGGCTCCATCCCATCGTGGCCGCAGCTGTCTGTGCCATGACCTCCCGTATCGTCCACCCCGGCCGAAAACAGATCCCGTTCGCGGACCGGTGCGCAGACCAGGTCGACTTCTACCTTTTCCGCGCCATCGACTCGTTCCTGCGCAAGACCGCCCACGAAAACCTGGTCGTCCTTGTCTGTGCCATCTGCCACTTTTGGCATGAGAACCAGATGAGCAAGGTCTGGATGTACATGGGCCTTGCCGCCCGCCTCATCACGGCCCTGCAGCTCAACTGGGACGGCGCGGGTGAGTCCCCTGTCAAGCAAGAGACTAACCGCCGGCTGGTCTGGGTGTGCTACATCCTAGATCGTCTGTTGGCAGGGGGGTTCGACGAGCATCTTGTGCTGCGCGACGACGATATGCACCTGAAACTGCCTGTAAGTAACGAGGTGCTGTATGAAGCCGTCAGTGCGGCAGAAGCATCCGGGCAGGCCCCAGCCGGGTTCGTAGGAACGCGAAGCATCTCAAAGAAGCTGTCCATGGATGGCTATCATCTGAGGCTCCACCGGTTGAGGCATCATATACTGGGGGTGACCAAACGACTCACGAGCCCACCAACTCCGCACCCTCGAAGGCCTCGCCTGGAGGCTTCGCAGGTCATCAAGCTGGTCAATGGCCTTCAGAACCAGCTCATCAGTTTCAGCCAATCACTATCTGAAGATTTAAAATTAAATGATGCCAATACGAACCGCTTTCTTAATTCGCCAGAAGGCCCAAGCTTTATCATGTTACACTCTCTCTTCTGGATTCTCCATGTCGATCTGTACCGCTTCACGATCCCAGGGATCCGTGAGGAAGCTAACCCAGAGCTATCAAGACAACTACCCAGAGACTTCGTCCTCAAGTCGCAGAGACAGGCAGTTGGCTACGCAGTCAGTCTCGCCCGGTTTTGGCGGACGCTACAAGGCATCGTGGCCAAGAGACCACCCGGGGACGGGACCGAGAGGCTCCTCACGGTGGACCAAATGTTTGCTATACACGTCATCCAACCTACTAAGATACTGCTAGCCGCAAGGCAAAATCATCTGTTCGACGATCTAGAAGATAGTACCGCACCCCTCGTGCGGCAGGGGCCGGTCGACGATGCGGCTCTAGCGGCACTCGTGGATTCCAACATGCAACTAATCCCGCCATTCGCTCGCTTCTTCCCTCGCATCATGGATATTGTAAGATGATGGCGTCTTTTCTTTACGCTCTGACGATGGTTACTTGTCGCTAACTGTGCCGCCAGACCCAAGACCTCCGCCAAGCGGTCGCCAACTTCACGCACGACACTCGTTACGATCAGCCGGAGGCGATAGGGTACGTAGACTCGCAAGGATTCCCTGCACAAGTAATCATACTTTATAATGCTAAGAAAATACTTCAATATCTAGCGCGCCCGCGGTCAAGCCTCACGCGGAGTTCAGGCTGCCCGGTCCCCATTACGTCCTCGAGAATGCCCTCGTCCAGCGCGTGCCGGGCCCGGACGACAGAGACAGGGAGAAGCAGAGGAACATGTCGGCCGCTGATCTCTGGTTCCGGTCCAAGAAGAGGTCCCGGGAGGAGAGCCCGGTGCTGATGACGCCACCGATGATTAGGCCCCCAGATGAGGTGGCTGTTATCCCACCAGTCAACGGCGCGCCCGAGATCCCGATCTGGCTGGCAGAGGCGCGCGGTTGCGACCCCCTGCCGGACACGCCGCCGCAGGACGGCGGCGCCGATGACGCGCAGGCGTGGATGGGCTCCTCCTCCCAGTCCGGAGGGGTCGGGCTGGGGCTTAGCAATGCGTACCTGTTCGACGGGTCCTGGTCCATGCAGCCGTCGCAGGCTGACTTTGATATGATGGCGGGCCATCCGTATGGGCAATCGGGCCCGACGACGCTTCTGTATGAGCGAGCAAGGGGGAGTGCAAGTGCTGCCATCCCTCCTGCGATGCATGCAGGTGGTGTTGGGGGCGATAAGAGGATGTATTATGAGAGGACGGGTGGTGCACAACTGCCCTATCCACAGCATCTCAACGACTTTGTTGGCTAAGGAAGAAAGGCTCAGTCACTACGGTGCAGGAAGCTGCGTAATAATTATCAGAAAACTTTCTAGGTATACAAAAGGAGCAGGAAAAAGAAAATCAAACTTTTTACACGCCTCGACTTTCCCATTAGCTCTTGGAGCTTTCCAGATCAACCTCTGGTATGGGAGAAAGTCGCTGCTATCCATCGTGATCCGCAGGCACATTCGCCCCCGCCCTCTTCCTCACCCCAGCGCGCTCGGGCACCCCGGCGAGGTTATGTAGCTCCCGCAGGTCGTCCCTCCGGCTGTACAGTTCAGGCGGCTCATGCAGCGGGTACCGGGTACACAAACGTCCACTCCTTGTCCTGGTGGCGGCCGACCTCCCGAGTAGCTGGAGCGCGGCCTTGATATCGTGCGGAAGCAGCGCCTGCTCCAGCAGCGGCTCCTCGCCCAGGAGGAAGCCGCCATCGCTGAAGGCGAACTCTTCATGCCCAATCACCTTTCCCACCATCGTCCCTACCAACCCCCCCCTCCCCCCTGGCGCCAGGCTGTCGGACAGGCCCTCAACGGCCACTTCTCGACCAGGCCGTGATCGCACAGGTACTCGCCGTGGCCTCGTGAAGAACATGGCCACAGTGCTGCCATGCGCCCTGGCCGCCTTGTTGCCACCGCCGTCACCCTCGAACGCCGCCACTGGGCCCCGCGCCACGGCGGCAGCAGCCCACGGCGCCGTAGCGCAGCTGGACTGGCATGATAAAGATGATGAACTTGGGCCTTTGGGGGTCCTTCATGCTGGCTGGCTTTTGGGACAAGCGGAGGGGCGGGGCTGGGTCTGATTGGGGGGCGCTCGGGCTGGCGTCTTGGGGGCTATATCTTGGGGGTTTTGTGTGTGTGAGTACAACTATCTATATTTAATGTGGCTCAATATGAATGGGCCGTCGGTGACTGTTCATTTAGTATTCAATCCCTAATAAGTTGCTCAGACAAAGACTCGACTAAGTAGACAACTACCTCTCACCCAGCATGTCCTTCGGGCAGGTTAGCTTTACTCTCATACACTCCCAGCACAAGACATATCCACCCCCACGCTGGCAACTTTGATTCGTGCGCAAGCAGGAAGCTTATCAAGCTGTTAATGTGTCGCTCTTCTTGGGGAACTTAAAGTATAGAGAAGATAGAAGCTAGTCTAGGGTCCAAGCCGGGCGAGACCCGGACAAGACGTCAAGCTGCACGACATGCCGCAGTCTGGGCAGCATAGGTCACCAATGAGGGCTCACCCACTGACGCCCTCCGCTTACCCGTCGGCGGCTCTCTCGCGGGCCGTAGCCTCTCGCGTTTCGGTTTGGTGGTTGCAGCGGCGGGAAGAGGCAGGAGGGTACCTACCACTCCCAGGGACTTGGACGCGCCTGGCCTGATTAGTACATGCGCGACTCGCCGGTGGACAGTATACCTGGTAGGATCTCCCCCCCCCCCCCCCGGGTATCTAGGCAGTCCCCCGTCCGCCGCGCTGCGGCCGCGAGGAGGCTGTTGGCTTTTGTGAGAATTGACAAGCGAGAGTCGGGACGGAAAGCGGGCGGGGCCGTACTGGCACCATGTGAGCGATGTCCACCTGGCTAGCCAGGCTGGTACGCGAAGATGAGAGCAGTAGCACGCGGCTACCTAGGTACCTGCCCAAGTACCCAGCTAGACAGCCTAGGTCAGGCGTAAAGGTCCAGTCAGTCACCAGTTTGAAGGGCACGGCTGCACGTGCCAAAAACCCAAGTGTTCAGGCCTGTTACCCCAGGTAAGGCAGACACACTAGGAAGACCGGCGGGCTTGCAGGCTAATGAACATGAGACGAACCACGGCCGGCACGGCCATGTCTCAAAAAGCTTCACATAAGACCTGGCATCATTTAGCAAGCAGATGGATATAGTCTAGTAGTAGCACAATTTATGGGTGGCCAAGTCAAGTCAAGTCAAGTCAAGTCAAGTCAAGTCAAGTCAAGTCAATCCAAGCCACGAGGCGAGGAGAGACGTGGAAATTCCCGGCTTGGCAAGATTAGGTTTGTTTCCGCTATGAATCCCGTCCCCCCCCCCCCCGGGATTCTACCTCCTCGACTCTGGTTAAAAAATTCATCAGTGAGGATTCAACTAACTCCAACCCAAAGTGGTTGTTGGTTTCTATATTGTGCCTAGCGCTGGATCCCAGCAGCAGGCGCTATGGTGGACGTCTCCGTTCAGATGTTCTCCACGCCGAGAGCGGCTCCGCTTGGATCCGCTGGGTGGGAAGCGGAACCTTTGCTCAAGTCAGCGACTTGCTTCTGTTGACAATGGTGTCATACGAGAGTCCTCTTTCGTGACTCGGGGGCCCAAGTGGAGGTGAGTACGTCTTATAGCCCAGGATACTGGGGGGTTCTGGAACACGAGCACCGAGGAAGACCGAAACCTGATTCAGCCGGATCCGTGTCCATGTCCGATATCTTGAATCAAGGCCGGTGGAATCAATGGGAACAGTGGGGCCGTTGACTGCAATGAGGCTCCCCTGAGGAACTGCACCCGTCAGACTCGACCAGTGGACAGCGAACCCCCCGATTGGTGTCTCTGCCTCCAATGTCGGATAGGAAAACCTGAGACTAGCATTGCTTAAAAGAAACACTGCTGCTTCTAGGCTCTAAGAATAATGATTATACAATATTAGAATGTACAAATTCCGCAAGCTAGAGTGTCAAAGAAAACAGCCCTTGCAAATGCTCGCTTGATTTGGAATTCATCGTCCTGGACCCCCTCCCCCGAAACCGACCGCCCAATGCAGTGAAATGCAACGCAGAACTTGGCTTGCTGTCGCGCGCCGTATGTACACACGAGACGCCCGCCATCGTCCTGAGGTGAGTAGATGTCTCGTGAACGCCTCGACAGGCGCGCGTCACTTGGGTGCCCGGCTTGGTTCTCGTCCTCGACCCTCCCTCCTGCCCTTCCGCTCCTGTTCCTCTCCACACGCCCAGCCCTAGCCACTGAAGCCGTGGGTTAAGAAGTCGGTCAACTGGTCGACAGGATCGAGAAGCGAAAGCGTGTGCAGGGGTATCCTTGGTTGCAGACAGCGAAAATTGGCAAATTGGCACCTCCTCCAAACGCCCTATCCCCTTTCAGAAATTCGGTATCAAAGTCGTTACTGGGGTGAGGGCTTGTTTTTCGCCAAGCCCCCAGGTATAATGTGAGTGGTCGTAATCAGTCGGTGACATTCGGTCCGAGTGGTGATAGTGATCCTAGTGGTAGTCCTCGCGCTGCTTCTCCCTCAGGCCTCCAATGTCGTCCATGTCAATGGAATAGAACTGGTGTTTGCTCTCCTTCTCGTAGGCGGGGAGCTGCTCCTCATCCAGAGGCTCCATGCCGACGGTAGCATTATCGCCAACGCGCACGACGAGGACGCGACCACTCTTGCGACGGCCGCTGTCGTCCTCCTCCTCAGGGAAGGTGATGTGAATCTCGGGGACGTTGTCGGGCGAGTGAGGGGGCTGGCTGGGGTTTGACAGCATCGGCTGGCCGTCCTTGTTGAAGACCAGCACACTAGAATGGCCGTTTCTGGTCTCGATGGTCAGACGGCGGTGGTTACTGTTGCGCTTCGCGTCTTGCACGACGTCGTTGTACTGGGGTAGGGAGTCCTTGCGCACTCTCTGCTGCTTGTTTCGCATTCGTCGGAGAACGAACAGGACTCCGCCGAGGAGCAGGCCGAAGACGACCACGACAGCCAGGATGATAATCAAGAGGTTGATGACGTTGGTGTTGCCGTCATCGTCCTCTGTGAGGCCGTCGCGCATGGCGAGCGGGTTCCGTGCGGTGAGCTTCGATAGGGCAGGCATGGCGGTTGTGGTTGCTGTTCCTAGCTGTGGTCTGGTTTTGGTTGTGTGTGTACAGGTTCAATGAATGAATGTGATGTGTAAACGATAGTGATGATGATGCTCTCGATCGAGCAGTGACAGTGACAAGACAATACAGCGTATTGGAGACTATCCTGCCAAGTCTGTCAGTTTATGGTGCTTGCACGGTCGGGCAGATAGGGTGACTCTGGGACCATGTCTCGCCGCGGCTGTTTGGACAAGGGAGGAAGGGATCTGAATCATGGGCGGTGAATAAGATTGAATAGCGTGCCCGACATACCTCTGCGAAGAATGGCCCTGGCGGGTCAGGGTGGGAGTCGGAGTCAAGATCACTAGTTATTACGGGTTGGAAAGTCGGCCGGGCTCGCACTGATTTGTTTATCGTGTCGTAGCGTAGTCGTCAGGAATTTCCGGGGCGGATGGGCCAAGTACACACAAGGGAAAATGAAAGGACGGAAACTCGACTGAAAGAATGAAGCCGAGACCAAGGAGGGAGGGAAGGGGCGGCGGCAATGTCTAATCTCGAGGGATTACGAGCAGTGCAGCAGCATGTGCAGTATGGGAAGGAACGAATGTGGACTTGACGACGCCGGTGACAATGGACCAGGTGGTGAAGGAAAGGGAAAGAAAGGAAAGGGTTGGAAGGGGCAGGAACGGGCAGACCACCTCCTTAGATGAGATCGAGCCGCTCGAGCCACAAAGAGCACAGCACACCACCCGGGCGGCCAGCCCACACACACACCTTCACTCACCAATTCGCGCTATCGATCGTTGCCGCTGCCACTGCAAGCTGCAGACTGCCCTGCACCGCATTGCACTGCCCTGCCGTGCGCACGCCTGGCCCAGATTGGACTGGCAACTGGCTGGCTGACTGACTGGGGGGGGACAGCGAAGGCCAGGGCAGGGTGAGGTTGGCTGGATGGATTCCCACTCTACCACCGGGGGACTGACGATGGGGGTTCGGTTCGGTGCCACTAGACTGCAGGTGCCAGGGACAGAAATGCAGGTACGCACGGGGGATGCAACGGCGCCAAAGCTCGGGTGGAGAGCACGCCCGCGAGGCTTTGTTCTTTAATTGGCCGCGCCCGGCCTCACCCCTGATCATTGCCGCCCTAGCGTCAGCTCAATTTCAACGCTCAGGAACACGCACCCAATCAGTCGCCTCGCCTGTTTGTAAACGAAGGGAGAGAGTGGGCCACCCAATTTGGCAACCATGGCAGCTTTCCTGCATGCTTGTCGTCCTTCCCCTTACCCCTTCTGGCCGCACAACCAAATGATCAGGATTGTTCAAGGTCACGCTGCCCAGGATCAGTGCTTTCTTTGGCTCCAGCGCCCGTCGACGCGGTCCAGATTCGAAGATTTGCATGGCTCAAAGGATCGCCCGCCTCGCCTCGCCTCGCCTCATCAGGACGTCGCAGCGAAGTAAGGGCTCCTCGTCCTTGCCGTCGTCCTCGTCCCCATCCCGATCTGCTTCCTCCTCTGTCGCCAGTATCCATGCTGTACAACAGACAACCTTGAACTTAGTAGACCAGCACAGAGGAAACAACACCGAGAACCAGGAATCAGGACAAGCCCATCGGCCCGGGGCTAATGTCCGAGCCAGAGGTTCATCCCGTCCCCTGACCTCGACAAGAAGCCCCATAACCAATAGAGCAAAGAGCCCTCCATCAGTGGCCAGTCCCGTTCACTGCCTGCTTCCTGCTTGGGGGCCGGCCGCCCTCGTGTTGCATCGCCTCCGACCCGCCAGTCAGCCAGTCCAGTCATGTACCGAGTCCAGGCCAATCCATACATCGAATGCATGGCCTGCCCTGGGTGTGGGCGTTTGTCCTTCTCCTGCATCTGCAACGTCACCGCACTGACGTGTTTAGCAAACACGGAAGAAGGGAAAACTCTTACCAATAGTTCGAGGTTACACGAGAGCCACGAGAACCCCAATAGAGTTTTGCCTTACCTTTGCGTCCATGCTCACCATGTGTCGCATTGTATGAAGATCATGGAGATCACTTCCGATTCATGTCGCCTAGACCTTCTCACGCGGGAGCTCATTATCTATTCTTTTCAAAATTTTATTACTTCAAACCTTTCTGACACGCAGCCACGCAGCGACGCAGCGACGCAGCACAAGCTCTCGGGTGCCGGTAAATCACTTAACTGACTGTCGAGTCGGTCACCCAATCGCCTTTTCACGTTGGACTTGGGGGCCGTCGCCTACATTCAGAAATAGGTTTGGCAAGTCAGCCGTCAGTCGTCCTCGGAGCGAATCGCCTTGCGTGGTCGCCAACCATTTTATCCGGACTCCGGCGTCGCCATGTGTCGGCAAGGAATGCATCTGCCGGCCGTGGAGAGCTTCGGCATCGGCAATGGGGTTTGTTTCCTCGTCGATCCTGCACTCACTGAAGCATGCGTGGCTGACCCCAGGCTCAATCTCGCCGCTGCTGGTGGCACATCTGCGGTCTGCGTCTGCTATCAGTCAGTGGTCGACGGGCCAGGACCCGACTGCGGGCTGCACGATCGGCTCGCAGCGCATGAGGTGATTGAGCTAATCCCATGGCCGGCTGGCTTGCTCTGGATGGACGTCTTGTCATCATGGCATCTGCCGTTGTGCGAGTCTGGCTTGCGCCCTGCAATCTCGATGGCAGGCTGCACGGCTGCGCAACCATGTTGTGAACCGCAGATGTGTCTTTCGCCACTAACCGACCGCCATCAGCCCAAGAAACGGTTTTGGCCGTTCTACAAAGCTGTGGTGTGCGTTGCCTATCCTGCGCCGTCCGCGGCGTGCCGGCCGTCTTTGCCCGACTCCAGGCCGGAAAGTTGACGGGCAGCACCGCTGGCAGACCGATGACAAGAATGCATCGTACGTGAACTGCTTCTCATGCAACGTGATGGAACCTCGCGTTGGACAGCAGCCTGCCGCGGTAGACGGCCACGATCATGGAAAAGCAAGGCTCCTCTATGACGCAGAGGTCGCGGCCGTCGTTGATTTGGTTGATTGTCGTTGACGATCTTATCATGCCACCGCCCTCAGTCGAGGACTCGAGGTTGAAAGCGGTTGTCATGGCCTCACCGCTTTTCTATACACGCAAGGATGGATGCTCATGAAGACACAGTGTGTCTTTGCCTGCGGGAACTACCCTCGTCGGGAGGCCTAGGCTGCTCGCTAACGGGCCAGTATCACTTCGTCCGAAGTGTTAAGACGATCTTGCGAGGCGTCGTGACGGGACAGGTCGCCCGAACTGCCATTGGCGATGTTTCACTTCCGGTCACACAAGGGCGGGGTCCTGTCTCCCCTTGGAGCTTTGCCCCGGTATGGTTGTGGTGGAGCAATTTGATTACCCGCCCCCAACCCTCAATGCGCACCATTGTTGCTTCGTGCCTTTTTGTTTTGGGAACAAGATGTTGTTGGCGGAGTCGAATCATGTGTTGATAATCCTTGTGGTAGGCGAGGCTTTGGGAGTCGAAGACGCTGGATGGAAATAGAACAGGCCCAGAGCTAGACCCAACCCGGAGGATTGCCAACTGTTGTGTGACAAGGGAGGGAGTGAGGTTGTTGGCTGTTGGTGCAGAAAGGCTTCAGTCAGAACCGCTATTCCTGCAGGTCACGCCTGGCTGTCAGCTGTGCACCTCTCCTGAAGGCAAGAATTCTGAAACGTCGAGTTACCTGGCACCCTGAGTATCGAGGGCAATATGACGATCACTGCGTTCTTTACGAAAAGCTTTGACAGACCCCTCCCGCGGAGGCAAAGTGGCAGGCCCCTGTGGGGAGGGGGATGGAATCATAATAATACTGTACGAGAAGCCCGGTATTTTTCTAGTGTGCGTATAGCTGCTGCTCCTAGGTATGGATACATGCGGCCTGCCCACAGCCTACCGGCCTTTTTCTCCCACATGCAGATGCAAGATCCGCCCGTCCACCACCCGTCCACGGGTCTCTGCCCCACTAAAACTGCGGGGCATTCCGCGGCTGAAGCCTGAGCGTGCATCAAAGGGGGGATCCGGGGCGGATTGGTCTCGAAACCAACTGGCAGACACTTGTGTGCCGTGTGTTTTGTACGGTACCGATCGGGACGGGCGATTGTTGTGAGAGCCTCTGGATACCTACCTGCCTTGAACACGGCGTGACTTGGGCCTTGCAGATTTAACTCCAACATAGACTTTGTACCAAATTTGGTAGACTCCCACGAAGACCGGCGCCGAATAGAAAGGGGGACGAAGTAAGGAAAAAGGCCTATACGAGGCTAGCTTATTGCGCGTAGATCCCCTCTGCCCAGCGAAAGTGGCTTTAAAAAATTAGATTTGCAACGTTCCTGATGTGCACGCATCTCCCAAAGGCACCGATTTCGCGATCACCGTTCACGGACAGCTATGCGGCCTCGCCCGCGCACGCAAAAGTCGCCTCGGCTGCTGCTAGTCTGACCTTGCTGTCACGTCTCCTGTTTCCGCTTGTGGACAGGACACAGGATGCCCAGTTGGGCTACGTGATTGGAGCCGATGTGGTTGACCGGGCACAAGCGAGCCTCGCGAGCAAAAGTCTCTTTTTTGTTCTGGCGATATGCATGAACGGCGTCACCGATGCCTCCCTTGGCAGAGGGCGAGTGTTTATTAGTGGCGGGCCAACATGCCAGTATCTGCTGTGGCAGAGACCACCCTATACCGCACCTGGAGGTCCACAGGCGGGCGAGAATGCCAATGAGCCCCTGCTGTAATTAGATGGTCAATATTGAACCGGACCCCCAAGGCGGTGCATGCAGCGGAGGTTTCGACTTCAATGGTGAGCGCGGCGTGGGGGGAGGAGGGAGGACTATCCGGGGCCGTTGGCCACCGTGGCCGCCGACCGTGACCATGGACCAATGCGGTCGATCTGACGGGCATCTGGTATCGCTACCTGAGTGACCTGACGTGACCCGAAGCTGTTCCTCCCTTCCAAAGCTGAGGCTGACCAGATAGGGAAGTGTTGTCGCCCTTTTCTCTCGCCCTCTCTCTCTCTCTCCCTGCTGCCTTGCTGCCCTGCGTCGTCGTTCATCGCTCGTCGTTCGTCCAGCAAAGCGCACACCCTTCCCTTCCCTTGCCTTCACTATCCTCTCCTCCCCCCTACTGTACTCTTGAAGGGGAACATATGTCCAAAATCCCACCCCGTCCCATCTCATCCCAGTTTCTTGTCCATTCTCCAGCTTGTTGGTATCTGCAAATCATATGCAGCAAATACATCATCGCCGTACAAAAAAGGGTCTTTCGGATTGCTGGTCGTTCGTTGGTCTTGCGACTGCTCCAGCCTTTGGAAACAAAACAAAAAAAGTATCCACACCACCTTCATTGACCGTCACATATCAAGCCGTAAATAGCCTTGTACATCATCAGCCAACAGCAACCAGTTGGCCCTCAGATCCGCCAGACGCACTTACATATCCACTACAACTACTGCCGCTCGTCACCTCGTAGCTGTTCATCACGCCCATGGCCATTTGAGCCTTATTGTCCTGCAGTGAGTCGCCCTTGTTCCAGTCCACTGACGTGACACGCAGGCAGGCAGGCAGGCAGTCAGTCAGTCAGACAGATGGGCAAACTACATGCTGACCACTGGCTGCAGCCACGTACCGCGAACATAATATCACAGGCGTTCTGCGCAGGCCTCACTTTATTCCGCGAGAAGAATTGACGAGGACAACAAAGAAGCCCCGTTGCAAGTCTTTTGCCAAGGCAACTGGGCCCGCCTGAGCCGCCTCATCCGATCTCTTGACTTTCGGGAACCAGGTACACGCACCTGTGAGCCCGGCATTCACGGGCAAGCCAGGCACTTGGAGAGCGTCAGCCTTACCAGCCATTAGCTGCGTGGCCAGTCCGGTGCCGCCCCTGCACGCTTGCAACCTGCAATAATAATAAAGCTGCGGAGAGATTGCCCGTCCCGGCGCATTTAGTGCGCACGCAGGAGCCTAGGCTGCCGCATCCTGTCCGCCCCATCGACACCACCCTGGCGCGCATAGCAGGTCCCGAGCCGTAGAGAAGAGGGCCGGACATCATCAGCAGCACACACCAGGGCTGCACCATCCAGCTGGAGGCCAGAGTTCGCTCGAAAGGACACTGACAGGGTGAACTTGTCGTCGCGGTGAGTCGTGTGACTTGTGACATCCGTCTCGGACCCGGTTTACCCCTGACATGCTGCTAACAATGCGCTAACGGCGACTTGTGGCAGACGGGGGGCCACACCGGAGTCAGTATCTCAAACATTCAAGAAGCTCACCCCGCAAAAACCCAGGCCCTCTAGGGGTCCCTTCTCCGGCCTCCGCTCCCTCTCCTCTCACTTCATCGTCGCGTTTCTGGAGCTCGGCCCGTGGTGGTCCTCGCGCAGTGCTGAACATCACAGTGCAGTCCGGTACAGTGCCCTGCTGTGCCGCGCACCTCAGCTCAGCTCAGCTTCAGCTTCAGCTCAGCTTCAGTCCGGCTCAGTGCAGCAGTGCAGCGCAGTGTGCAGTGCAGTGGGCTGCTTGGCCACCTCGCTCTCGACCTGTGCGTACTTTGTCGCCCGTTTCCAGGTTCTCCCCGGTCTGGTCTCAGGTGTTTCGCACGCTGGATCATCCACATTTGCTGCCCCTTGGCATTGGAATGCAACCTTAAGACTTCACAACTGCAACCTTATCCTTCCCGTCCGCCTCGTCCCCGTCAACTGCATTGTCGCAACCCACGCCCGACACTTTGTTTGCATTGATACAGCACCCTACGCCCTGCCCTGCCCTGCCCTGGCCTCGCACCCGGCCGGACAACACACCATAGGAGAGGATAGGAGAACGACAGGCAAACTGTCCTCCGAACGAGTCTACAAGGTAGGTACTACACAGACACTGACACAGTATACACACACCTACACACACGCGCGCACGCCCTTTCTGGCAATCGTCGCTCACCCACCAAGGCATGCTCTTCACACTAGCCTGAGCACCGCTGAACCCTTGCGAGTTGCGAGGGTGGATCGACTCGGCCCTAGGCCAAAGTCAAACTCCACTGGCTCGCCGGTAGTGTCCCTCCCTCACTTCTAGCCGTGGGCTGGAGGCGTGTGTGTGCCTGACAGCTGAACGCCTTTATCTTAGCGCATCTGTCTGCAGCACACACTCCAACTTCGCAATCCGATTCCCTATCCTCCAACTTGGTTTCCTGCATCCAATCCTCCAACGACATCTTCCTTCTCTGTACATCTTGGTTCGCGCGCACATTTTCACGGCCCCTACTTCCCTTCTAATAGGTTCTGTTCTCCCGCCTAACACACGTCTGGTCTTTTGCTGCAGCCTATCCACCATCCCACAAACTGCCAGGACGATAATTTCCGACTCTCGATCGCGAGGCTCCGCTCCGGAGTGACGCCCACCATGGACAACAGTCAACCAGTGAGTCGCCCACAGCCTCGTACCCGCGCACTTCCTTTGCGCATGCGAAATGCGCATGGCCCAAATCATACGCCCTTGTACTGTCCTGTGGTCTTCTGGGCATGCGCTTTTGACCCTACTCCGACTCCGCTGGGGAGTCGGCACAGAGGCACTGTTTTGGAATCTGCGGCTGACCCTTTGACGCAGACTCACGGTCAACAACCTTCGACGCAGACTCAAGGCCAACAACCGAACCGCAACTCGAGGGCCACAAACCTCTTCCCTCCCATATTGAATAGCACCGGACAAGGAGGCACCAGTAGCATATGGACCAGCCACCCACTCACAGATGGCCTTGCCTCCAGGGACAGCACAGGTGTGTCCGGTGCGTATAAGAGCTGGGATAACGAGGGCGCAAAATTGACACAATCTACAGCGCCCGGCCAGTCGCTGCACTCTGTACAGAGACCGACTGCCATCGGCGGATCCGACGCCAGCCGGTGGCCCAGTGGACTGGCAACCTGGTCCTCTCCAGACAACGTGCAATCTCGACCGAACCCATCACGAAGCACATCTCCTCCGTCTGCGTTTCAGAACACTTCCAATACATCCCCATCTTTCAACCCAGGTCGCTTAACGAACGGGCAAAGCAACACCTTTCCGACGTCCCTCGCAAACACGCCCAGCGGCCTCGTTAGTCGCGCCAGTGTCTCGGGAACCTCTGGCAGAGTCAACAGTTTCCAGTCTGGATTTGGTGGTTTTGCAAGAACCAACTCAGGGACCTCGGCCTTTGATGATGGCGCGGCGTCACGCGAATCAGTACTGCCGTCATCGAGACAGTCAGATAGCGACACAACTGTCAAGTTTAACAATGACGTGTCTGGGTTCCCCCAAGGGATTGCATCGCACTCTCGGCGTGCTTCTCGACCATCCCTCAGCGCCGCACCGTCGTCATATTACCCGCAGCAGCAGCCAAGCTCGAGATCCCAGAGCCTGAACCCGCAGAAAGACGATGCCGCTCTCGAGGCTGCACGCCAATCCCTGGCGAGGAACTTTGCCAGCAACTCTCCAGCCCCTCGGTTCAGCACAGTCCAGGCAAGCACACCTGCGCCTTCACAAGTCCGCTGGTGGGGAAGCGAGTTCACGCCCAACAACGGTGTCGTTCAGAACCCTGCATACCCCCAGGAAAGCAGACGAGAGTCGCTAGCCATGAGTGCCAACCAGTCCGCCATGAACAGCCCGAGGGCTTTTGGTAGCGCCAGGCCCGCCGAAACATGGGCGAGTCCAGCGCCACCCGTGGATTTCGATCTTTTGGCCAGATACCAACGATCACAACAAAGCCAGATGTCAAGGCTGGCCACCCAGTCGCCATATATCGATCCCACATTCGGCCAGATCCAGATCCCCGAGGTACCAGCGCATATAATGCAACAACTAATGCAATATCCCAATTATGGAATGGCAGGACAACAGTACTACACTCCTACTGCTCCCGCTGCTTACGGGGGTCGACCAGTGCGCAACCAGAATCCTTACGAGAATTATAAAACAACGCCTCAGCTACTCGACGAGTTCAAGAAGACGTCAAAAGGTGCCAACAGGAAATGGCAACTCAGGGTACGTGGCCATGTGTTCTCGTCTCACTGGGATCCGTACTAATTGACCTGCAGGATATTTTTGGCTACGTGGTTGATTTCGCCGGTGACCAACAGGGCTCGAGGTTCCTCCAGGAGAAAATTCCTGCGGCGAACAGCGACGACAAGTCAAAAGTGTTTGATGAGATCATCGTGAATGCCAACCAGATGATGACGGATGTGTTCGGCAACTACATCATTCAGAAGCTCTTTGAGTACGGGACTCTTCAACAGAAGAGAGCCCTTGCTTTCAAGATGCAAGGAAACGTGGTGGATCTCTCCGTGAACATTTACGGCTGCAGATGTGTCCAAGAGGTCAGTAGGCTACGGAATTTTGCGTCATATCACGCCCTGCTAACCGTATCTCTAGGCCCTTAATTACGTCCTTGTTGAACAGCAGGTCGAGCTAGCCATGGAGCTCAAAGACGAGATCTTCCAACTGATGAAGGGTGTTCACTCAAACCATGTCGTCCAAAAGATCCTCCAAAAGCTACCCAGGGAGCGCATCGACTTCGTTTACGACGCCGTCCGTGGCAAGGTGTACACGCTGTCAACACAACAATACGGCTGTCGGGTGATCCAGCGTATGATCGAGCAGGGATCGAAGGAGGACAAGGCCTTCATCCTCGACGAATTCCACCAAGTCGCGCACAAGCTCGTGACGGATGATTGGGGCAACTATGTCGTCCAGGCCGTCATCAAGCAGGGAGGGCCAAAGGCACGGTCGGAAGTGATCCGACTCTGCATCGACCAGTTCCTGGTGTTCTCGAAGCAGAAGGTCGCCAGCAATGTTATGGAGCACTGCATCGAGTTCGGAGAACCGGAGGATCGGCTGGAGATCTACCGCTTGATCATGAACACCCACACAGAAGACGGCGGTTTGCTGCAAGCCATGTGGAAAGATCAGTTTGCAAACTATGTTGTCCGTAAGTTATATACTCCAGCCTCGGTTTTCCCTTCTGGCACGGTGGATTCCGGACGACTCGCTAACAACAAGCCAGAAAAACTTTGCTTCCACCTCCAGGGTGTGGAGCAGGAGACCCTTATCAGGGAAAGCAGACCTTACTACCTCGCGAGGAAGAAGCCCAGCCGCCCGGATGAGAAATGGGCGGCGTTTGAGAATCTCATGAGCCAGTTCAGAGCCACCGTCTCAAGGCAGGGTAGTATCAGCAGCACGAACGGCGACCTGAACGGCGTGACAGCATCACGACCAGGCTCACAGTCCGACATGAACTCGGCGATGCCTACCCCGGCGCTTACTACGGGTGGTAACAGCCCGCGGACCAGCTCCTCCCAGGCCACCAACGACGGCCCAGCCGATGCCGATACACCTCAACCGTTGCGAGACCTTCTCAACAAGTTCGACGAAGCGACCCTACATGATAAGGTTCGGGCTTAGGCATCAGGAAACAGGTCCAAATCGACATTTGGGGTGCGCACGCAGCTTTCACCTCGGTCTCTCTCAACGCTCGCCAGGGCAGTTCTTCTCGGGCGTCAAGGGACTTTGGGATTCTCTCGACATACTCGTTCACTTGATGTGACGCTGTCATTCGTTTTGATGAGTCATAGAGTAGTGACGACAGGTTTTCGACACAAAAGACGCGACCGATTTTCTTGCGCATCTTATCATCCAAGAGTTACAAGGGCAGGCGTGGTGTCAAAAAGTAGTTTACTGGACTGGAAGGGGCCAGTATTGGGATTTCTTGTCCATTGTTTTTTGGTGGTTGGGAGCTTGTTTATTCTTTTTTTGGTGGGTTTGGAATCATCACTATCGTCAACGTTACTCCTGGATACCATGTCATGTCTCGCCCATGGGACATCAGCGGATTATGAGGGGCTCAGATGAGCCGGGCACAGCAGACGTAAGGTTGGGCAAAAAGGCCTCGGGCTCAGGTGCTTGTTTTCCTTTTCCTCCTCGTCAACTCTCCTACACCTCTCTCTATCTCTCTGTACTAGTTTAGTTGCCTCCCCCCCCCCTCCAGCGCCGACAGACCCGTCGTCTGGCGGTTGTCTCTCGCTTTACACCCTATTTTTGATATTATTTCTGCTGTTCATACTTTGGCTCGGCTGGGTATATGGGATTCTTGTCATTTTCCCGTTCTCGTTCTCTCTCACTTCAAGTCGAGATCTGGCACAGTAATGAGCGGGGTGAAAGACTCAGCATAATGGGTAGGCGTCTTTGGTCTTCCATGGTACAGCGGTGTTATTTTAGGGGTTCATCGGGGAAATAAAAATACAACCAGACTTTCTGTCATACTTGATGACTGTCCGCTCGTCCGTCGTGAGTCGCTCGGCACGGTGGCCAACATATCCTGCCGTGTTGGTCACTTCTTGTCTCTTCGGTCTGAAGATCGTCGGGTTCCGGCTGGAAAGGCGGCGCTGAGGACAGGAGACGCTCCGCTAACTTGACCTCCCGCCGTGTCTCACCCGTGGGCTTGCACTTCAGCGTGCCACTGATTTGTCTCCCTCGAAATCGAAGCCTCGCTCGAAAGCCCAATCCCCGCCCTTCTCGTACCGCCAGAGCGCACACGCCGTCGCCATCCCTTCGGCACCGCGGAACCCCGCCCCCACCTGTTCCAGCGCAGCATCCACGGCCCCCTCGTCGGCGGCCTTGTTCTGCACCGTCCAGTGAGGCCTCCACGGCCGCCGGTCCTGCGCGCTGAGCACCTCCCACCAGCGGCGCTGCAGCTCGCCACGCAGACGTCGTGCCGCCTGGGACCCTCCTTGCCCGCCCACGTCGCCCGCGACGTTGATGCCCACGCCACGGCGCATGCGGAACGCGCTGCCCGTCGCCAACCGCAACGGCGCCTGCGCGGCGCACAGGTCGTCCAGCGCTGAGGTGATGAGGGGCATCTCGGACCCCGGGAGGGCGTGGAAGAGGGTCAGGTGGGCTGGGTGGCGGTCCAGGTGGCGCGGGAAGTGGGACCTGCGCAGGGCTGTTAGGGGGTCCGTCAGGGGAGGGGTGGTGGTTAGTGTTAGGACGTGGACGGTTTGTTCTGGGGCTGTGGTGTTTGGTTTGTGGTCTGGGTTGGGTTGGCGTCGTGCTGGTGAGGGCGTGGGATGATAGCCCGTGGTGGGTTTGATGTTCCCGGTCTGGGCATGTTTTGGAATCCCTGGTGTTCTGGCAGTGGGTGTGTCTGAGTGGGTTGTGGCTGTGGTTGTGCTGGCCGGTGAGGATGAGGAGGATGGTGCTGAGGCGTGATGCCCAGTCAGGGCTTGCGAGCATAGCATGGTCCGTTGCAGGGTCGGTGCAAGACGGGGAGGAACTTTGGTGTATGTCCGGAACATTACCATCAGGCAGATAGAAGAGAGAGTTTTCCGACGTTGAAACGTAGTTGAATGTCTCTAATCCGAGAACAGTTTTGAAAATTCCACAAGCCGTGAACCCAGGACGCTAGGACATGGTGACATCAACGACATCCTCGCCCGTCAACCAACAGATCAAGCTTTCTTGCAGTCATAACAGCTTGATGCCGCATACCCAGGTTGTTTGAAAAGTCTTTCTGGTTGGTTTCAATACCCAGGGGACCTTCATTCCATCTCTTGCCTTCTCTACCTGTCTTTCTTGCAATCTTCATTACTATTGTCAATGTTTTCAAGTAGAGATCACTCCTACAATCTTATTGTGAATGTGCAAACCATACCCGAACTGATTCTAGTAGAATATAGTTGCAGTCTTCAAACCCAACCAATAAATGCTATCTCATCGTTGTTGCCGTATTGACTTTCCGCGTCCTGAGACGACCATGACAACCTCACTTTCTATTTCGCGGTTTGTTGACCTCCTTCCTTGTGATCTCTTACCTCTCAAGGCTCCCAATTATGCATCCACTCAAGATCCTCGGTATAGAAGTCTTCCAAGGCTTTGTCCCAGCTCCTGATCGTATCTCTCATATGCTCAACCAATTTCACCCACAGACGGCCATGTCCGTAACCGCCAAGGACCTCCGGGTCCGAGTCATTGCAGCTTTTGCATCGGCACGCGAATGAATCATAGGCGGCATGTGCCATTTCATGCACTAGAATCTCCAATAACTCTTTGGGAGTCTGTGGGGAGCCGTCGAGGTGGAATGCGTCGATGTAAATGGTCGACTTTCCATGTTCCGAGGGATGAACCAACGCATGGGCTGCAGACTCGGAACGTACAGCGTGCCCTATGTGTCCTTCGGCAAAGATGTTGCCTTCAACATGGAGTTCTGCAAGTGCAGGCCAGTTTCTCGTTTGCGTTGTGCCAGTGAGTGCTCTGCCGAAGAAATGGAAATCCAGGGCTGTCATCGCAAGATGTAGTTCCCCCGAATCTAGAAGTTGGCGGATATCATCATGTGTGTTGCGCCCGTTCCAATGTTTATAGACTGCGACAAATATTCTCCGGGCGAAATATATGTTGCGGAGGGACAAGGGCAGATTTGCGAGACGTGCCACCTCGTCCCAGATATCTTGTGGCTTGTGTGCCACTGGTGTCATCCCCAGTGTTCTGAATATCTGAACTCTACCGAGTATAATGCTGCTCACGTCGTGAGGTTGGGGTCGAGGGTGCGCTACATGGCGAGACATTGCGCCAGTGTGCGTGGATCGTGCTTGATTTGTTGATGGTCTTGCCTTCGAAGGCGATGGGACTGTGGTAAGTACTGTTGTGGGTCAGCCTTGGTCGTCACAGAATATATAATCGGGATTCAATATCTGGACGCCACATGCATGTGTCTCGATAGTTATCTTGTCCGTGTTTTGATCTGAAATGTTTGTATTGCCTGAGTATTTCATGACCGAAACGCTCCTCTACTGAGCTGGAACGACCACGATTGTCCAAGTGGGGCAAGAAGTTATGTGGGATGTAGGCAATTACAGTCAATTTCGCTATGAAATAGCTTTAGACAGTTGCCTTTTAATATTCTGCAAACCAGTGTGGTGTTAGAAGCCACTAATTCGCATTAAAAGTCTTAGTGTCAGGCCGTACCTATTCGTGATGGCGCGAGGCTGTTGGGCCCACCGAAGTATCAAGGTTGTTTCTCAGAAAGGAATAAACTAAAGAATTAGCAAGTTAGTGTGATGCTATTTTGACATCTGAGAAGGAATCTCACGCTTCAGATCTCTCCATAGGTCCTGGATTTGAGAATATGGCTTGAAGAGCACGGTCTCCAGCATACGCTGATATGATTTGATGGAAATATGATAGGACAACGTCTAGGGGCATATTGTTGATGTATCTAAGCACTATCTGCTATCGCGCCAGGATCCAGGTAGCATCACCACAGTTGTGCTCTCCATCGACTGAAGACACAAAACACTAAGGCTTCCTCACAGCTTCGCTCCCATCTGCCACCTGTTGGCCAATGCCTGATGTGTGACCCAATGCTCCTCAAATCCCAACAAGATCAGTTCAGTTTTCTGTTGTGCCTGCGTATATCATCGGTGTTGTAAAAGTCGGCCAAGTCGTCGTCCCAGGTTTGGATGGTATTCTTCATATGTTCAGCCATCTGCACCCACAGATTTCCGTGTCCGATTTGACCCAGAATCGACGGGTCAGTAGCTACACGCTGGCAGTCTGCGCTTCTACACGCGAAGGAGAGGAAAATGGCATGTGCCATCTCATGCACCAGAGTCTCGAAAATGCTTTTAACGGTCCTTGGGGAACTTGTTGGCAAGTACGACCCTTGCTATTAGGAGGCTACTTTAGTTATCCCCTACGGGGCACATAGCCTTTTAGAACTTAAACAGAACAACACCAATATATAATTGCTTCCTATATAATTATTATATATATAAGAAACCTATTAATATTAATTAATAATTATAAGTATTATAAATTAATAAGATAAAAGAGATAACCTTATAAGGATTTCCTTAACTTAAAAATTATATTCTCTTTATTAGCAAGCGCTATATAATAATAATTGCTTCTTTAGGCCTCCTTATATTATTAAACTTTCTAAATAAATATTACAAAGATTAAATAAATTAAATAGCATTTTCTATAATATTTATATATATATTTATTATTATTTAAGAAATATATATTTATTATATATAAAACTTTATTAAAAATAAACTTATTATAAACTTATCTTTAAATCCTTTAGCAAAACTTAATAAAGCTTTATTTTATTAATAAATAAAGCTTATAATTATTATAATTATTAAAATTAATATAATGCTATATTATAAGTAAGCATAAGTTATATATTATGCTTTTAATTAATATAAAAAAACTTAATAATAAGAAAAAGCCCTAACTTTTAAGGCCTAAAGAAATTAATAATTTCTTTCTCTTAATAATTATAACTTACTCCCTATTAAATTATCATTATTAACTTACTCTTAAATATTACTTATTTTATTAATATTTCTTTTTATTTTATTAATTTTACTCCTTATAATATTTATTATAAAAACTTATAAGAATGGCTAATAATGTTAAAAAGCTATTAACTTTTATTAAAAGGTATATAGTTAATAAAATGCTTGCTTAAACTTTAATTACCTTAACTTATTATAAATATATTAACTTAAAATTATAATTTATAGCTCTTATATAAAAAGCATTAATAAAACACTTAGTTATTTACTTAGTAAATACTTTAATAAGCTATATATAATAAAACCTTTATAATAATAATCTTTTTATTATTTACTATAAGAATTATGCAATATAAATATAGATAATGTTTAAAGCATTGCTAAATCCTTATTAATAATGCTTAAAAGTTTTTCTTTAAATATAAGGTATTTATATAAGATATAATAATTAACTTATAATATTATAATTAATTATTATAGCTTAAATTAAGGAAAGATTAAAATAAATTAATAATATGCTTTATAATGCTTTATTAACCTTAAAATTAAGCATAAATAAATATTGCATATAACTTTAAAGATAGCAATAATAATTATAAGCATAGCCCTTATAAGCATTATAAGCAAGTTTTAAATAATAATAATTATTAAAAGGATAATTCCTAGGATAACTTTTATCGCTACTATTAACTTTAAGCACGTAATTATAAAATTTAAACTTAATAATGCAATTTATTAAAAATTAATATAATTAGCAAAGCTTATTATTATTAATAAAAAAATAAAAATAATGCTTATATTAAAAATATATATTATACTTAGCATAACCTTAAGCTACCTTAAAAATATCTTTATTAAATAAAAAGTATAACTTATATAAAACTCTTTCCTTATAATATATTTTTAATAAATACTTAAATTTAATAAAGTTAGCATAATTTATAAAAACTTTTAATAATTTTTATAAGTATATTAAGAACTTATATAATTTATTAAATAATAAAATAAAGATATTTTTTAATATTTATTATTATATTAAAATTTAACTAAGTTAATTTTATATAATTTTTTCTTAAATACTTAAAGATTAAGCTAAGGCTTATTACTTTTATTTTATAAATTAAATTAATATATTTATAATAGCATATCTTAAAATTAAAATACATTTTAATATAAATCTTAATTATTAATATTATTATATAAATTAAATAATAATAATATTTATAAAAATAAAAGTATAAAACTTAAATAAAAACTTATATAAGGTTTTATATTTAATGCTTAATAAATTATAACTTTATTAATAAGCATTAAGTTAAGATTATATTAAAAAGAATAACTTAAAAATAATAATAATTAAAGCTTATAAAAAAGTTCCTAAGTTAAAAATAGCTCTTTTTAAGCTAACTTAACTATATAAAGAGTTATTTTTAAATTTAAAATTTATAATAAAAATATAACTTAGCTATATAATTATAATTTATATTATAAATAAAGTTTTAAATTAATATTATATTAATTATAAATATAATAGCTAAAAGCTAAGAGAAAGATAATAATTATAATTTTAAACGTTTTAAGGAAATTAAAGATTTAGCTAATTAAACTTAAGCTATTTAAGCTTTAAGTAATTAAAATTTTATAGCATTAATTATAAAGCTTAAAGTAATAATGCTTATAAAAAAGGAAAAAAAGAATAACTTTAAAAGAAAAGATATTATATTTATAAAAAGAAAGGATATTAATTAATTAAATATTTAATTAATAAATAATGTTTAATAAGAAAAAGCTACTTAATATAGTATAAATATAAAGGTTATAATAATAACTTTAATATCTTTTTAAGTAAGTTTAAGAAATATAAAATAAATAATAAAAATAAATTTTATAAATATAAAAATAAATAGGATTAAGATAATAATTATAATAATAATGCTTATATTATAAAAATAGGACTTAATAAAAAAGTTTATTATATAAATATTAATTTCTTAATTAATAAAGCGTTTATATATTAAATTATTAAAGATAATATCTTTTAAATGGAAATAATTATTATAGCTAGCTAATTTATTTTAAAAAATAAATATAATTAAACTTATTTTTAAAGAATCTTATTAAATATAAAAGCATTATTAATATTTATAGCTAAATATAAGTAATTCCTTATATTATAATAAGAAAACCTAAAGTATTAAATAAATATAATTGCTATAAGAAAAGCTAAAGTTAAATTTAGCAATAAAATAATTATTAATTTGCTTAATATAATTAAAGTTCCTATTTTAATTAATTATATTAATTTTTATATTATTTAAATATAAACCTTATTCTTGCTTTACTTAATAAATATAAATAAACTTTAAGTATATTATAATAATATTATAAATAAAATAATTTCTTTTAATAATATAATTATTATATTAATACTTAAAAAATAAGGTTACTTATAGTTTTTTTTAAATTAAATTATTAATACTATATATTTCTTCTTAAAAATAAAAATAAGGAAACTTTATTACTGCTTTAAATATCTATTAATAAATTAATTATGCTAAATGCTTAAAAAGGCTGGTAATTTAAATATTAATAAATAAGTAATAATAGAAATTAAGAAGATATATTATTATTATTAAATAAATAAATTTATATTTAAGCGTTTTAAGTTTATATTATATAATAATTATAAATTTAATTATAAAATCTTAATTAATATAATATATTTAAGTAAATACTTAATTCTTTATATTATAAACTAAGCTATTGCTTTTTAAAGAGTAAAATTTTTAAAATTTATATTTGCAAAAACTATATAATAAATATTATAAATGCTTTAAATTAATATATATTAAGAATTATTAAATATTATTAAATATAATATAAGAATAAACTTTATATCTTTAAAATTTTATTTAAAGGCATAAATAATGGAAATTAAATATAAATAGGTTTTTATAAAGGTATATTAATTCATTAGGAAAGTTAAAAGATATTATTAAGCTCTTAAATAAATATATAAAATCCTATATATTAAACTGCATAATAATATAAATAATAATGCTATTTTATAAATAATTATAAAAGTTATTAATAATATTACTAAACTAAATAAATTAATCCCTATGCTCTTAATTTTTAATGCTTACTTATAAATATTATATAAGTTATTATTATTATTATTAATATAAAAGTAAGTAAAAGTTATTTTAAAGGCTATAAAAATGCTATAAAAAACTATAGCTAAATAATAAGTATAAAATGCATTAAATATTAAGATTAAACTTATCTTTAATATAAAATATTTATTATAATATAAAGTTTATATATAAAGAGAAAAAAAGGGATAAAAAGGTTTATATAAAGTTATTACTATAAATAGCTATAATATAACCTTAAATATACTAAATAAAGCTATAATATTTAAATTAATAATTATTTCATTATATTATTAAGATAATAATAAGGAAATATAATCCTTATAAGCAAAAAACTTAGCCTTAGCTATAAAACCTTAAATATAACTTATTATATAATTATAATTATTAAAGATAAAAAACTGCATTATTATATTATATATCTTAAAAAAAGAAAATAAAAACTATAATTTAGTAATTAAATTAAAATAAAATAAAGTTATTATAATATTAAGCTTATTATTTAAAAAGTTTAATAAAATAAAAATTAATAACCTTATTGCTAAAAGTATTTTTTAAATTAAGAAATAGTTAGCAAAGCAATATAATAAATATTATTTTTTTAAGTTTTGCATAATATAAAAGATAAAAGATAAAATTATAAAACCTTATAAAAAATTCTAATTTATTATTTAAGGTTATAATAATAATAAAAAGGAATTAATTTTAATATAAAGCTTAATTATTTAAAGAATAAGCTAATAAATAATCCTTATACTTACCCCTTTATTAATTTAAGAAAAAGGTATAATTTTTATATTTTAAGATATTACTTAAGCTTACTCTTAAATAAAGTTAAAATTATATAAAATAATCTTTATAAAGTTATTAAAGGAATTAAAAAATAAATTTTCTTTAAGTATAATTATTTATATTATTTAACCCTTATATAGCATAGTAAAATTTAATGTTTATTAATTTAATATATATTAAAAATATTATTAATAAAAACTTAAAATAAATTATTTTATATATAATTCTTGCTTAATAATTATAAAGCCTGCATAACTCTTTAAGATAATAAGCATATAAATAAATAATATATTAATTTTATTTATATTAAAATTCTAAAAAAAAAAAATATTAAAATAAAAGTTATAAAATTATAAGGAAAATTAAAATAAAAGTTAATACTTAAAAACTTAATAAATTATAATAAGGCTTGCATAATTATAAATATTATTAACTTAATTATTACTTAATAAAAGGAATAAGCTAATAAACTTACTCTTATTAATATAATAATTAAAAACGCTCCTTAAAGATATCTTAAATAAAAAGCTTGCAAAGCATATATAGCTTTAATTTACTAATTAAAAGCTTTATATAATCTTTTAATAGCTATATAAGTATAAAACCTAAAAGCAAGAAATTATAAAAGCTTAAATATATAATTATTATAATAAATAAATAATGCTATGCAAGAAATTAAATATATGCCTTTAAATCTTAAAATAATAAAACTTTTTATATTTATAAATAAATTATTTATAAATAACTAAAACTTAATATTTTAACTTAAATATATTATTATTCTTATAAATAAAACTTATAAGGAAACTAAGGAATTTATAATAATAAGTAATATTTTTCATTAATTATTAATAAAGTATAAATATATTACTTAAAGTATATTAACAAATAAAATTTATAATATAATAAATAAAGTAAATATTAAAATTTCTTTAGTTATAATAATTAAAATAATTATAAGATAATTCTTATTATTAAATATACCTTTAATTATTTATATAAACTTATATAACTTATATAAATACCTTATAAAGCTAAGAATAATAAAGGAAAAATGCCTTATAATTAATATTATATTATTATAAGAATTATATAAAATAAAAGGAATTATTAAAATAAGGTAAATAAATAAGAAAGATAACTTTATTAATATAATAATAAAATTAACTTTAAATACTATATTATAAAAGCTTATTAATAATAATAAGCTTTATATATAAGTAAATAAGTTAATTAAAAAACTTAAAGTAGCTTTTTTTTATTAAGAAAGGAGCAATTTATTATTAATACCTTTTCCTTTTAACCTTATTGCTATTAATTATAAAATCTTATACTTTTTAAACTTAAACTCTTAATATAAACTTTAACTTTTTATATTTTAATTAAGATATTTTTAATACTTTATTATATATAAGGATAACTTTATAATTATTAATATTATTAATAATTATTATTTTAAAGTTAACTTTATTATTATTATTACTTTTTATTATTATTTATTAATAATAACGTTAAAATTAACTTTTATTAAATTTATTTATAACTTATTAACTTTTCTTATAATTAAAAAATAAATTAATAATTATTATATAATAATTATAAAGTTTTATATTATAAATATTTATTTTAATTATTAAATTTTTATAAAATCTTTTCCTTTTTATTATAATAAAAAATATTAATAATAACTTATAAGAATTATTTAATATTTTTATTAATATATTTTATAAGAATAATAATAATAAGTAAAATTATTTAATAAATATTATATTTATTATTTACATTAAAAATATACTTAATATAATTATTATTATAACTATTATTAATATAATTAATATTAAAGGTAGCTTTGCTGCAATCCTTAATTAAAATTAAAATTCCCTTATAAATATTATAATTATAACTTTAATTAATAAAATAAACATTATAATTATAACCTTAATTAATAAAATAAATATTATAATTATATTCTTAATAAGCAATAAAATAAAGATTAAAATTATTATTAAGGCTATAAAAAGAGTTAAAATTACCTTAAATAATAAGAATAAAGATAAGCTTATTAATCTTATTAATTCTTATAATAAGGTTATTACTAATAATGCTTATTTAATAAATATTAATAAAAAGATTAATAATAATAATTCTTATTTATTTGCTTATTTAATAAATACTAATAAAAAGGTTAATAATAACAATTCTTATTTACTTAATATTAATAGCAATTTAATTATTATTAATAATAAAAATAATTAAAATTAAGCTAATAAAACTTTAATAAAAATTATAAAAATTACCTTTAACTTTATTTTTATATTAAGTATTAAAAAAAGCAAGCTACTTATTAAGGTTAATTCCTATAAAATTATTAAAATTAATAAGCTAAAGGTTATAATTATAGCCTAAGTTAAAATACTTTTCTTAAATAACGTTATTATAATAGCTATTATTTAAATTATTAATAACTTTTAATATTAAAATAAGTAAATATTTTTTAATAATATAATTAAAAAGCTATATATTTATATTAAAAGTATTAAAATTCTTAATATAAAAATATATAGCATCCTTAATAATAAGAATTATTAAAATAATTACTATCTTAAATACTAAATTATTATAATTTTTATAATAAATAACTTAATAAAAGTTTTAATTTTAAATATCTTTTATATATATTAAATTAAAAAAATTTAATTATTAAAGAATTAAATTATTATACTAACTTAATTTTAAAACTTTTTATATTAAACTATTAATAAATATATATAAAGCTTATATATAAAGAAACTTATTAAAAAATATATATTATTACTTAAGCAACTTAAGTAAAAAATAATTATTAAGAAAATTAAAAAAAATAATAAAAAATAAGAAAAGGAAATAATAAATAAATAAGCTACTTATAATACTTAGTTTTAAAAGAATAAAAAGTAGCTAAAGGAAATTAATTTAAAATAATATTAAATATATTTTAATAATAAAAGTAAAGATAAAAATAATAATATTTATATTATAAAAATATATAATAAAAATAAATATAAGCTAAAGGATTTAGCATTAGCTTTATAAGCATTAATTTTCCTTATAAAGAAAAAATTTAAAATTAAGGCTATTATATAAAAGTTAATAATTTTTATAAAAAAGTAACCTTAAAAGCTAAATATTAAAGATAATAAATATAATATTTAAAAAATAATATAATAATAATAATTATAAATTTAAAGAGTAATATAATAATAAAGATTATAAATTTAAGAAATAATATAATAATAAAGATTATTAAAACTTATTTTAAAACTTATAAGTTATAATTTTAAGCCTTTTTAATAATGCTTTTTTATAATAAAAATTATATATATATAATATATAATGAATTATAATTTTAAGCTAATTATAATAAAAATTATATATACTTATTAAAAAAAAAGAAAACTTTAAGTATTAGTAAGTATAACCCTTGCTATTAAGAGGTTACTTTAATTATCCCTTATAAGGCACATAGCCTTTTAAAACTTAGATAGAATAATATTGATACATAATTGCTTCCCATACGATTATCATACGTATGAGAGACCTACCAACAGAACCATCCTCGAGCGTGTCGATGAAGATCGTTGTGCGCCCGTCACTCACAAGACCAGCGGCCCCCAAGAGCCCCGGTAGCCCAATTTTGAGATAGACTTGATGCCCAGGTTGTCCCATACCAAAGACGTTGTTCTGAACTGTCAGATCTGCAACGGGCTTCCCATGTTCTCCGTATGAAGACGGCTTGGTTAGACATCCAGCGAAGAAGAAAACATCGAGGGCCTCCACCGCACTTCGTAGATCCCTGTTCAAATCCTTGAGCTGTTGAACATCATTTGGCGTTTTCATTCCTATCCAGTTTTGGTAGGATTCAATAAATTCTTCCCTGGCCTGTTGTTGACGATAGTCTGGCTGCCTTGTGAGCATTTTCACTTCATGCAGGATGTCTTGTGGCTTATGTGACAGCTTAATTAGCATCAGTGACTTGTACATCACATCAGAATTGGAGACAGGGTGAATCCTGACTCTATGGATGGAGTGACAGTTGCAGCTGGGCATGATGCTGAGATTTTGGCTTGTGCTTGGTGTTTTTGATGGTCTGTGTTGGATGCTGATGTGTTTCTGGGAAAACATCGCTGTAAATCTGCGCTGACAGCCATGAGTTATATACTTGGGATTCAAAAACAAGCGCATTGAATATTTCCCCCCCGGGCTTACCAAAACGAGGCACAAATTCATCGAGGACAATGCAATTCTCTGCCACCGATGTTTCAGTTCAAGATGTTCTTATTGTCTCCAAATACCTGGGCAGTGCCACGCCTATTGCTTTCCTGTGGCTGGCCAGACAAAGGAAAGCTTTCTCTCAAGAAATTTATGATACGACGCTCAATCCAACTGAAACTTGAAACTTCTGAATACATTTGTACTCGAGGCAGCGAGTGCCTTTATGAGATTCCATGCATAGCAAATCTGGTACCTCAGCACCGTCAAGTTCCATTCGAAATGACCCGAAAGAAGGGCAACCCCTCGAATACTGTGTGGCAGCCGTGAAAAAGAGCAAATCCGATCAACTCCTTCACCAATGCAATTATTTTCCGACTGCAAATGCTCATCCAGCTTTTTCTGCTGTATGCTTTCCGAGCCTGTCACACAAGCTCCGTCTCCCTGTTCAGGATATCATGATCCCCACAAGGCATCCCCCAACCCAGACCCGGTCTCACATGGTGGCTCTCATTGCTCATACAAGTTCCAACATATGACGAGCCCGATAAATCCAGTAAAATATCCCAGCCGAGATGACTGCTAATGCGCTTATAGCGATGAACTTGTTGACCCCAGCCTGTCGTGTATGAATGCCCTTTTCGTTGTGCTGAAGTTCATCGTCCTCCTCCCAGCTTATGCAGTCCTCAAGCCACCGTCCTCTTCGAATCCACTCCGCGTCTCCTACCTCGCGACACTGCTTGCAGGCCCGGGGGGAGCACCTGAGGCGACACTGAGGCTGGTGATGCCCGCCGTAAGAACAGCCGTTCCAAAGGCCCGGGCAGGACGGAGCACAGTCGTTTATCAACTCTGGGGGTGGTGAATCGAGTTCTGAGCTGGATTTTTCGTGATTCGGTTCTCGTTCTGATAGACTGTGCGTTGGTGAAATTGTCCTTGATGAGGGTATGCTATCAGAGGGTAGGTTGTTCCCAGCTCTCGAGGCCAGCAAGGCTTCATCGTTTGGACGTTCCATGTTCGAGTGTTGCTGTCGTTGCTGCTGCTGGCTGCTGCTGCTTCTGTTGTTGTTGATCAAAAAACGAGGCCTGGTAAGATCGTTGAGTAGGTGATTATCGGTCTGGATGAGTGGCATTATTGTGACGGAGGTAGAAAGCATTATAAGTTCGGTGGTTTGGTCATTCTTCGCAACTATTGTGTGCGGTGCCTACCTAGGTAGGTCACCCGCAAAGCGACGGCTAACCTTAGTGGTACAATTAGTACAGAAATAGATGAATATACTGTGCTCATGTGCCTTCATGAGATACAATTTTTGGAATTAGAAGAGAGTTAGTTGCCGCGCCGGTTCTTGCTTGAGAAACAAGCTCTCGACCCCAGATGTAAGCGCTGACGTCAAGGGCATTTGAATGTGCGGAGTTGATGCTATGCGCTTTGATTGGTTAGTCCGGGTGTCGGCTCGAGATCCTAGGATAGCTCCCCTCTAGCGTTGCCCGGCCTCTCGACTCATGTGCTGCCAGCTGTTCGATTTCATCGTCGGACTGCACGTGCTGCCAGTAACGAGATCCGGCTCGAGGTTGACTCACACGGCATACAGAGCAAAAAATATTACATCAGGTCATCACGATGGCTTCAGATTCGGCAAAATGGACGACCACGGGATCGAACCGTGTACCTCGCGCATGATGATCTTCTCAGAGAGAGGATTGATGCTAAGCGCGCGCTCTACCATTTGAGCTAGACGCCCTTGACGATCTGCCAAGACGTGGGTATTATATCGGTGGTGTCGGCCGGGATATCGGCCGTGACATGGGACCGAAACCTTGCCCCAGAAGTACAGAACGCACACCCAGGGGAATTTTGCTTCATTCCAAATCTCACGCCAATTTTTTGCTACTATCAATTATTTGCATACGGATTCTTTTCATGTACCGTAGTTAATTCTGACTTTGCACATGCATAGAGGGGGCATGGTGCATTGAAAGATATGACCAATTCTGTCTCACCAGAACTATTCACATAGTAGTCTGCACGTGATAGCAGCATTCGCATGCCAAAGTCACGAGATACCAGAGTGTACTTCTGTCATTCCGTCTGAAATGAGCTGAACTCGAATCTCCTTTCCGCCACTATATGTGAGTTGGTGCTCCTTTGGGCGAACGTTGCGCTGATGTTATCCCACTTCAAGCCCCGGGGGGGGGGGGGAACACGATTACACTACTGAAAGAGTACTTATGGCGTCACCGTCAAACCGATTCTCGTTTGGTGAGCCAGTGCCTTGGCTTTGATCCAGCACTGGCTCACCAAACGAGAATCGGTTTGACGGTGACGCCATCTTCCATGTCCTTAATTGCCTTGAGGTAGTCCTCAGCCGGGTAGAGCTTGACTATCTTATCGACAGGGAGGTTTCCAGCCTTGTACCACTTGACCAATTCGGGAACATACTAATATCAAATAAATTAGCAAAATGTTCAGTCGCGAATATTTCACGTAGGAGGTCATAATTACCTCTTCAGGACGCACGCCGCCCTCCATTGATCCAAAAATCGACTTGCCCGACTGCACAGGTGTCAGTAGATGATTCAGAAAAGACAACGGCTCATTATGCGTACCATTGTGTACGGAACTAGAGTGATCTGCAGAGTCGCGTCCATCGGCGGGATGCCCAGGAGGATCATCTTCCCTTGGTTCGCTGTAAACTCGACGCCCTGCTGGATCAGCGGGACCGCCCCTGAGGCATCCACGGTTATGGTAGTGCCAGCGTCCCCGGTGAGTCCTCTGATTTCCTCAATCAGAGTACCCTTGATCTCACCCGTGTTGACCACGTGAGTAGCACCGAGGCTTTTCGCCAGCTCGAGACGCGACCCAACCCGGTCAACACCGATGATGGTCTTGCAGCCTCTGATCTTGGCACCCTATTTCGGGTTCAGCAAATCGCATGCACGTGAAACGGTAGATATAGAAGCGCTCCTACCATAATAGCACATAGGCCCACTGCCCCAAGCCCGAGGACGGCGACGGTGTCGGCCGGCTGAGCGTTGGCGAGCTCAGTGATTGTCCCGGCCCCGGTCTGGATGCCGCAGCCAAATGATGCCAGGACCTTCAAGTCGTTGTCGTTCTCGAGCAGGGTGGTGACTTTGACCACGGAAGTCTCTTTTACTTTGGTCAATCGCGCGAAGCTCGACTGTCCGAAAAAGGAGCCGCCGACGGACTCGCCAGGAGTCCCTGACTCCGAGCTGGAGAAGGCGTCCCTGCTGCCGCTGAAGTTGATCAAGCCCCACTTCACGCAGTAACTGGGGGCACCGAATTTGCAGTTGTAGCATTCCTTGCAGCATGAGAAGGATAAGAGGACCCTGTCTCCCTCTTGGACCTTGGTGATCTTTGACCCGGTCGACTTGACGATGCCAGCACCTGTTTGACACGCAGTCAGACATCGACGCTTACACACATCAGACAGGAATTAGTACCAGGAAAATATGTTACCTTCGTGACCGAGAACCCGCGGGTACGTGGGCAAGCCGAGTGGGAGTGCTTCATCCGGAATGCTCCCGCAGACCAGGTCAGTGTGGCAGATGCCCGTGGCCACCATCCCCACGACGATTTCGTCGTCCGCGGGAGGCGAGAAAGACACCTTCTCCAGAGACCACTTCCTCTCGCCATCTTGAGGTGCGCGGCAGACAATCGCCTGCGTCTGGGTGTGTTCTCCAGAAGACATGGTGTAGTTAATTTATACCAGAAAATGTGTAAATAAATGTGTAAAGGTAGTAGGTTCTCAATCAAATCACAAGGTGAACAAGACAAGACGTTCCCCTCATATCCGACGTTGCTCTGTTGACTAGTGCTTCCGAGGTAGTTTCACCGTGGTAAGCTTCCCGTCCTGACGGATGATACCCCGACTACAGACTACCACGCGTCGGATGAGAAGTGTCTTCGGCACTTCATTTGTCTCTGCGCAAACCATCCGTCTGTTGCTTCCCCGCATTAAAAACCGCAGGGCTCTTTTGCAGACCCACACATGACAGCTCACGCTGGAGGGCAAATCTTCTGTTGGTGTTGCTCTGGTGTTAAGTCAGGGTCTGCACATTCGGCCCACCCCCTGATTCGGCCCACCAAAACGGTCCTCCTCGCCATACCACCCCTTTGATTAAAGTTACTCTAAATTATTATCATTACCCATAACAATGCATTCCTTTGCATTTATAGTATCTTTAAAAGCGTTTATTTTTGCTAAATTATCCTTAATTACGCTAGCATTAATTTATGCCCTATATATATGCTTAATTTTAATAAATATAAAGTTTAGGCTTATTTTAATCTTTCTTCTTTTTTAAGGTATTATAGCCGTTAATTTATCTTTAAGGACCTAATTCTTTTATAAAAGCATTATTAATTGTTAGTTTTTCTTATTATATCCTTTTTAAATCTTCCTAAAGAGTAATTATTAAGTTATAATTAAGTGTTTTTATAAGTTATAATTAGCAAAAGTAACTTGCATTTCTTAAAATACTTTAAGGGTTAAAAAAACTCTTTTTTATAACTTAATAAGTATTAAAGTAATTAATTTAAGTTTTTTAATTTTTATAGCATTATTAAAAATAAATATAAATATTATTTTATTAAAATTTTTAAGTATAATTATATTTATTAATAATTTAGCTATATTAATTAGCTATAAATTAATTCCTTATTATTTAAAAAGTATATGCTTTTCTTTAAATATTATAAATCTTGCCTTTTAATAGCAATAAAGGAATAATTACTTTTTAATATAAATATTATTAATATAAAAGTTTAAAAGATTTGCTTTCTTTTTATATGCTACCTTAAAGTTAAAAAATACCCTTAAATTAAAAGATTGCAATATATATAAGGTATGTAGTAATAAATAAAGGCAATAAATCTTATATAAAAAGCATTTCTATATAAACTTTAAAGTATAATAGCTTTTATATCTATTTATTATTAATAAATACTACTTTTTAAGAGCATTTAGCTTTATTTAAGGGATAAAAATCTTTTATAGCTACTTAAGTGCTATAACGTTATTTATTTAGCTATTTAATGTTATTATAAATTCTTAATTTTTATAACTCTTAAAGATTTTAAACTATTATTATTAAATTAACTTCTTTTTAAAAATAATAAGGAAAGGATATAATTTACTTATTATAAAAATATACTTAAGGAAAGAGGTTTATATGCATAACTTATAGCTTTTTTAAGTAATAACCTTCCTTCCTTTAAGTTTTAAAATAATGCCATTCTTTCTCTTGCCCTTAGCTATACCTCCCTTATTAATATTATAATGATTTTTTAAGTAAATATTTATAATTGCTAATAATTAAAGAAGATTAAATTACTTTTTAATTATACTTATTTTTGCTTTATTTACTTAGCTTAAAATTATTTAACGGCTTTATATACTTTAAATTTTAGGATTTTTAATAAGAAAAGCCCTTAGCTAATGCTTATTAAAAAATAATTAATATTTTTAAAAAACGATTATTTAAGTTATGAAAAACCTTATTTTAAAATATATTATTAATAGCTTTAATATTGCTTAATTAATTATTTAATTAAATAAATATATTTCTTAGGTTTATAATAACCTTATTTAAGATTTTAAGGCATTTAAATAGCTTTAAGCATTATAATAATAATTATAAAGTATAATTCTTAAAATGCCCTAATATAAAAAGGCCTTTTAAATATTAGCGCTAGCCTAAATTGCCTTAAGTACTATACCTACATCTTCTTTTATATATGGCTTTATAATTAATAAATAATAATATATTAAAAGTTTAAAGAAAAGAGAAAATTCCGTCGTAAAGAAAACGCGTGATATGTAATGGGGTGGACTTAACGCGCACGCGGGTGTAGAGTGGGCCGAATCAGGGGGTGGGCCGAATGTGCAGACCCTGACTTATAACTCTCTTGGCTCCGTCGGAAGACGTCTCTGATGCAGGCACTGTCTAGCAACTGCTACTCCAACGAGCTCATATGTCCTAATGCAATGCAATTGAATTGAGATGATTATTAAATTTAAGATCTATGACATGCTTTTGTACTGAGGTACAGTACTAACCCCACGCTCTGCTTCTAGAAAGTATGCACCGCAAAGCAGTTGAAATCAAGGAGTCGCAGCCGCCGCCCCGCCCGTGCAGGTGGCCGTGTTGGTCACGACGGGCGAGTGCGCATTCTGGGACGGGCAGTTGGGCAAATAAGTCCCGTTGATATTGATAGGCGAGAAGCCGATGATGCCGCCGCCGCCGTAGCCATCGACAGGGACCGTGATGGGCTTCGACTGGGTGCACGTGCCGGTGGCCTTGTCGCAGGTGAGGTAGTCGGCCAGCGAGGTCAAGTTTGCGGTGAGGGCGAGGCTCTGCAGCGCCTTGGTGGGCCGCTGCTCCTGGGCGTCGCACCAGTACCACTCCTGGATCCAGAGCCAATTCTTGCCGTCTGAGATGACGCGCAGCAGGCCGTCCGGGTCGCAGTTGCAGTCGAACAGGCCGTTGTAGGTGCCGCAGTGGCCCGGGGTGTCGGGGCAGCTGAAGGTGCCGTTTCCGTAGGTTACCTTGACCGAGGCGGCGTTGTTGCCATTTGAGTCGATGGTGGACTTGAGGCCGGACACGGCGAGGGCTGTGGGGAGGGGACAGCCTTTGGAGGCGTAAGGGTTGAAGAGAGTGTTGGTGGTGGTGCTGGTAGAGGCAGTCGAGGAAGCACCACCGCTAGCAGAAGACGGGGATGGGGTTGTTGCTGGTGCAGGTGTGCTAGATTTTGGGGATGAGGCGGGCGTGGTAGCGGCGACTGAAGACGACGACTTGGAGGTGCTGCCGGGTGTGGCGGATGGAGTAGTCGAAGACTTCTTGGTGCTCGACGAAGAGGGGGGACTTCCAGCAGAAGAGAGACAGCCGCGGTCGTAATAAACATCTGAGCTGCCTTTGTCCGCGTCGAAGTTGCCCGCCAGAGGGATGTTGAAGAGCATACACTCCTTGCTGCTGTATGCGAAGCTCTTGCACTGGGTGTCAGCAACGCAGGCGGCTGAGCATGTCAAGTACGAGTTGTATTTGCCGCTGTTGTCGTAGAAATAGTTTCCTTGGTCACGATCGTAGCCTTTGGTGCCGCAAACTTGAACGTCGGCACGCTTGTTATGACTGTGGCGTATGTGGCCGGCTTCAACTGACCCGGCTAGGGCCGCTGCCAGTAGAGCGATGGTGTATGCCTTGTGAATCATTTTGCTGGGTTGGCAGTCTGGATACTTTAAAAGAATGTGAAAAAGAGAAGACTGCACGACTGAGAGAAGGAATTGGTCTTAGAGAACTGAAGAGAATGCAATAATAGCCCGTGGATATAGTTGAAGGAAAGTCAAGTTCTTAAATCTTCATGCCGGAATTACTCTCTCTTTAATTACCCAGCTTACAACATGACCACAGACCACATAGGTCCTCGGTGCTTATGCAAATACACCAAGTTGATCTTGCAAATCGATTACGGAGCAGTCCGAATTAGTCCGATTGACACGGAGCCGACGCAGGGACGCTCGTGAGAACGATGTGACGTGGAGACGGCCTCCGAGTGATGGCTTGAGGCCGCTCCGGAACTATATTAGCTCTCTAGAGGCTTAAAGGCTTCCTTTGGGCAGAGGTCGAGATTCGTGAGCTGCCCTGCCCCCTAGAAAGCGCGGGTGCATGGACGTTGAACAGACCTCCAAGTCTTTATTCTTAGGGACAAACACCCGCTTGAGGACAGCGGTTAAGCTAGTAGTGCCAAGCTAAGGCAGGGGTAGCTTCACCTTCCATTACTCCTGCCCTCACTTAGCTCCGGTGTTGACCGAAGCCGTATTCGTAGCACCGGGATGCGGGCCGCTGGAGAGTGAGTTTTTGGATCTGTTTTACCCTTGCTCCGGGGCAGTGATTGCGCCAACCCCGGCTTCCTGGAGGCGTCGATCTTGAGCTAAGCCCGCAGCTATGCCCGTTACCGTAGTCTTGCTCCAAGAAGATCGTATGTTTAGAGTTTGGAGCGATTAATCGTCGGGTAGTGGCATCGGATGTGGGGATATCGCATCGGTCTACGCGACTATATGCTCTGGAGGGGGAGTGTAGTAATTGTAGTGTGCTCATTACGAAGCTCAAACCCATCTTTGCAAATCAGCTCTATAAGATATTCGCGTCCTCGGCTGGACTATTTAATTTGTATGACAATCTGCGGATTTAGCCCAGCTCCACACGCTACAAGACTCGCATTTAAAAAAGTCCAAGACAGACTGGCAGGATGTGACAAAGGCAAGGGGGAGGGGGTGGGCTCATGGCAGCTCCCAATTATGCCGATCCAGAGACCGTGAGTTGGCCTCGATACCCACTAGATAAATAGTCTACAGCTAAATGTCCGGGGGTCGTGCCACAAAGCTTGGCCAGCCAAGACAAGCCGGCTGGCTAGCTTTGGCTCACCCGCATTGTCTTTGGCCGAGATGGTTTCCGCCTTGTCAAACCCTTCACAGTTGGTCTACCGTATCAAGACTAAAGATAGGAAGCACTCACAGGCCAACGGCGCCCATGTTACCCAGCCAATTCTGGTCGACCGCGATACGGGCCAGATCCTCGCTTCCTGACATGAATTGGGCCCTCCTTGTGTTTCAGCTACTTCACATCCCGAAATAAAGTGATGGGCAGAACCTTGCCTCAAATTACTCATAGAGGCGCCCTTACAATCCAGTCATGGACTAAATACGTTGTACATCCAGGTTTGTGGATGGTGAGAGGAAACAGGAATGGTAACCCACTGTCGCGACAAGTACCTGTCTTCGTATCCTCGTGGCCTTGTATAGATCGTTTGAGTTCTGACTATTGCATACATTATATAATTACAGCATGATTTTGAGTTTACCGAGCATCTCTATGGACTGACGGAAAATCTTGGAAGAACCAGCCCTCTGACGTTCAAACCGCGCCCATCCCACTGTAAAGTGCGGGCTTATTGGGCGCCTTGCTGGATATCTCGATATTATAATACTGGCTTCCAGGCTCCTGGCCAGAGCTCGCATCGGTGAGTCCCAAAGCGCGGAAGACGCGGGGGTAAAGCTTGGTGATGGCGCGAAGAGGCGGCACGCAGGACATTATGATGACCATGGTTTGCTCCACAGCGGTCCACATCGTGGCGATGGAGGCTTGGTGTTGGGATGCTGCCGCCTCAGAAGTCTGTGTGATGATGGTCTTGACAATGGAGGCAGCCATGGTGAAGAGTGATGCGGCCATGAGAAGTACCAGGCTGATCTTCTGACACAGGGGCATATTCAGCCTCCAAATGATGACGGTCGGCAGCAGCACGAACGTGAGGTCGGAAAAGGTGAACAGTGCTATGGTTCCCAATTCTTGTCAGCAAGTGGAATAGCCGAGTTTATAGGACATTTCAGAGACTTACACTGCGTGAGAAATGCCATGTCCTGCTTGACGGCAGGATCCCACCGCCGCGCCGGCAGCGTCATATCCCACAGTCCTTCGACAGGGCTGACTTGCAACCAGACAAACAAGATGAGCAAGATGCCACACAAGATCTGTAGCGCCGTGAAGCCGATCACGAATCTTTTGAACCACACCTCTCGGCCAAAGATCCGGGTGAGCAGGATGGCGCTTGATACCCTCGATAGGACCGACACGAAGATCCCGGGCGTCACCAGAATATACACCCACTTCATGATCTCCATCATTTGGGGGTAAGTAAGACTCGAGTCCGGTTTTCCGAATCCGAGTTCATAGGCCTTGGTGAGGCAAGCTTCGAATGCCAATTGGCATATCTTTGGGAGCGAATAATGTGTTAGACATATCGCCTTGTCTCAGGGTTTGGGGTGAACGGAGGGTATGGCAACATACGACGGCTGCAAGCATTATCCAATCATCCAAACCAATCGTCCTGTTGACGCTCTTCCTCACGTAGAGCCGTAAACCCACAGCCAGCACGGACAGCGCCGTCAAGGTCCATGAGACGCCCATAAACAAAGGCCCGTGGCCCGCAGAGGTAGACATTTCGAACAGCCAGGTTCTTCGACGTACTGGATTACTTACCCGGAAATTTGTTGATGATTGACGGTGATAATCATATGAACCAGTGGTCAGCGCTGCGATCTCAAAGTTACACAGCGGGCAACCTGATATTCATCATTTCCATTCGTTGGAATCCAATTTTAGAAGACCATGTCTACAGACACCCAGAGGATCGCTTGTCAGCCATGACTGTACACTTAAGGAAGGTGTAAGGCGTCATCCGTGCCTGGCTTCCTTGGCCGCGACCAGCGGAGCCGCGGTGAGTGCCCCGCAGACGATGCACCGGAGGTTCTTCCTTTTTGCGACTCCTTCACGGAGGATTTGCGGCGTCCCGATCAATACAGATCCATCGTCGGAATAAGTGCACCAGATTCGTGCAGGTTTGCACAGACTATTCACCAACGGGCACTTGTGGTGGTATTTCATCCTTCACCTGGATCCCACAGTTATTTTCGTACCTGTCGAGGCCCTGTCAAGGCGCAATCCTAACCCACCAGGCTGGCGGGACCCTGGCGAGGGCTCCGCAAGCGCCTTGGTGGAGGAGCCTGGCTCACCGAAGAGACCGCCGGGATTTGCGTGACTTCAAATCGCAGGGTTTAACGGTGAACATTGAGTCAAGCAGCTAGAGTCAACACCACACCAGCCTACCGGGTTCGCACTTTACCAAGACAGGAGCCAACAGATCTAGATAGGTTGCAGATTGACCACTTGAAATGCATCTCAATGCCATGACTGTAGCCGAGCGGCCGAATCATCCAGACTATTGAGTCCCCACACCTGCGATCCTTCGAAGGAATCACTCATTGCGACTGTTGGCTCTCCAGGTCCCGATTAGAAATGATAAGCGACGGCAGGTTTTGCAGGCTTGCAGGTAACCTTGGCGTTCTCCGAGAGTGGTCAAGTGGTCTCCCTGGTAATCTACTTGAATAAATCCATATGTCTTACCCTACTTAAATCATGCAAAGTTTCAAAATATCTTATACTTGTTTATAAAATGATACTAAATTTACATGTATGATATTAAATTCTCTATTTAAATTTATTATGCAGTTTTCTAGTTTTCTTTAAAAGATAAGATAAATAAGTAACCTTTGATTTCTTGTGTATTGTAACAAATTTTGCTTTGTTAAATAGTAGTAAATTTCTCACAATAGCTTACAAAAGTAAGGTTTCAATGTATCCCGAGTTGAACTTATAACGCACCGAAATATAAAGATGTCTATGGTTGTCCATCTCATCTTCTAGATCTCGGCCTCAAGCCTCTTGCCTCTCGCAGTGGTGCGACGATTCTAACGAAGAACATCAACATGGACGGGGCACTCGAGCGTTTGAGGGAGCTAGCTGCAACGACCAATGGTGCCAGCCGCCAGCAGCTTGGGGCGGAACTGTATAGCCTGGCACATTCCCTCGAAGATTCCGAGACTATCGTTGACCGGCTTGGGTATTTGGTAAGACGCTGATAGCTTAGCCCAGATGAACAGCAAAGTATGCGTAAATACTCTTCCAGCACCTCCAAACAGTCGCTGTTAAGATTGGCTTCAACCTTGGGCTCTTCAAACTGTTATCCGCCTCCAAGAACAGCCTTGAGGCAGGACAGATAGCTGACAAGCTCGGTGGCAACAAAGCACTCATAGGTAAGACGTTTACAGCATACGGCGCTGGACTGGACCTGACAATGATGTCTGCTTTCGCAGGGGCTGAGCGGGACGAGGCTCAATGGCGGAGTCTGATCGAAGACGCTGGGTTGAATCTTGTCAAGGACTATGACTACAATCCGCTTGGATATGAGCGTGTGATGGAGGTGCGCTTACCATGAGCATTTTGTGTATTGAGCCCAATTTCCACCACTAGACCTAGCAAAATGAAGCGAAATTCGTAATTTTCAGAGAACCGTGGTACAAGTGCTGGCGATGTGTGTGCTATAAAAGGGTTGCAAGTTGAAGAACAGCGCCTTTGCAGTACCAGTCCATACATCTTTTGCTCCACTCACTGTTTGTCTTAAAAATAACAGGTTAAAAATAATAGGTAAGAAATAATAAGTTAAAAATAATAAGTTAAAAATAATGAGTTAAAAATAATGAGTTAAAAATAATGAGTTAAAAATAATGAGTTAAAAATAATGAGTAAAAAATAATGAGTTAAAAATAATAAGTTAAATATAATAAGCGAAAACAATTTTTTTAAAAATATCCTTTTAAAATAAAAGTTTAAAATAAATTTATTTATAATAAATAATCCTTTTTCTCTATAAATATTTGTCATTATAATTTGCTATGTCTTAGTTTATTTTAAGTCTTAGTACCTAAGTACTTTACATACTTAATGATATAAAGACTTTAAACCCTGCAACTGCCCTCCTCCAGTATCTCACTGCATCTATACTCCCTTCCCCCTTGTATGCAGACATGATGGATGATATGGCGTTATCGCTACAGCAACTTCTCCTGAGCCGTGCTCAGGCAAAACCATGCAAGGGTCTTATTATTTATTCCACTGGGGAACACATCATCCTCCCGTTATTGTACATACAAAGATCTTTAGATCCAGGCCATAAGGTACAGCACACTCATCCGCTCTTTCAAAGGCTTTCGTGAGGTCAATCCGGTATTGATACACGTCGACGACCATTTGAATAACATCTTGTGGTTTGGGGCAACTTTCTACGCTAATGGAGTTCCTATTCTTTCAACGCCATTCAGCAATGATGCTCATTTCAGACAGCGTCACGTCCTGGGCTTCGCGAGCTGCTCCAGTCACCACACTGGATCACAAACTCACAGACCATCAGCCTCCTTGATTTTGAGCACACTTTACTGATCCATATGGCCGATGACCTGGTGCAACTAGATTCTTTGAACCAACGCTGCACTTGGAAATTGGGCCCTGATGCCAGACAGCCACCTTCGGCGGACGACCTCGCAATGCTCATGCTCACACCTGGCAGCACAGGAAACTCCAAAGCCGTGTTCATCTCCAATGGCCAAGCTCTTGCTTCTGTCAGTGCCAAAGCTGCTGTTCGACTTCTGCCAAAGGATAAGCCATTCCTAAACTGGATCGGCCTCGACCATGTTGCCGGCCTCTTGGAAATTCACCCCCAAGCGCTTTACCTTGGTGTTGACCAGGTTCACGTCGCTGCGTCCGACATGGTCTCTTCCCCTCTCGATTTTCTGAGGTTCAAGTTACTCAGCCATCATCAAGTCAGCCGAACTTTTGCGCCCAACTTTTTCCTCGCTGCTCTGATTGCGGCTGAACACCAGAAGCGTCACAGAAAGGCTACTTATGAGCCGCATTGGGATCTCAGCAACTTGTTCATCCTGGGATCTGGAGGAGAAGCGAACGACACGGTTGCCGCTGTTGCTGTCTCGGAATTACTACAACGCCATGGACCCGCTGACGCACTTCTACCTGGGTTTGGCGTGACTGAGACATGTGCTGGTTGCTTATACAGCAAAGACTGCCCAGCTTATGACGTGGTTTCAAGTCGGCAGCAGGTCTCTCTGGGTGAACCCACGGCGGGAGTTGAGATGCGAGTCATTCAGAGGATGGGAGGGAGGCCCCTCAAGCGCATGAAGGAGACCTAGAAGTACGCGGACGCGTGGTCACTCAGGGTTACTACAGAAACGAGATGGCCACAAAACTGGCGCTTCCGCCGGATGGATGTTTCCGCACCGGAGACAAAGCCATCATCGAAAAGAATGGGAAATTGAGCTTGTTGGAGAGAGGAAATGACGTGGTGAATATCAACGGGGTTAAGTTCATCATCTCAGACCTCCACATATGCATGAACCAGGCTCTGGGGCCGAATGCTGTGATGCCTGTGATTTTCGCCTCGCGAGATCCGTCTTCTCCCACAGAACAGGTCACAGTGGTCTATGTGCCTGAGCAATGGCCTCCCCGTTCCAGGGGAAGCTGTCGTGTTGCACGACTTGCTTGTTCATGCTCTTGTGGGTTTGACAGGCTCAAGACCATTTGTCTTTGCAGCCCCAGCCTCTGAAGATCTCCCCATGACTACGCTTGGCAAGATCTCGCTGGCCAAGCTGTGTGTGCGTTTCGAGTGCGGCGAGTTCGCAGACCATATTCCCACATACGACGCCATACTCCGACAGCAGCGCCTACGAGAGCGAAAACAGAATCCGTGCACCTGCGAATCAGAGAGACGCCTTTTGGATAACGAGAGAGGTGGTGGGGAATCCACACGAGGATTTCAGCCCGGACATGTCTCTTTTCGACATCGGCTTCAATTTCTGGGCAGATTCAATCTCCCACCCAATATCGCCCGGCGCATGAGGCAGCTGACATGGTGGGTGGAACCCAGCAGGATCTCAACGGAAGTTGGACTTTTTCATTGCTGACTGCCAAGTAGGTCCTCGTATTTATTCAACCTGACACACTTTCTTTGGCTTGTCACTCCTGAATGAGCTGGCGACATGCTACACGGCACTCAACAATATGCGTCCAGGCCCAAAGAGGAACTCGTTGCCCTGGTCTTGGGACGGCCCCACACTCTCGCCTCGCCGATCTTGGCCTCGGCGGCCCGGCGCTCATTGTATGGGCGGATTTGTCCTTCTGCCTTTGCAACATAGCTGTGGACTACACACCGAGTGGCAGCGTTTCAGCTCTGGACATATTTCATGCTGAACCCTTACAAGCGGCAGCAAGATCACGTGAAGACTGGGTCAACAATCATCTCAGAAAATGGCGAGACTTCTTCTCTGGTGAGGTGCGCTTCCACCAAGTTCCTGGTCAACACTACACTATGTTGAGCCCGGAGCATGTTGGAGAATTTTCTCAGATATTGAAGAAGGCGTTGAACGGGCGAGGCCTGTAAGTACAGTTGTCGGAATTACGATTACGACGTGCATTTCTTTTAAAAGTTGCTTTCGCGACATTCTCGATCTTGTGAGTACGTGGGTACAATTCTCATCTATCACGCGTTAGAGGGAGAGGATCAAAGTGGGAAGGGGTGTTGCTCAAGCAGGGTACCCCGAGGTGGGCCATGAGAGGGACCATGAGAGGAGTTCTTGGAGTGGCTGCCTGGCCCCAGCCTGGTTGGTCCGTACGCAGTTGGAAATGTGGCCGATGCATCCTGCGGCACAGCTACGGCGCAGCAGTGCCCCAGCTTTGGCCTCGGCCATTCGAAATGTGGGTAATGCCCAGCCCAATGAACAAAGTTTCCAGAGCACAGGGATTGGAGCACTGGAACGGTATATGCACCTCGTTCCTTGCCGATGACCTGTTTCGGTAGCTCTCTCCGGTGGGATTCTGTGGTACGGGGTCAACGGCTGACACAATCCTCCATTCAGACCATTCCTATCAGTAATGGTAGCCTAGAATGCGGGCCATTGGACCTCATCCTTTCCAAGCCTCTTCAGTACCCGCCTTGCAGCCACTGGTTGGTCGCCTGATTGCCCAGCTTGCAATGATGTTGCGTCTTCAACCAACATCAAATGCGGCTGGGTCGATAAATCGTAGCATTATGTCTGCATCGACTGCCCCGCTTCCTGGGCAATGCATGCACTATGTGACCATCAGGACTCAATGCCACGTAGATCCATATCACGACGTAGGTATTTATATCCGTACAGAAGGCTGTTGGTTCTGTGCGTTATCGACTGTTGGTGAGATTGTGCCATACTTGCAGCGTTTAGCGCTTACAGCCAGGTCCCGATCTGGCACGCACATGTAGCACGCAGAGCATTAAACACCTAAATCCTGATCTATGCTATTTAAAGTATTTTACTATAAATAAATCAGTGATAATTAATTTCGTAAAAGCTTCTTTCAAATTATTCTTTTAAAATTAAAAATAATTTAATTTATCCTTAGTTATTTATTTAAATTTAACTTTTTTTTTTAAATAAAATTTAATATTCTTAATGTTCTCTCTAAATTTATACATTAATACTTACTTTTTTGGGACTCTCTTAACAATAATACTCTTTGTTTTTTCTAGCTTATTGATGAATGTAGTATGTATGTCTTGGTTGGGCCCCCGTGGGAAAGCAATAAGCAGCCTATAAGAAGCCGCCGATTACATTCACACGCTACAGCCGTCATCTGCTGCTGTCGTTGGACTTATCCTTGTTCATGCCCTCCCTTCCTTCGCGTCTCCAGGAACATTCTAATTATCTGACTCTGTTCCAAGCTATTCAAGTCTAGTATTCTCGTACACTTCAATTCATTCCAATCCCAACAGCTGATACCATGTCCACATCCAATCTCCGCAAGGCCGATGGCCCTCTCGGCCTGATTTCAACGCCACGGACGCTGACTGGCAAGGTTCGTGTCTCAGTTCCCGCAGGTTTCAAGCTGGAATGCGCTAACACCCGAGAAACAGACCGACCCATTCACAGAAGATGCTTCTCAAATGGCGCTTGTTCACAACATGTTGATTCGTGCATACAACAGTATCTACCTCCAGGCAACACATGTGCGGTCAGCAGACGTGCCAGACTTTTTGAATTACTGCTCGGCGTGGCATATGACACTCAAGGGTCATCACGATGCCGAGGAAGAAGTTTATTTCCCAGGCATCGAGAAAGCTACAGGAGTCAAGGGAATCATGGATTCGGAGGTCGATGAACATGGTTAGAACCCCAATCCCTTCTGGAATGAGTCGTCCTGGTGTTTTTATCAATAATTCGGTGGTATTCTGGCTGACATATAGCCTCGCGGCGATTTGTTCAAGCTGCATTTAGCGAAGGTTTGCAAAAGTTCAAGGACTATGTTGATTCCCGCCTGGCCGACCCATCTTCATATTCTGGCAAGGAGCTGGTCAGCATCCTGGAATCGTTTGGCGAGGTCCTCGCGACTCACTTAGCCCATGAGCCGCCCAAGCTGGCGTCTCTCGGCCAGTACGGAGATTTTGACCCCAAACCGCTCTCAGAGCAGACGGCAAACCACAGCATGAAGTACATGCACGTCACAAATGTACTCCCAACGTTGTGGTTCAACTTGGACAAGGAGTTCGAGGAAGGAAAATGGGCTGACTTTCCTGCGATGCCCGGTCCCGTCAAATGGGTCATGATCAATGTGCTGGGGTCCTGGCAAAGGAACTGGTGGAGGTTCGGGAGCAGCGGTGCAGACGGCTTTCAGAGAGAGCTCTACTGTCTGTCGGATGAATACTCCAAGGCATAAAGAGTTGCGTTGCCTGTCTTGTTCGCTTTTCTTCCCAATTTGCACTCGCAGAGATTGGTAACTTATAAAATATAACTACTTTTCAACATTAATATTTTATGTAATGATGATAATCTTTATCAAGTGAGTTATTGTCGTGTTCCCATATTAATAACGCGTAGAATATTAGTATTTATTCATAATAATAAACTATAGAATATTGGTATTCATTAATATTAATTTCTTGTAGAATAATGAGACAATAACCCTTGTGAATAAACTTCTATTCAGTATCAAACGTGAAGTATAAGCATCTGCGTTGGGTAATGGAGTTCTGGAAGTTCATATGGACAGCTCAGACACGCAGGCCCAAGTTGAAGTGCACCCGTTACAGCTCAACTCCGTCTCAGCTACTTCGCTTGTATCGAGGTCAGGGAGACATCAAAGAGAATTATGTCGTCGAAGGTACGTCCTGTAATGAGCTCCCGAGGCCTTGGTAATGCGATTCTGTGGTGAGTATGATTATACGATATTTAGTTTTCGCCCATAAATGATGACCACTGAATGCAACAGGCCAGCTGGACGCTGATGGAGGATTTGTGTGATACTGTCGCATTGATACTGCCACATATCACTCAGGCAACGTCGTACGAAAGTAGTTCATCGAAGGGCTGAGAACTGCATGCAGGACGGCACGGGTTTCGGGTCTGCTGATCCGTCATCCTGCTGCACCTGATAACTCTTCTGCCATTCAGTACCCTGCACCACCGACGATCCATCCAACCTGACTTCGATGGACCCAGCCGGCGAGGCTTCCAACGCGAGCTCTGAGGGTATACAACGTGAGCCTATCTTCAGCTCCTCTATTCTAGCCCATAGCAAAGTCTTTGCCAGCAGGACAGGTACTGATACGCGAATTCGACAGCCCAAGGTGGACAAGTCCGGTTGGCTCCTCCCCTGCCGGACGCTAAATGGGATCCTACCCCTCTCTCAACAGAAGACGAGGACGATGAGCCCAAATGGACAGAGATACAGCTGGCATCTCGGATCGGGGACCTGGGACGCGTGAGCGAGATCTTGTCGGCTTGTGATAGCATCGCCCAGAGGTTGGAGGTGGTCAATCACCCCCCGGTGGGATACTATGGGCAGACGGCACTACAAGCCGCTTCGATGCGCGGTCACCGTCTCGTTGCTCAGGCTTTGATAGAAGCAGGGGCTGATGTCAATGCTCCGGGAGGGAACAATATATATCGCAATGCTTTCGAGCTTGCCTGTGGTACAGGTTGGTCCAACTACATGCACACGACTGTTATTGTCTGGCGGCTCACTGTGCACAGGAAATCTCCGTCTAATCCGCCTATTACTCGAAGCTGGCGCAGTAGTTGACCCAAAGAATGTCACGAGGTATCAAGGCCGTACGCCTATCCAGGCCGCAGCTGAGAGTGGTCACGAGGAAGTCGTACTGCTTCTTCTAGATCTCGGTGCCAACATCAACGCGCCAGCATCACCCAGCTCTGGTGTCACCGCTCTGCAGGCAGCATGTTTCCAGGGACATACTAGCTTGGCAAGACTACTGATTGATAGAGGCTCAGATGTCAACAGCCCTCCAGGAAAATCAAATGGTTACACTGCCCTGCAGGGGGCTTGCCTGGGAGGAGAAGAAGATATCGTCAGGCTGTTGCTTGACAGTGGCGCCGACGTCAACGCGCCTGGAAGTCCGTATAATGGAGGAACGGCTTTACATGCGGCAGTCTCTCGAGGCAACATGAGGCTTATCAATATCTTGCTATCTGCCAACGCAAACCCCAACAGTCAGGCAGGCCAACGGAGGCAAACTCCTGCTCAAAGTGCACATTTAATAGGGCGACAAGACATTGTTGATGCATTGAGAAGTTCTGGCGCCACTGGGATTCTAACAGGCGGGACGATCTTGTTCGACACGAGCAGGATAAGAACATGGGCTAAAGATGATATTGGGCATACGGCGGCCTGAGGATAAACATACATAGGCAGCTAATTAGACAGGTTGCACCTATAGCCACGAACCGATATCGATCCCTGGCTGGCACAACCACGAATCGACATCGATACCGGGGAGCAACAACCACGGATCGATATCGATTCCAGGCAGCCTCAATCGCGAATCGACCTAGATGCCCAGCACTTATGACCACCGACTCACCTGCCTCAATGCCTTGTGCGTACAGCCACAGAGCTCCCTTAATGACTCATACCCATATTTGTAAACCTGAAACCTGCAGCCAGGAATCGATGTCGATTCCTGGCAGCCACAGCCACAGCCACGCATCGATATCGATCCCTGCGCTGGACCTGATCTGCGAGCATGGCCAGGCGCTGCTGCCTCACGTGGCCATGGAAGCGTGGCAGAGCCGCAACAAGGGCAGTGTCAGCTGGTCCCTGCTCCGGACGGCGTCTGGAGAGAAGCGGAGCTGTCGTGTTTGCGGGTGTAAAATTTCAAAGTTCTATTGAGGATTGCGACGTGCGGGATTCTCAGGTGGCAGAGTTCACTTGCAAGAAACATGTTGCTTGTGAAACGTGCTTGAGCTCGACAGAGGGTGCCGCGCCGGTGTGTCTGGAGTGTTTGGCATCCGCAACGGTCTCGTCCGCATCAGGTGATAAGCGTGACACCGACTCGCCCGTACAGCCCTCTTCTAAAGTCTCCGCGCTGGTGAAGAATATCATGACGACGCTGGAGAGCCAAGCTCTTGAGGATAAGAACTATCCCCCGAGCAAAAGGTACTGTATCTTTCATATCTATAAGATCATTTTGCATACATTTGAACCAGTTTTGCTGATTAACAATTATAGTGTTGTTTTCTCCTACTGAACGCGCATGCCTGATTTGATAACTTGTGCCTTGAGCCCACATCTCCACCCTTATCTTCTCCGTTGTACGAATTGACGGTCACCAAACATTACAACAACGTCGCATTGCGCTGGATCGATTCAACAGCTACAAAAACTGCGTGATTATGCTGGCTAAGATTGGAGCTGTGGGTGAAGGGTATGTATTTCGTCGGCGCACTAGAGCATTGTGCACTTGTGTCACCCGTGTGTTGCCCTCACAGGTGCATCTCGACTCATAGGCCAGAAGCAGTGGGAGACTCGTAAGAAACAAAAACTAACGTAAATTGTGGTTGGAATAGGATCGATTTGAGTAACCCATCCAATGTTCATATCGTCGAACCACAATGGAACCCTATGGTTGAGGCTCAAGCAGTCGATCGTGTACACCGCATCGGGCAGACTAGGGAGGTGTTAGTCACAAGATATTGTGTCAATGGCAGTATCGAGGAGGTGAGTTGGTCTAGTTTTTGGTTCAGCTTCAACAGTTCTTTTCCACGAGGATCACCTTGGTATTCACCTCAGTGGCTGATTTATTGGATAACTCATGTTCTAACCATCTGGTTCTCAGTACGTCCAATGGATTCAAATGAACAAACTGAGGCTGATTTGGGAGTCTCTCTTGTCTTCCGAGCAGAGTGACATTCAGAAATTGAAGGAAGAAGAGCGCCTTACAGAGCAACGTTGAGAGGTAAGATCTGGAGGGCCCCTAAAACTACAATTAGAGTTGAGACGCTAACATTACTCACAGAAATTCTATAGCTTCTTAGGTAACTAAATGCATAAGAGAATCTGTTCCACAGATACTACGCTCATTTTTGTTTAGCTCAAGTGCAAAGTGTTGGCCACACAGATATTACAGTAGGGGCTGAGAAATTCTATCCACCATCTGAATGGCCTTTCGTAGAGTTCATAACAAGCTATTTCCCGGACCATCCTATCCATAGCTTCAAGTGGCCTTAGAGACCCTGACAGTCATGTCTGTCTGTCTCCAGAGTACAAATGAATCTTCCTTGAACGGCGTCGAAGGATTCACGAGTTGGAAATCAAAGTCCCGCAAAAGCTGAGCAATTTGAACTGGTTAGAGACCAGCAGGCCATAGTAATGATGCTCGGCAGACTTACCTCGAAGTATATCTTATGGAGTTCAGTATACGCCACCATCTTTCCCGCGCACATCCACCGACCCCCTCCGAAGTGGATGTCGATCGTCCGGTCCATTTGATGTCTCTGAGCCTCGCTGCACTCAAGCCAACGCTCCGGCCGGAATACCTCCACGTCTGCACCGAAAATCTCTTGTCTTCTCATCATCGAAAACGAATTGTGCCCAACAGCCGTGCCCTCGGGGATGAACATGCCGTTGATAGTGTCACCGCCAGGGGGGACGGACTTGTAGTGACCGTAGGGCGCGGGGGGACGCATCCTGATGCCTTCTGCGACGACGGCCTATGAATTTGTCAGCATAACTCATCATCTCCCGTTGCTCCTTAGGTCTAAAGTGCTCCCGCTTACCTGCAGATATGGGAGCTTTTTTGCCTCCTCAACGGTTATGGGCGACGATGCCACACCGGTCTGGATCGCATCTTGGATGTGCTCCTTGAGCTTTTGGTAAGCCCGAGGGGAGGTCATTAGAAAGCACATTGTGCTTCTGATGACGGTCGAGCTGGTCTCCGCCCCGGCGACCAGCTGGAGCGGCACTTCGGCTATGGCTGACCCCTTTTCAATTCCATGCCGCATGAAAGATCCCTGTACACACTCTCTCAGCTTGGAACATCCTAAAATTGCTAGGATTGTACGTTGAACATAAACGGAATCGGTTGAAACTGAGCCTGTTAGGGGAGAGTGCGGCACTCGAAGCACTAACCAACATATCTCCATGGTTCTGTTCGCCGCTCTCGAATCGCTTCTCAATGATATCGCGGGCAATCCTACAGCCGGCCCGGTTAGGTGAACGTTAATTTGGCGTATTTTTAAGTTGGTTGGCACGTACCTCATCAGCCGTCCCATGCCTGACTTGTCTGAGAATTTCGGTTTGAACATATCTCCCACGAAGGTATTGTTAATTTTTCGCAAGAAAGGAATTTCGGAGAAGAGACCCGTTACCACCAACAACTGATCAAGAGATCGCGTATAATTGTACAAATCGTCCTCAGCGTCCAAGAATCCAAATGCCTCACCGTAAGACAGGTCGGTAATGACGTCCAGAGTGAAGTAGTAGGCAAGGCGGGCGAGATCCACGGAAATGAGTTTATCGCCTTCGGACAAATACCGTTGCCGCAGAACATCCTTTAGATGTGAAATCTTGCCCTCGACCCTCTTCTCCACTGCAGCATGTGAATCAGCTATCAAAGCACCGAGGAACACATTTTATTCAAATATAAAAGAGGCCGGGGGCAGGCCAAGTGTGCCAGTAGCCTGTCTGAATCCAGAAGCTGCTTACTATCCATGTTGTCACGGCCACCGTAGGCGGCAGCCATCTTAGCTTTGACCTTATCATGGGGTTCTGCTTCCAGAATGGTTGCTAGATTCGTAGACCCAGGAGTCAAGCTGAGGCTAACCCACCACTCGTCTCTGTTATATTGGCTCCTGGCAGCTGAGATCTGTCGGAGAGTCTCTGGGTCATCTGTCAGGAGGTAGTTTGGTCCCACCCTTACCAGACGGCCATACTCTTGTAATCCCAGCAATGCGGGGGCGATGCGTGCTTTGAGGAGTTGCTTGACAACCCATAGGGATGAGAAGGAGGCTAGGAAGGGACCGGGAACATGGGAAAGTCGGTACCAGGCCTTGAATGTGGAAACGAAGAACCACGAGACAGCAATTGTAACCACCAGGCCGAGCAACGTGGTTCCACGCAGGCTTGACAGACCCACGTCCAACAATTCCATCGTTGAAATCGAATCAAGAGACGGTCGGTAGTAGCGATATTGAAATAAAGTAGCCTCAACTGAAGACATGAGACGATGAGGAGCGACGTCCAGGCTTTGAAGCAGAGGAAGAACGGGCAGAAGCGGGGTTTTTATCTCTGAACTGGTTTTGCAACAGGCAGGTTAGTCTGTTCCCTAAATATCATGGCAAAAGGACTTGGAACGGCCATCTCCCGCACCTGCAGGAGACTAGTCAGCTTGACCAACAGCACATAATAGTAATAATAGGTGGAACGGGTGTCCACTTTGTGCAGAGAGGTAGTAGCGCATATGCAGAGAAGCGGGGTGGAGGGGATGATAGTCATATTGTGCGAGATGGTCTTACTCTCACATGCCATCAAGTTTTGGGCTTGGCTAGTACAGTGCAGATTAGCACTTTATAAGCTGGAAGTACTGAAGAGACGGGATAGTACTCGTAATCTTTATTGAATGCCTAAATATCTGAATTCGGGAGATGGTTTCGCAGACATCTTTTGTTCCTCTTCCCAAACTGAGCCATTGGGGAGAAGACTTGATCACATCAAGGGCCTGAAATTCATGCTTGGAAAGGGTGACTCTGGGCTGTCCATATTATAAGATACATCTGCCTACCAACCAGTGAAGAGCACGAGTTCGGGGCCTATTGAAGAACTTCAGTTAGGCTACATCAAATGCTTTCACAATGTCATCGACCCCAGCAAAACTTAGCTCATGCATAGTCTCTCTCCACAGCCGTCTCGCAACCTGCCCACCCTCAGCATGAAGGTAAGACAGGGGCCGCTTGCCAGGTTACTCTGGCGATGAGAAGTGAGAAGTGAAAAACGTCCATGCCGACCAAGCAGGTTGACTGGTTACCAACGCAGTGTTGGGGTAGTATCTATACGTTTCACAGCAGAATGGGTGACAAAAGTCCCTGGGTCAGTGTGGCTAGTGTAATTTGCAACAGAGCGTCCCGGTGCTCACGGGATTGCTGTTCGTCCATTCACGAGACGTAGCACAGCCAACTGCATGTATGAATCACCATGGCTGCCTGGCCAACGTTGTCGAATCAGGTCCAACATGGCCCGAAGAAAGTCATACTCTATTTGTGGCTGGACTTCCACAGTGCCGTAACCGACGCTCGACTTGCAGACGCTATTCAGTGGTCTCTAGCAGCCTCACATCGTTTCTCAATCAACATTGAATTAATCCATCTCTCCCAAAGTCGACTTTAGAAGTCACAATGGTCGTTCTAGGCGCACTGAGATTGATGACAGCCTACACCAGTTACTTGGTCCTGTCTGCTGTGAGTAGGCCTCCTCGATGTGCCACCGTTTGCTCAATCCGTTCATTTGTTGCCGGCTGCGAAGAGTGTTGTCCTTGTCGGCTACCGGATCTTCCTACATCGTTTGCATAAATACCCAGGGCCATTCTTTTGCAAGCTGACTGACTGGTACGCTGGTGTAAGGCTTTGTCATCCAACAGCGCCTGCCTCAAAAGATCTTGCAACTTCACCAGAAATACGGGTCGGTGATCAGAATAGGTCCGGACCGACTGGTGTTCAACACCGTCACAGCCTTCCAAGGTGACTTTTCCCTACAAGTCTACCAAGTCTCACATGTATTTTAAAGCGTGGGACAATTGCAATAGGATCGTTACGGTAACTGGTAACAACAGATATCTATCAAAGCGACCAGGTCACCAAGTCCTACACATATCTATCCACGACAAAAAAGAACATTGTCAACGTCTTCACCGCCCTTGATAATGAGGTGCATCGCTCGAAGCGGGCAGTGGTCGGACAAGCAGTCACGGATCGTGCATTGAGAGAATTCCAGCCCTCAATGATGGAACAGATCGACATATATCTGGGCCAGATACGAGAGTCCTCGCGCTCTTCCACTCCGGTCAACATGACCGAGAAATCGAGACATCTTAGTCTCGACACTGTGGGCCAGCTAGCATTTGGCTACGATCTAGGTGTCCAGAAGCGTGACGACAACAGATACATCATGAGGGCTATGTACTTCGGCAATTATCGTGGGAATATCTATCACCACCTGTTCTTTCTCTCGAGGCTCTACGTCAATAAGATCTTCGACTACGTATTCTACCAAGCTCGGGAGAAGTATTGGCGATTAGTCGAGTGCATGATCCAGAAGCGCTTGGCCGAAGACAGGCACGCAAGGCCGGACTTCTATTCCTTCGTTTTGGACACAATGAGCGCGGACCCCGACGGCTTGCGTGGAGGGGCATTATGGATGGAAGCCCTGTTTTTTCTTGCGGCAGGTAATTATCTAGCTCCCACCCTCTTTCCTTGTACCCATTCAATATGTCTTGAGGTATTGACTAGGAGCTGCTCCAATTTAGGTGGTGATACTGTGGCAACTGGGACCAGTGCTGCCTTCTTCTACCTCGCGCACAATCCAGAATGCTATCGGACTCTGGCCCGAGAAATTCGCTCAGCATTCGACAGCGAGGAAGACATCAAAGCCGGCCCCCGGCTCTCGGGCTGCACTTATCTCCGAGCATGTATTGAGGAAGCCTTGCGCATGTCTCCTCCCGTCTCTACCACTCTTTGGCGAGAAAAGGATCCCTTGGACCACAACCCGCTGGTCATTGATGGGCATGTCATCCCTCATGGTACTCTGATCGGGGTCAACACGTATGCCTTCCATCAGAACGAGCAATATTTCCCACAGCCTTTCACTTTCCGTCCCGAACGTTGGTTAGATAATGCCGACAACGAAGGAGCAAGGAAGGTCTCCCGGGTTGCGTTTTCCGCCTTCTCCATTGGGCCCCGGGGGTGCGCCGGGAAATCGATGGCATATTTAGAGATCAGTCTAGCGCTTGCAAAGACTCTGTGGTCTTTCGATTTCGAACGTGCGCCAGGACGCCTGGGTGATGTGGGAGGGGGCAAGCCCGGTGCTGCAAATGGTAGGGTCAGGCCAAGTGAGTACCAGATTCACGACATCTTCACTGCCAGGCACGATGGACCTTACCTGGTCTTCAGACCCAGAGCTGGCTGAGCTCCGGGGGGCAGGGGGGGGGGGGGTTTCAATGACATGTTTCAGTCAATTGCCCAGAATTTTGATACTGAGAGGGGCAACTTTACATTCGGCGCGTGCCGTCGCTTGCGCCAAGGGACGCATATTGTGAAGGAGTCAATGTATCTCGCTATTGCACATCTCCTGTGGGCCTTTGATTTCGAGTCCGCAAATGATCAACAGAATGATGAGAAGCTTGGCTAGACATAGGTTATCCACTCAATGCCCGAGCATTCTGAGTTTGCCAGCGGCTTAGCAGAGGGAAATGCGTTGAGTCTGCAGACCCCAGTCCTCCCAGTCTCTGCTTTTGTCCGACCGGGCCAGCGGCAAAGGATGGCCAGTCTGAGTCGGAGAACATGTCTTGCTCTGAACATACGCACGTCCAACCACTAGATAATGATCCTCTTTGCTGGCCACTTTTCGAAGGATAAACGGGAATCGTGTGCCAGGGATGACGGCGCATGTATCACCACTACGGGTGGTCCTAGGCGCAATTCCGTAGTGGCCACGACTTAGCAGGATGAACCGTCGACTTTGTGAAGACTTGATCGCGAATGTCGAGATGCGCCGGGCCTCTTTATTCCTGAGATATGTTTCGATGGAACTCGTTGGCCGGTCGTCTTGGAGAAGCCGTGCAAATGCCTTGAGCGACTCCCAGAACTCGTCGTATTCACCGTCGAAAAAGCTCCGACAAAGTGCGGTTAGGAAGGCCAGGGATTTATTCAAGGCGGTGTCCTGATGTGGTCCGGGATACTTGGTGGACTGCGGCGCGACTTCTCTCCAGAGTGAAACCACCTCTTGAATATATTCTGGTGCGTTACGCGTATCTGACCATGAGACTATTTTGGAGACGTATTGAATAGAATCGAGAATAATGGCATTCGCTTGGATGATGGACCCCCCGTTTATAGTTGGTGTATTCGACGTAAAGTTGCTGTTAATTTCAATCTTTGGAACTGTGACATTGAGCCAGTATGCAACCCCACGTATAAGTGGGAGCCCACGATCCCAGCGCGGGATCCATGACGGGAAGGACAGGAACAAGGAGGAGAGCTGCAACCCATCAGCCTCGTCTCCATTGTCCAAATCACTGTCTCCGTGTTCAACATAGCTCAGAAGATCCAGGTCCCGGGTCTTGTGCAAGTATCTGACAGCAAAGTCTCGATAGACGTCCAGGTGCGATATATCCTTTCTGTAGTCCGGCTTTATATCCAAATCAGCGAACACTTTGTCTGAAGTTGGCATCGACATAAATGCGTAGATGCCGTCTTTGGGCTCCGATACATCCAACGTCCGGGCAGCATTTAGCACCTCGAGTGTCGGCATAGGCTCTAATAAATCTTTGTTTTCCTCGAAGTGAAGCTTCCCGTGGCCGTCGCGTTGCATATGTCCGCCGATGGGCATTTGGTATTATCAGCAATCTGCCGGTCGGCATCAGATGGCGTACACGCTGCACGAGCCATTCATAAGTTCGGAGAATACTGATCCACTGTATCTCAGCGTCGGCCCAGAGGACGACAGCCTCACGTGCTAATGCTGCTTCCTGCACGACCCAGCCCCTCCTGAACCAGTCACACTTTCCTAATTTCTCCCATGAGATCCATTTCTCATCATGAAGCAATGGCTCATCCTCTCGGGGGAACGGAAAACTCTCCCAGTCCCACGAAAACTCCGGGCTGGCAAAAGTCCGGTCCATCATGTTGTTCACGCCGTCGACCAAAGCAACCACGTCTCGGGAGTATTGTCGAGATTGCGGATCGAGGCCGAGGCATATTAACGTGCGACTCGATCTCGCGTAGATTCGACCCATCATGGTGACCTGGTGAGCCTTCTCGACGTTGTCCTCTTGATTCATGCAGATCGAGTCGGCCCATAGAGTCCGCTGCTTGTCTGACATCCTTGCATGTCGCAGGGCGTCCTCCATGCTCGTTGTGATAGGGAGTTGTCTACCATCGATGACAATCCACCGATCCCGAATACTCGCACCCCATACGTAGGAGATGGCTTCGAACCCAGGCGCATCCGGGAGCTTGGTTGTCACCAGGCTGCCGCTCAAGGGGTCATTGCCTTGGCCTGGGCCCAGGATCAGCTGGCGAATGTACTCATCGTTCAGCGGAAGCGGCTGGTATTCGTAGAATCTACACCCCGTCGCGGTGGGAACTGGACCGAGAGATTCCTGGCTGGCCATAACGTGTGGATAAACTCAACTTCTTTTCTAATTAATGCAGGCTGCCGATTTGTGAAAATCGGACAACAATGACTGCCAAGGTGGAAGACCAGTGAGAAGCTATCCGAAGCTGGGTAATGGACAGATCCACCTGGATGAGCGTGTGAGAGATGCTGCACAGTATTTGAGGAACTTAGAAAGGAGAGGGTAAGAGTTCTGGTTCCGAGGGGCGAAAAGACGCTGACATGCTCGTGCAAATGACTGAAGAAAGGGCTTCTGGAAGCACTTGAGATGTGCCTGCCCGGTGTGAGCAGAGCTTCGGTTTGTGTGACCCACTCTCAGTATTAGTGCGGCTGGCTTAGGCAGTTATAACTATGCCGATTGGGTGTGTAGGAAATGGTGTGTGTGTGAAGAGGTGCTCCAACTCGCTGTTCTCCAGCTGAGAAAGCTGCATGCTTATTCCTAAAGCTGCCAAAGCAACCCCCCTTGATTGAAAGGCTGCACAGCAGGATTCGGTATCAATGAGGCTTCTCAACGCGACCACTTACAGATTCCACGAGTACGTAGGGCGAGATGTCCCTGAATACGCCGTCCTCTCACACATCTGGGGAGAGGGGGAGGTGACGTTCCATGACATGCGCCCTGAAGCTCCTCCGGAGATCTGGAAGGCGAAGTCGGGCTGGGACAAGATCGAGAAGTGCTGCCTCCGAGCCCTGGCCGACTCCATTCAATTTGTCTGGGTCGACACCTGCTGCATCGACAAGTCGAGTAGCGCGGAGCTGCAGGAGGCCATCAATTCCATGTTCCGTTGGTATGAGGAGTCGACCGAATGCTATGCATTTATGGCTGATTTCGAGGCCCTGCCGGGAGACGTGGAGATGCGGCAGTTAAAGTCGGCGCGCTGGTGGACTCGTGGCTGGACCCTACAAGAACTCCTTGCCCCAGAATCGGTCCGCTTCTTCGACTGGCAGTGGCGCGAATTCGGAGACAAAGTCTCCCTTCGGCAGCAGATCGCCGCCGTCACCGGCATCAGCGAGGCCACGCTGTTGGGCACCGTCATCGGCTCGCGCCAGGCTCTGGGCCGTGTCAGCGTCGCACAGCGCATGTCGTGGGCGGCGCGCCGGGGGACGACGCGTGCGGAGGACACGGCATACAGCCTGCTGGGTATATTCGGTGTCAATATGCCGCTGCTATACGGCGAAGGCGGCACCGCAGCCTTCCAACGGCTGCAAGTGGAGATCATGGGGTCGTCGCCGGACCAGTCGCTGCTTGCGTGGGGCTTCGACCGCGCCGAGTCTGGGGCGTCGCCCTGAGGCGTGTCGAATGCGCTCGCTACGTCGCCAGCCGACTTTTCGCAGTGCGGCAGCATGCTCGCGCGAGGCGTGGCTCGGCCGGGCGACGTCTTCGCCATGACGCAGCGCGGCCTGCGGCTCAAGCTGCCCGTCGTGATGAGCGTCGACGGCGACAATCTGATCTACTGCGCGCTGAACTGCACAGTGACTGAGCGCATGCCCGCAGACGGCGACGCGCGTGGTGCTCGAGTGCTGGCGGTGCCGTTCCTGCGACCGCAAACGCGCGCCGATGGGCTTCGACCGCATGCCAACGAGTACTACCGGCTGCTGGCGCGAGTTCCGCTTTGGGTGGAGCGCACAGTTCTTGTAGATGCGCCCAGGATGGAATTGTATATGCCGCGAGTCTTCAAGCATGGAGATCCGGCGTACCAGAGACTGCAGGTCAATGTCGGCCTCGGGCCGTTGCCGGCAGACTGGTTCGTGGCAGGCATGTTCCCCCCAGAGAAGTCTCAACACGACTGCATTGTCGTCCGGCCACGGGCATCTGAATCAGCCGCTGCTGTCCTTGTCCATCTTGCCAGCTCGTCAACAGACCGGGAAGTGTCCGACTTTGTCTTGGTCGTTGAGTTGCAGCAGTCCGCAAAGCATGAAGATGGTCTCATCCAACATGCTACGTCTGAAAAGACACCACAGAGCGCCCCAGCACCTGACCGTCCCGTGCAAAGACCCTTGACCCTGTCTACTCTGAGGGAGAGTGTGTTTAGCGTTGTAGCCAACGTTACGCAAGTGGACATCAAGACACTGTCAGAAGACATAGACCTAGGTGATCTGGGGGTTGACTCACTCAGCAGCATGGACATCGCGAGTGAACTGGCCCGCATACTCAACATCGACGGCCTTCACTGGTACATGTTGATGGGGGTGGCGTCCATTGGGGACATTTTGAAGTCACTGCGCTTCGTCACACGGCCCAGCTTTGCCCTGGTGGGTAACAGTTTCACGGGCTACCAGGCTGCGGCACGACACGGCCTTGGGCTGTCAACTCGACGGTTCAATGCAGGCGAGGCCAGATATTGCTTTGTAGAGGTGCCTGGCCACTTTTCGCTGGCGGATTTGGGAGTTGGCGGTGATGCATTCTGGAATAATCTTGATGGGCGTTGGAAGAAGCTGGAAAGATCTAACACGCACACAGTCATTCAGACACCTTTAGAGGGATATTCCATTAAGTTTAGAATTTAAGATGGTGCTCAGCTCGTAACCGTTACACTTTGACTAGGTAGAAGTATAGAAACCAACGGCCAGGTAGAACTTGAGCTTCCACCAATGCTGAAATGTCTGCTAGTAGAAGCAGTCCAGATCGTGGTTGCTGCACGTCCAAGTGACGTAACGGTTACCGGCGCCGTTTCTTCACTAGCGCTAGAAGCTCATGCTTAACCCGCCACTGAAACCTTTGCATCATCGTCCACCCAACCGTGGCCATTGGGCCTCTTGCCCTCGGACGACACAACTCTCCACAGGCATCACAGCCAGCGCATGCAAGGCCCCTTGAGTGCTTTTGCTGCCGATGCTGGGCCATTAATCTGTACATCAACCTGACCTGGATCACCAGTGACACACCTAGCTGGGAGCGTCTTCATGCGTGTAGCATTCCGCAGCCGTCAGCATTGATCAGACCCATCAGCAGCCATCCGAGGGCCTACGCTCGAGTACTGTGCGACACCGTGCCGAGGCTGTATGACCCTGGCCCAGGCAGCTCTTCGTTCAACACACACCTTCGAGACGAGGCGAACGACCCTCGCTGGATTCCAGCTGAACAGCATCCTCGGCGAAGCCCACACTGGGCAAAGACAGCCTCGAACACTGCCCTACTCGCCCCCTCGAAGCGGCTGCAGGGCAGACAGCCGGGCAAAGTGGCTCCCTTCTGGTCTTTCCGTCGCTTGTTCGGCCAGCCCCATCCCCAACACAGGCAGAGCCTGCTGCGATACATCTTCCCCCACGCCGCACGCAAAAGATACCGTGAGCGCCTGCTCGATTTCCGCCTCGACACCCTCCCCTACTACAAGCACCGCCTGCAGTCGCGCATATATCGCTATATCCTCAGTCGCCAACAACGTCGGCTCTCCAAGACCCGCTGGGTTGACCATATCAGCAGGGCTGCGCAGAACAGCCGGCGCCTGCTCTTTGGGCCGCAGCCTGGGCCAGCGCGCCAGGGGCATCACCAGCATCGGAAGACCCAGGGCTGGCGGGGGAATGTGCTCGGCAAGACAATAGGCCCGGGTGACAAAACCAGAGGCGGCAACATGGCGCAGTCGGGCAGTGGTGGAAGCGGCTACGGATACGGCTACGGCTACGGTGGCAGCGACCCCGGCCAGTACGCCGACAGGGAGCCTGGCGCCCGGCGCAAGAAGCTCGCGGGCTTTGCCAAGAGTGTCTACCAGGCAGGCGTGGCCACAGCATCCGAAATCCGCAATCAGTACGACAACACGAGGATACGTGGCGTCGTCGATGTAGATGACTCGACCTACAAGGTGTCCATCCCCGGGTCCTTCCCCGATGTTTCCATCATCAGCAAAGGGGACGAGCAGATGGTCCTTTTCCCCTCGTACGCCGCCAGGCATGTCCGGCAGTTCCGAGACGATGATAGGCAGCCGTCGGCGCACGTCGACGGCGAGCGCAGGGAGGCCGACCTCAGCGAGGAGGACTACTGGCGCAACGAGTGGGCGAGGATGGAGGACAAGAAGGCCGTCGTTGACGTCGATGTGCGAGGATGGGTGTATGCGCCGCACAAGGGGCCAATGACCAGGAAGAACAGGGTCCTGATCGGCCTCGCAAGAAGGCTCAGCGGCATACCGCAGCAGACACATCAGCCGTCCGGGCAGCCCGACTATCTCAGGACGGGACACGAGGCGCGTGAGGATGCCAGGGAGCAGCAGAAGATCGACAAGGAGGCCGAGATGATCGAGCGGCGAGGCCAGGCTGAGAAGGATGCTGCCGTCAAGGGAGGGTACAGCGAGACCCCAAAGGAAGAGGACTCAGAAGGGGAAGGCCCAGGGACTTCTATACGCAGTCGTAGCGCAAGCGGGACTGCCACGCCCATGTCTGGGTCTTCTTCTCCGCGGCTATCTGCACGGCCTGCCAACAACGGCGGCGCCGCCGTGGAGCTGACCGAAGCCGAACTGGCCGCGGCCAACGCCAACCTGATGGCCCGGCTCGGTCCGTTCCTAACGACGCCGCTGGTCGAGCTCCCTGTGACGCTGTTCTTCTACAACAACGACCAATCCGTGTCCAGGACGGTCATGACCAACGACGCTGGTCACTTCTACATCAGGGCAGCCCTGGACTTTGTGCCCACCCATGTGCGCGTGTTGGCCAACGAGAAGCTGTCAGCAGTCGAACCTGTCGATATCATCAGCGACAACGGCGTGAGTCTCATCAGCGACATCGACGACACGATAAAGAAGTCTAGCATCTCCATGGGTGCCAGGGAGATCTTTCGAAACACCTTCATCCGCGACCTCAAAGACCTCACCGTCGCCGGCGTCCGAGAATGGTACGGCGAGCTCCACAACATGGGCGTGCGATTCCACTACTGCTCCAATAGCCCCTGGCAGCTCTTCCCCGTCATTGCCACCTTCTTTGGCCTGGCCGGCCTTCCTCCCGGGTCGCTTCATTTGAAGCAGTACAGCGGTATGCTACAGGGTATCTTCGAGCCTGTCGCCGAGAGGAAGAAAGGAACATTGGAGAAGATCCTCCGTGACTTCCCCAGGCGGAGATTCATACTCGTTGGTGACAGCGGCGAGGCTGATCTAGAGGTGTATACTGATCTAGCGCTTGCGCATCCGGGCCGGATCCTCGCCATCTTCATACGCGACGTCACGACTCCGGAGCAGACCGGGTACTTCGACTCTGCTTTCAACGGCCCTGCATCAGCAGGCCCGCCAAGAAGACAACAACCAACTAATGCGCACTCGAGGAAGGACTCCGGCAGCGACCATCCTGACCGGAGGCCGGCCCTGCCATCGCGGGCTACTACCTCGGCTGCGAGACAAGAAGCGCCGGCCGAGGAAGATTTGATCGACTTCTCAGACGAGCCACAGAACATGACAGCGAAGGAAGAGCATATTTTGGACAAATCAAGCGGTAACCCCTCGCCGCCGGCCCCTTCTCAGGATCAGGCACCACGCAAGAAGCCTCCTCCCCCACGTCCGAGCAAGCCTGCCGCACTCAGGGGCGAATCCTCGGGCTCGCTCAAGACTGCAGCGCCTGTGAACGAGGGTGACCCGGTTCCTTTGAGCAAGAAGCTATCTCCATCCCAACCCAGGAGCTCAACTGCACATCCCCTCGCACAGACACAGAATTCGTCGGCTCAGTCTTTGGGAAAGAGCCCGACCCTGCCTCCTAGGAAACCAAGCTACGGGAGTAATAGCAATGCCGGTTCTATAAAATCTAACAACAATTCCTCCAACGCTCCATCGCCTCCCGCTTCATACTCTGCATCATCAAGCAAACAGCCGCCTCCCCCGCCCCCGCCGCGCCGCCGCGGTACCCCTTCTTTGATCAGCTCCAGTCCCCGGCAGCGGGCCCTCAAGCGTGCCACGTCCAACTCGGACATCGACAGCCTCAACCTCGATTCATCCACCTCCATGTCTACACCCAGACCTGGTCCACCGAACCGGACAGGGACGGCTTCCACTTTCGATTCTATCCTGGGGTCCACTACAGGGCACACTATGCAACAAGGCGGCCAGAATATGCCAGCTAACAAGAAGCTAGAGCTGTGGCTGAGGAGGCTGGAAAGGGCGCACGAAACCCTGGAGAGGGAGGGCGTGAGACTGTACACCTGGCGCAAGGGGGACGATGTCGTGTCAGAAGCAGTGGGAATCGTCAAGGAAGCCACCGAAAATAAAAAAGGGGCAAATAAAATACCCGGAGATAGATGGCAGCCGGTGTTTTCCTTAGCATACCAAGCTTGATGGAGTCAATTCTGCGTGGAAGAATTATGCGGCATGAGCATGGCGTTGGCAAGGGCTACAATACAAGCATGGATACCACACAGTACTGACAATTTTCATAGAAAGAACACACGGCTGCTTGCTTGCTGTAAGGTGTTTCATGTCATCCGAAGTCCGGCCTGGGCAGTCTACCAGCGTTCATAAGCACGCTTTCTCAAGCTCCACGGGAGATCGGCAACCAAGCTTTGACTAAGTCACCCTGCATCATGATAGTTGCCGGATTCGATGTACACTAGCTGCCATTCCATTCTCCACCTGACTGGCGACTGGCTGTAGGAGACTCGAGAGCTTGCCTGGTTGATGGCTTCGCCGGATGACTCACACATCTACCGTTGCAACACCTGTCACAAATACCCGGCGTCCACGTTGCTGAGGCGATGCGTCTTCATTAAGCGCGAGCCTAAATTCCTTCCTTCCAGCCGTACACGAGTGCTCAGCCACCGTCGCTGTCGTCCATTAGTAGGATGGACTCCGAGGCCCTCCTCGATTCCATCACGGCCGATACCCAGGCAAACATCGATTTCCTGCAGCGTCTCGTCCAGGCTGCCTCTCCTAACCCGCCAGGCGACACCCGCGCCGCGGCCGCTGTGATCCGCGACTACCTGTCCTCGCAGCACAGCATCGAGAGCCACGTCATTGCGCCCGGCGGGGAGCAGCTGCCCAATGTGGTCGCCGATTTTGCCTGCGGCGTGGCGCAGGGTCCGAGGCTCGCCATGAACGGACACATGGATGTATTCCCCGCCGGGGATGGCAAGGACTGGGAGCGCAGCCCGTGGTCTGGAGATATCGTCGACGGGAGGCTGTTCGGCAGGGGCACGGTGGACATGAAAGCGGGTACCGCGGCCAGCGTGATCGCGTTTGCCTACCTGCACCGCCACAGGGAGCATCTGAGGGGCAGTGTCGCACTTTGTGCTGTCAGCGACGAGGAGACGGGCGGCAGGTTCGGGACGAAGTGGTTGCTGGGCCATGACGAGGACGGCAGGGAGCTGGCCGACGGGGAGAGGAGCAAGTGGGCGGGCGATGTGGCCATCAATGCCGAGCCTGGTGGACTGAACACGATCCGCTTCGCGGAAAAGGGGACGCTAAGGCTGACCTTCACTGTTGACACGGGCCCAGGGGCCCACGGAGCTTATACGCACCTGGGCAAGAGCGCGACGAGGATCGCCGCCCAGTTGATCTCTGACCTCGCTGCCGTGGAGGCGATTGTGCCTGAGTTAGACCCCGGGCTCAAGGAGCACTTGGAGAGGGAGGATGTGAGAGAGGCCATTGACAAGTGCATGGGGAAGGGCGCGGCTGATATCGCCATGAAGTGCACCCTGAACATTGGCACACTCCACGGCGGCCTCAAGGTCAACATGATACCCGGGCACTGTGTCTTCGAGGCGGATATCAGGATGCCCCTGGGCCTCAAGGCCGACCATGTCATGACTGTGATCCACCAGGTCCTGGAAAACTACCCAGAGGCCGAGGTCGACATCCAAACAGCGGCCAGCAACCCGGCAGCCGCGTGCGCGCACGACCACCCCATGGTGGATATTCTGGCACGGCATGCGGAGAGGGTTACGGGGCGAAAGCCATTGGCAATACCGAGCATGGGAGCGACGGACTGCAAGTTTTATCGCTACCGCGACATTCCGGCATACATTTTTGGTGTACCACCGGATACAATGGGCGCAAAGGACGAGAGCGTGTCAATTGAGGACTTCCTGGCTGTCGTCAAGACTCATGTTCTTGCAGGCTGGGAGTATCTCGGCGGCTCGGTATAAGCTACAGAAGATCCGGTTCATATTAAACAGAGCCATATGCATATGAGATGATGAAGTTTGGTCCATCATGGCCCACGATATATGAACATGGGTTTGCACGGAGACGTGCCTTTCACCTCTAGATATATGCATGGAATACTAGTCTTAGTATCACTTTTTTCGCATAAAAATTGCTCTTCAGTCGAAATAAGCTGAACGGTCTCTATAGAATGAGCTCTATACTATGGCCCGCTGCGGAATATTCCTCATTGCAAATGGCGTTCGTTGGACGGATTCCTCAGACCTGCCAAATCCTGAAAACAATTCTAGAATCTGTGCAGGCTGTCTAGCATGTCTTTTCCGGCGATATAATGAGAATTTTCAGTCACCGAATATGTAGCATTCATCACACAGCCCACACGATAACCGTGCGGTGCAAATGCCACCACTCCTGCAAATAATCCTGCTGATACTCGTGAAGAAACTGGCCATAGACTCTTGGGGTTTCTTATTTTGGATCCCGGTTTCCTTCCACGCGCAATCAACTGAGTGTAAGTTGCTCACCTGGTTCCTATCACGAATGGGAGGGCACTTGCCGGCCCAAGCAGGGACTTTAGTTGAGTTATTCCGCATCCGGTCATGAGTGAAAGTAGTGAGCATGACACTCGCCACTCAACGGAGTGGATAGATTCAGTGATCCTGTTCATTTGCCGCGCAATTCCAGCTGTAGTGATTAATCGACGGCCTGTCGCAGGCAGGGACCTCTACCCGTGCACCGCCCACATCATCCGCGGACTTCCGACCTCCCTCCACTCGCATGACGCGTCGCACGACTTGCACCACTTCCCGATGAGGGAGGTCAGCCAGATGAAGGAGGTCTCATTTTCTCGCCTAGGTGCTTTGTCTCTAGAGTGTCATCTGAGCATTTCTGGGCAGCGCTTGGCGAAATCGCTTGTTCGACTGGGGACGACTGCTGTTGTTGTTGGCGTCCAGAAGTCTCGGCGCGTGTATATATGCAGGCACCTCGGCGGAACCAGCCAACCAGGAGTAGATGGCCACTCCCAGGACATATTCACGAAACGGGCGTAACAACTTCGATGCCCCCAGGGCTTATCGGAACGGGCTTCAAGCCAAGGCGGTCTGGGCGAACCAAGAGCAAGATAAAGCAGCCCCAATGCTCCTCTATCTATCCGCGTGAGGCAGGATGGTTGTTCTGGTGACCCCTTCAGGCCTCCTCCATCCCCGCAACTTCGTTCCTGGCATGCAGCCATGCTAGGCTCCAAGCCGAACGACGGCCGAACGCGTCTTGACATCGCCAAGCGCTCAACAGCTACCTGGCTGCTCGAAAGATACAGCGATGCAGCTAAGCGATAGGGTGGTCCTGGCTGCGCCTGCCACCATGTAGAGCCACTACCCGGTCATTGTCGCGGTGGCACTCGGCCGGTGATATGAGAAAGGAAGGTCTGGAGACTTGCCACGCAATCTCGAAAGATGGCTCCTGGGAGAGATTAGGTTGACGGGTGTTTTGCAGATAGGGCGCCGCCATGTATACGCTGCATAGCTTGACACGCATGACCAGCGGCGGCCAGCTTTGATGGTACCGACTATTAAAATAGACAGACTGTGTCCTTCAGGAGTAATAGTGATCGTCGCATCGAAATCGCCACTGTCACCGGTATAACATTCGCTGGTTAAGCTCAGCTCGACTGTATATACTATCACTCCTCGCCCGCATAAAGACAGGATGTTGTTCAAAGCCGCCCTTCTTACTGCCCTTGCGGCTTCTCATGCTGTGGCACAGCGAGCGTGTGGTGCCCCTGAGCCCACGGAGGAGGAGATTGCCATCGCCAAGTCATTCTACCAGATCGAAAAGGAAGCCCGTCTCGCAGGCAACGCCAGCTCGGCTGCGGCCACTATCGAGGTCAACACTTACTTCCACGTGCTGGCCACCTCGACTTCCGCTTCTGGGGGTTAACTTACTGTGCGTGCCTTGTCGTGATTTGCCTTGGTCCAGCGTTTCCCCTTTCACCTCTTTCATCGTGGCTGATCTTCGTGACCCGAGTAGTCAACCCAGATCAGCAACCAGCTGAGTGCCATGAACACGGCTTTTGCACCGCATGGAATATCCTTTGTCAATGCCGGAACTGACTGGACTGTTAACTCGAACTGGGCCAACGACGGTTCTGAGACTACCATGAAGAGGTCCCTCCGCAAAGGAACCTACGCAGATCTAAACCTGTACTTCGTCTATTCGATGGACTCCCTCGGCTACTGCTACTTCCCAGCCAGCACCAGCGGCTCTGACAGCACTTTCTACATCCTGTCATCCACGGTCCCCGGGGGCTCCGAGACCAACTACAACCTAGGACTCACGGCTGTGCACGAGATAGGCCACTATTTCGGCCTGTACCATACGTTCCAGGCCGGTTGCTCTGGCTCTGGTGACAGTGTGGACGACACGCCGGCCGAGGCCAGCTCTGCCTCAGGCTGCCCGGTGGGTCGGGATTCCTGCCCGGCGGCTGGCGTAGATCCTATCCACAACTACATGGACTACACCTACGACACATGCTACGAGGAGTTCACGCCCGGCCAGGAGGACCGCATCTACTCCTACTGGAATCAGTACCGCGCGTCATTCCAGTGAGCTCCAGTAGGACAGGACAGGGTTTTGTCGCCGGGAATGTGCACAAGATATCAGTCTTGATAGGGGTCATTGGCCGCCGAGCTTATGTATCTATTGGAGCGGCTGTTGCGTTGACGGACTCATCGGAAAGGTTGTATATACTCAAGGCGCCTTTGTCAACGTTGAGAAAGACGCCATCGAGTTCCTTAGCTCGCATTATACTGCTGTCTTTCATCTGAATTCAATTGATTGATAAGGGTCAAAGATAATTCGATCCACTCAAAAATATGCGGATAGTGTTAGACCTCAGTCCCATACAGCATTGGAATCTGCTCATACGAGTATGCAAAAGGACCCAAGTGGTCCGGCGAGGAAAACTTCCGTCGTTGTTAGTGACAAGATGTTTGTGTGTACAAGATTATTGAATACTACAGCAGTATGGTCATAACACATTACAGCGGCATACGAGCATGCAGAATATGTACTTTGCATTGTCATATAATAGCTACATGCTAACGCTCCACCGTCTCAAAGGCTTCACGTCTTCACTTGCTCAGAATTCCTCCACTGTAGATACTGATAGCCTCGCTGAAGGCCTCGCTAATCTGTGCGGCGAGCTGCTGTCCCGTGGAGACGAACGTGGCCGGCAGTTTGCTCACGACAGCGTCGCTGAAGTCTGCCGACGCGGATCTCTGCTGCTCCAGGTTCAGGAGCACGACCGGCGTCAGCAGGTTGCGGTCGAACTTCGGCTTGGCGTCGACGATGGTGTCCAGCGAGGCGTTGACGTTGCCGACCAGCGTGATTGTTGCCAGGCCGACGGTCACCGCCTCGAGGTCGGCGAGAGCGGCAGACTCCTCGGCGGTCTTGGTGCCCTTCTTGATTGTTGAGAGGAGCTCGGTGGACTGGATGATGATGGGGAGTGCCCCGAGGATGTTTCCGTTGTAGTTGCTGACCGTCGTGGTGAGCTCATTGGTGGCGTTTTGAATAGCTGTGATGGCATTGACGATTGAGGTGCCGTCGGCGAGGACGCTTCCAACGCCGAGGACGAGGGTGGGGAGGACTCTGGAGATGAGCATGGTGTCTGGTCTGCTGTGGCTCTATAGGGGCAAGGGGCACCGGTACTGCTATCAAGCGAGGTAGTGACTGGAGGTGTAAGATGGTCCGTGGTGACCGAGCAGAAAACCTGGTACTGGCGCACGCGCTTTATATTTATACATCAGGCAGGACAGGACAGGTTTGAGGAGGCCTGAAAGGTTGCATTTCCAGCTTTGTCTAGGCAGGGTACCGACGGGCGTAAAGCTGGCGGGTGGCAGAGATTGAGGCTACCCCGCAAACCTGACGGAATATTCGACGACACGGGTGTCTTTTGTCGATGGGTTTCCTCATCCAGTCATAATATCTCGGGAGTTCTCCCACCGTTGCATCATCGAGTGATTTTCTTGCGCAGGTAGGATCCAACGGTGATTGTAATGGATCGTGGAAAGGCGAACTAGGTTTAAAGGTGGCGCCGGCCGAGTTACGGACGTTTGGATTGATCGGGACAAGCTTCCAGCGGTTCGTGCCCTGGGGTCGTTTTGCGGGGAAGGACATGCCACGATGATTGGACACACGGTGAGATATGCAGCATCGCGGGATATTTGGGCCAAGCATGCCGGCCCTTGCAAGCCGCGGCATCTCAAAAACTGGGCATGTGAAGATACAGGGCCGCCATTCGTGCAAGCACCGACGCAGCTGAACTGCGCGAGGGTCTCTCTCCGTGTCATAAAGTGGTCCAGAGGGAAGCGTAGATCGTGATAAAGAGCTGGAACAAGAAACATCAACAATGATCTGTGATTAGAGTTCTGTTGCTCACAGTTCGGACGAACCGCTCTACTGACACAGCTCGGCTGACGAGCATAATCATCATGCTATATGACCAGGAGGTTGCAATAGATCGTCGTCGGATGTTCATCCGAACTCTGTACCGAATCTTGAGAGTGTAGCATAGCTGAAAATCATATGTCAGATATCTTGATGCTCATAATGGTTGATCCCTCTCGGCTGATGTATATCTTACAAAGTGGTGTACCTTGTTCGCATGTCTGATGACCATACCCATGCTGCTAGTATAATGAAATAAAGATGATGAGCCAAAGCATAGATACAATATATCACAGTAATGGACAACAAATATTGAGAGATGCGAGTTTGGTTGTATTGCAGGGCCTTATTCCGGGATATTAACAAGGGCGCTATTCTGATGATACCATAAGTTACGAGACAAAGAGAGCCCTGTGCATGCCACCTGAGAGCGATGGAGTTTGAAGACTGCAAAGAAATGCAGACTTACCCCAGCAGCTCTAATCTATTCAGGAATGCAGGGTTGATGACTGGATTGTGCAATTCCGCGATTGTAGACATACAAGCTGCCGCCGGGTCTCCGCTTGCCTGTAGATTGTTCATCCAGTACTCGTTTCCAGGGAAGCTGTTCGAGTCCCAGGCGTAACTCAGCACCAGGAGCTGGCCGGCCTTGTCTCCTTTCAGCTTTGCGGCCGGGTTCCTCTTGGAAAACAGTACGTCGATCCCATGTTCCTGTGCAGCGCTTCTCATGTTTGTTCGTTCTTTACCAGGTACATCGATCCAGGCAAATTCAAGCGTTTTCAGGTCAGTCAACTCAGCACCTTGCTCTCTTATGACCTGTTCAAAGACTTCGACATAGAGCCGCCCCTGGTCGGGATTTTTCTGCCACACGCCGAGGCCGAGGCCGACAATGTACACGTAGGCCTTCTTGCCCGCAATCTCCGCACGCCTGTTGGCCTCGAACAAGAGTATCTCTGCAGTCAGGCGCATGCGGGCCTGGTATGCCACTTTGTTGAAGGTGGTGCCTGGGGCTGTAGGGCTGATTCCAAAGAACTCGTTCCATATTCGACGCAAATCCGGATGCATCCTTGACCTTGCAACGGGCGGCAGGATGTATGTTGATTCCATGTGATCGGGCCTTTCAAAGCGGGCCCCGACAAGTCCAATGATCACTCCTCGTTCCTCAAACGTGCCGCTCGGCCCAGGGATAGCACTATTATACCTGCCGCCATCGTTCACAAAGTAGCTTGAGCCCGAAACCCCAATCAGCGCACTCAACATCATCTCGTCGTAGCTCAGGTAGTCCTCGAGCCGGATATTCTCATTGATTGTCTCCTCCTCTGTACCAACACGATCCCAGGATTTGGCCGCGTTGCCAACATTCCTGCCATTTCGGAGTACGGTGGTGTCTCCGGGGTTCATGAAGACCAGGGGACGCTTGGAGACAAGACGAGAAATCTCCTGGTGCCGAGACAAAGACATGTAGAGAAGCTGCTCAGCGGGAGTGCCATGCTGTACTTTGTGCACTAGGAATTGTTGAACAAGGTCGGGAAAGCGCGAGTGCGCAATGATCGTTGTGGTCTTGGCATCGTTCTCGACGGTGGCGGGGTCGAATCGAGGGTTGACGACGCTGCTTTGTTTGTTGGGTAGGAGCTGGCGCATCTCTTTGACGAGCGCAACACTTTGCCCCGTTATGTCTGCTACTCGTTGGTCCTCGGACATGGTGTCAAACAACAATGTGGCTTGCTACGGTGGGATGAAGTTGATGAGGTACGAGAGAAGCTCGTGCTGTATGAACGAGCCTGAGGAGGTCGGTGGTCGCCTGTGGTCAAACGACTGCTTGCGGTTTACGTGTTGCCTGCGGTGACGGGTTGCTAGGTAGCGATTGATGGTTGGCTTTATGGTAGCTTTGTGCTTTGAATGATTGATGGTCAAATCTAGACCTGCCTTTCTGCCATTCACTCCGGAATGGGAAGGACAGAGTGGCTCAAAGGACACGTTACGTCATCAGCCACGATTGCAGCCTAAACCACTCAACACAAATCAAATTGTTTGAACGCCGGAGGACGGCAAGTAAACAAAAAAAATGCAAGATCAAAAAATCAAGTCGACCGTATATCCAGATGACAGGCTGTTCCGATTTCACTATTTTGTGACGTACTCTTACTTCCCTCTCACCAGAAAACCCCCTCATGGGCACCATCTGACGGGCGGAATTGGCCGCCTTCCGGCAAGCATCATTGCTTCAGGAGAACACGACAGAACTGCCATGCAATAAGAGTCAGCACTAATATTTTTGCACAAACCCAAGGAAATCAAGGAGGTGGTTAGGTCAGCTGCACTCTTCAACTTTGTTCAGAGAGCGATGCTGCATGTGCTGAGAGAAAGTTATTGAATTAAAGCGAACCTTCGAAGAAATTGGAGAATTTCTTGCACCATCTCCTCAGCTACGGAATACCTAGGCCAAGTAGACATGGCTTTTTTTTTTTTTTTTGGTATACTTACTGGCTGGTCCCTCGAGAATGAATGATTGAGAGAAATCCTTGGCCAAGGTCTTCAAAATGTCTTACTCTGAGACATTTGCGACTATCAGTTCATTTAGCTTAGTTTGCTCCTTGCTGGAGCATTTCATGCTGAAAACATGCTCGAGGGTCATACAGATTAATAGCAATACCACCATCGCTCTCAGCCGTGCCTGATGCCAACGCCGCCACGTGAGACAGGCTGCTGGCCTGACACGCCGTTGCTCACCTGGGTAGGCTTTCACCCTTCCTGAATTTCATCTCTAACGAACCGGCTAATAAGAACGCTGCCGAAAAGAATCATCAGGTGGGGCGGTAAGCGCGAGTACTGGAGAGAAAGAGACATCAGTGTTATTCAAGGAGAAAGACAATCAGTTGATATTTTATCCTGATACTATCGGAGACGTTCCTAAACAAAGCATTTTAGTAATTATTAAATGTCAATGTTGATTATATTCATATTATTATTTGTTTTTGTAAAATTGGTGAGGAATTCATTCCCCAAACATGTCTAGGTATCCCTTTTCTGCTGGTCGTTCTTTGACAGGACCAGGCTGTTGATCCTTCTTCATCGTCGCGACAAACTTCTTCATGTCGATCCTGTTGTCGTTTCGCCACTGGGTGATCCTATCAAACTCAACACATTGCCTATTCGTGCTCATGTCAGGGAACGGGTACTGCTGTCGCTCCATCCAGTGCATCGTGACCAACTCTATATACACTGTTAGCGAATTATCGTTTCTATTACGGGCCACACGGGTGAACTATGCCCTTAAAATCAGGAGGCGGGTGTACTCACGCAGGTTCCCAGAACATTGTATAGCCTGCAATATAATATCCACACAATGGTTGGTATGCACCTCATGTGTGGTCAGGGCCTCCGGGTCCGCGTTGGCGATTTTCATGTGGTAGTAGTCCGCGTAGGCAAACTTGCGCAGCTGGTTCAGGCAGTGTATCTGGTGGAAGACGTCGAGCACCCCCGCGTATGCGTCGTCGCCGAGCCCCCAGACGTCGTCCTCCAGCTTTGCGGCGGTCGAGATGTCCTTGCCCAGCTCGCGGATGCCGGCGGCCGTCACGGGCACGACGGTGGTCAGCTCCCAGTCGTCCCAGACGGCCTCGTCTGCCGGGTTGGGCATCTTCCGGGCTACGCTGCCGCCGTCGGGCCTGTTGGCCGGCCAGAAGGTGCCGTTGGTGGTGGTCTTGTATGGGTTGAGAGGCACCTGGTCGTAAAGTGGAGAGGGGCCGTTCACTTGTCGGTATACTTCATTGGGACTAGCTGACGGTTTTGTGTGTCCATTGTGCCATAAGGTCAGGATGGTGACAGTGAGTCCCAACGCCAAGAAATTGAAAATGCTGAGGAGGATGAAAGGACGGGAAATGCCTCTCCATGAACCCTGTTTCTGATCACGATATACAGGAGTTGGCTCAATGAACGCCGTCCTTTCTTCTTCGTCTGACGAGGATGATCTTATCGGGATCATTTTTGGGGGATAAGTGAGGGCGAGAAAATAAAGTCTGACGTAGGATATGTGGCGGCAAATTGTGTAGCTAGTAGAAAACTCAGTGTTGTAGAGCTTCACGACGATATCTGATGCTAGGCGGTGAGATTAATTCCCAGCGTCAGGGAACTCATTGAATGTGTGTCTCTACCAAGAAATCGGGTGTAGACGAGTCTTTTCGAAACGATCCTATATAGATTCTCAGCTGAGTCACTCTTTCCTTTATCTAAGCTCAAAAGTTCTAACTAGCCGGAAGGAAGGGGCTCGTGGCCAGTGAGAACTACACGAATAGGAACGGTAATCTTGGTTCCCATTTCGTTCCACGGGACCAAGAACGACATACACTGCCCCAAGGCGCTTTTTTCCCGCACGTGTTGGTGATACTAGAAGGCCGCGCAGGCATCCAAATACTTCGGGAATACCTCCAGGGAAACGTCCTCGCAGAGAAGACACACGTGGCTTCGTGTGACATAAGGACATGGCTCCACTATCAGGGCTGAGGTGATCGCCGGAACGTGGATGCTAAGCCCCCCATGGGAGGAAGTGGCTTGCCTTGGAAACGCTTGCTTAGTAGATGCCGCCATAGGATCGAAACTAACGCCCCGTAGGGCTGGACATGTGACTCAGGTGGGTGTGTGTGCCTTGCTTGTGGCCGTAAGCGAACCTCCGAAGGAAGTTCTCCTATCAACTACCATGTCGTCCGTTCCAGAATGGAATATGCATTGTCCTCTGGTGGAAATAGGTGGTGGGCTGGATCCACAATCACGGCCGCTGCGATAATGTGCGCGCCGTTGAGCTATATCTTTACCAGGATGACTCAGATTGAGGCAGGAGGATTGGGTTCTGGAGCAGCGTTTTGCGTAAGACACTCGAGCATGAACGCCAAATAATGTTAACGTGAGCATGTGGTTCTTGGCCCCCATGAGTCTGGTCCAACCAGAAAAGAGATAAAAAGTCCCCATTATAGCCCACGCGATCCTGCACAGTCGCACGCATGAAGCACAAACTGACAGCCGAGAGGGTAAGAAACAATTGGCCCAATCGTCTGCGGGATCGTGCGATCGAAACGTGGGATGGTGTGGCCGGTCGAAGTCAGCCTAGAGTTTGAAGGGGCTCCGCTTTGCCTCGGACTGTAAGCAGCATCGACCCACAGAAGGATGCGAACTGCAGCTCAAGGGAGGCCCGTGATAGGCCCAAGTACCGCGTCATGTGCTGGAACTCGAATTATATGTTCATTTCCGAGCTGCTGGGTCCGGGATAAGCAGTCTCGGCCCGGCATGGTATTGCGTGGTCGAGGACCACAAAGTCTAGTCGGATGACATGCCTAGCATTCTCTTGGAATTAGAAAGAGGGGAGAAAATCTCTGTCATCTTGCTGACGACAACACGCCTCCGGAGCCAGGCTTTGTGCTCTACAATCCTGGGAGATGTTTCTTGACTCCTCCACAGCATTGCCTCATTGCTGGTGACCGTTCGGTGAGCCGACCGAGATTCCTTAGGCTTCCGTCACTGTTGCCTACCTTCTAAGGGTGTGACAGGCCCCCAACAAAGTCACTGCCTCAGATACATGACTGTGACGGGCGACTTGGCTGCGTTTCTTACACCCCACCGACTACATCGCAGGTACGGAGGATCCCTCCAGGCTTCACGTGGATGACTTCAGTCCAGCTCCGAGACCAAGAATTCCTGGCTCCGGGCGCTGAGCAGAGGCACATATAAGCCCAGGAGTTCCCGAGGCTTGAGTTCTGAGAAGACATCTACTCATCATCTTCTTTGACAGCATCAGAAAGACTCGCGGCAATTCAATTCATCTTCCACAAGCAACATTCCGAATCAACACATCAAAACTCCTCTCATATCACTTAAATGCTCTTCCCAACCCTCCTCACTCTTCTGACTATTAGCGCCATGGGTGTCCAACCTGGCGCTGCACATGGTAAGTTTTAATTCTCAGACAACCGCAAAGAGAGCCGAACTGACTGTGACAACCTGACCAGGTGTCATAACCTCAACCGACTCAGACGACTGCTACATGCCATGCGACGAACAAGGCGTTTGGATCGGACCTCGCAGCGACGCCTCGGGCACTGTCGATGACACTGCCGTAGCACTCAAGCGGTTCGAGGACGAGCTCGCAGAATTTGAGAGGCTAGGCGAGGAGAGGTGGGCGGCTGGCGGCAACGAAGCGATCGTCAAGGTTAGTACGCCGGATAGTCACGAGGTTGAGTAGCTGCGGATACTGATTTGTTCCAACAGCAGGATGAAGATGTCCAGACTCGTGGCTCAAAAGCAAGGACGGCGAAGGCAGCGAGACGTGCTGAACGGCGTTCCCGAGCAGCTTGAACAGGACAAGCGTGTGGTGTAGTTGTTTACAGAACGGACTTCGAACATGTGTTTTAGCCAATCCAGTGCGGAGCGAGGCCGGGGGTGAACTTGGGGATATGTATTTTTGGAATTGCCTTGCTGATACCCTGGCTGGGACACCTGAGGGGGGCTCATTCCTCGGCGTTGATGACCGCAGTAGCATAGAAGAAACAAATTAGCATCGCTATGATTCTGAATGCTTGCCCGTGTCATTCCAAGTCGAATGTACGATTTCTGGTATTTCTTATCTACATGGGCCGGGGCTTGCTATGCACCTTCCAACTTGGTACCTTTGTACATTCCGGTTCCTAGTTAGTTAGTCCGTTCATATCGGAACTATGTACATTCTAATCAACTAAAAATATCTCCCCGACTGACGCATGAACAAGGAAATAGCGTAGAATGGGCGTGCATCACAGCAACATCAACACCCTTCGCCCACGTAATCTACTAGCAGTGTAGAAATATCGATCCCTGGTCAGTATTTAAAAACAGGTGAGGAAACTTTTATATACAAGAAGTCCGATAGGTACAAAGACACTGAAGCTAAGCTGCGAGGTATGAATAATGAGCTGCTCCTGACTGCTACAGGTCATCAACCAGGGGGCTAAGCCCCTGAGGCGTGCCAATCAGGTTCTCGTAAAGAGCTTCAACCTCTCGACACGGGGACGGTCGGCCATGAAACGGTCGAACTCGTTAGGGTTGGTGGAGTTGAGCTCAGACAGGGCAGGGTATCCAGCAGGCGGGGGGATATCCTGGCGGACGCTCCACATGCCCGTGTTGGCGGGGTCCTGGTACTCGTCGGTCAGGAGGAAGTTGTGCAGGAGCTTGGCGCCCTCCGGGTGAGGCGCGTCCTTGAGAATGGCGCCGCGCTGGCCCCAGGTGGTGAAGAAGCCGTTCTTGGGGATGGAGACGTTGAAGGGGGCGGTGGGGGCCATGCCGGCGCTGCCGCTGAAGGTCGCGGCGTAGGTTCTGTTGGCCTGGCCGATGAGTGTCGTCGGGGTGGCGGTGCCGCGGACCCAGCGAGGTCTCTGGACGAGAAGTTGCTTGAACCAGCCGAGGCCGTTCTCCCGAAGGCTGTTGTGCGCCGGTTAGTCTCTGTGTCACAGACCTATTTGCGCATTCTGGGGCTCAACTCACGCCAAGTCGAATGCGAAAAGAACAGCATCGTCGTCGTTTGGATATGTAAAGACCAGTTTGTCCTTGAACTCCGGCTTCAGGTAATCAGAGTACTCAACCGGCCCGTTTGCCACCTTGTCTGTATTCCAGATGTTACTCCAACCGAAGACAACGACAGCGTACCAAGCCCCCGGGTGGATCTTGTCGAAGTTCAGCGGTTTATATCGCAGGAGTGCGCCCTCCTGATCCCAACGAGGATAGTCGTGAGTGGTCTGGAGGATGACACTGTCAACGTAGACATTGTCCTCGATCAGCTGCTGGTCGATGTTGCCGTCGTGGTACTTGGAAACGTCGACAGTGACGTTGAGTGTCATGCCAGGGAACCGTTTCTCGAAGGCCGTCTTCAATGAATCCTGTTGGTTCTTCTCGTCACCACCATTCCAGAGGGTGACAACACCACCCTCGGCAAGTGGGCGGCCGAGGTCACAATCTTGGGGGCAGAACCATTTTGAGGATGAACGAGAGGAGAATGGTCGGCTGACTCCGAGAACGACTGTTATTCAGTTTGCTTGGTTGGATCGTTCATCTGATGAGCCGGACAGAGGGCTGATATTTAAAACCTTATTAACGACATAGAAAAATTAACAAGCAATTGTTTCTGGGCTTTGATCATTTAATCACGGACACCACACAGCAGGCGCGCGCCCTCCTATCCATCAACAATTTCCACCAGTCCTGATTCATGCCACAAGACTCCATGATGCTGCGCCGCTGACCTGTCGAGTGAATGATGGGAGTGGTGAGAATACTGGGGGTATTGCAATTAAACCCCGTGTGGGGCCCACCCGCCTTGGTTGCCCCTTATACGCTTGGATGCCGTAACAAGCAAGAAAAGTGCGTGGGCTGAAAACTTATACGTAACGGATCCCTACCCAACCTACCTGGACAGGTATATCGTCATTAGTAATGCTTCTAAATTATAGAGGCTAGCCATTGAAGGCCAAGTCCTAAGTCATGGCGTTCATGATGCGATGAACATGCGGCCCAGCAGGGCAGAGAATACGCTGGAATCAACCCAATTGGGTGCTGTTTGGCTCCCTGCCCACTGATCCATCCCCACGGGGCTCACCGTCCCCACTATCGGCCAAAGCCAAGCCGTTAACTCTAAGTTTATACAGGAGTCTAGTGTATGTGACATGCACGTCCACACCCAATGTATGCACAACTTACAGTCTAGAGCTTCCAAAATGCAGGTCTTCTGCAAACCAAAAGATGCGGACGGGGGAGACCAAGTCAAGAGTTCGGAGCAAGATGAGGCAGGAAACGCTCGCATATCCTAGCAGGAACCATTGATCAAAGGAGGCGAGCTACCAGATGCGCTGCCGTCCAAGCGATTGCGTGACTGGGTGGTTCGGTCGGGTTCCGGAGCGGAAGCAAGACCGAATGGCCGAGTATAGGAAAAACCAAAACAGGCAGGAAAGTATGGTTACACACAGAGACATCTGTGGCTGCAGAACTGGACAGGGAATGAATTTCCCGCCTCACCGTTTCGTTTGAAGGTCAGCTGAACGAGGTGAGGATTCTCTAATGAATTGTTACAGGAAGCTGCTCATCGTCCAAGCTATGTTGACGTACGTTCCCCGGTTGAACACTTGAACCTACCTAGGTAATCTTTAAAAGCGAATTCGGCTTAGCGCTGACACTTATACAGTTGAAAATGCTGACATTGATTTGATTCAAGCCGCTGGGAAGTTTCCGTGCGTTACATTGAGTACCAAAACTGCACGTTTATCAAGAGGCGTTAGCCAGCGTATTACAGTTCTTGCCAAGCGAGATATGATGCATATAATCCGCCCGACCATTGTATGTTACGTGGCATGGGCCGCGCTACTGCTCTTCCAGGAGCTGAAGAGAGGATTCCCCTCCTCAGCCCAACATCAGAACACAGTTTTTCCTCCCCTTTCTGCACAGCATGACTAGACCATGAATGTGCCGACAATGTCAAGTGGTTCTGGGACCACCTGGGCCATGGCAATTCAAATCTTCAACCAAGAGCTAACACGACACGGAGAGAAGAAGATCGATCTAAGCCAACAACCAATGGCAACTTTCAGTGATATCCACAGCCTGGTCACCAAGGAGCAACAGGAATGGGATGCCAAAAAGTGGAAAATTGGCAATATTGCATTGCGCGATAAGGTTCATGGGCTACTTACTCAAATTTCGACATATGCGATCGTAGGAGATATTATTCTCCAGCATCATGCCGAGTTCAGTGCCATTGCTTGGGGAACTTTCAGGTTTCTTCTACAGGCAAGCCTACGTCGCACCAATTTGCTTGTTCAATAGTTGACCAGGCAGTAGATCGCGCTGTCTGCGCTCAAAACAGCCGAATTTCTCGTCGATCAACTGCAGCATATCCTAGGTATCTTTGGCAGGGCCAGAGAATACGAGCGTCTATACTTGAGCAGAAGCCAGCGCTTACAACAAGCTGTGCCTCGCCTTTTCGCCCATGTCATCAATTTCCTTGTTCGGGCTCGGATATACTTTTCGCGAAGCTTCCTGAGTACGACCCAAGATACATTTGCCGCCGTGTGCTACGTGTTCTGATGTTCTCATTTTACAGATCAGATGTGGTACTCTACTCGAAAACCACCACACATAAGCTTTGAACCAGTAGTGCAACAGATTAGGCTCTATGAGCAGGTGGTAGAACGGGAGTCATTGGTCTTTCTCCACGCTGGTGAGACGCATCGCATCAATGGCGACTCGATTTTGCTAATGGAGGAAAACATAGACATTTCAGACCACAATAGGCAATCAAACACACAGCAAGCAGGTATGATGTCTCTTCTCACTCTCGATAACGTTTGTCACTAAACTCCACCATCATAGGTCTAATACAATCCCTTGACACATCAATGGCGAACATACAACAAGGTAAATTCAATCTCCAAACCAAATACCAGACGCGACCTAATATTCTCTGAAGACCGTAAGAAAGCGACATTGCGGGAGATCTATCGATGGCTTCACCCACTTGGGGGTGAAGGATATCATGCAATGTTGAAGCGCACAGGTACAACTTGTGACTGGATCCTTCAGAAGAAAGAATTCAAGAATTGGTTGAATGGAAGTGCTGGTTCAGTTCTATGGATACGGGGAAAAACAGGTGAATACGCATTTTCTCTTGTCACATATCTACAATGACGTTCATATTTGGTTTCTCACTGGCTAGAACAGGATGCGGTAAAACGTATCTCCTAAGCAGAATAGTGGAATCCACCCAGTCAAATGGTCTCCGGATCTATTTCTACTTTGATGCCAAAGCCCGTGGGGATCAGCGATGGGCCATAACACTCGTTCGGACTCTTGTATACCAGTTGCTGAAGCAACAATCACAACTGGTACAACATGTTGAAGACTTTTACTTCAACAACGGATCCCAGACTATCGACAGTTTCGAACATTTCGAACCTTTATTCGAGGTTTTTAAGACCATGACCTCCAAAGTTGGCCCTTTAGTATGCATCATCGATGCATTAGATGAGTGTCAAAGTCCCACTACACATCGCGAAATTCTGTTCCAGAAGCTCCTATCAATGAGCAATGATTCATCTTGACAGTTTAAGCTTCTCGTTTCCAGCAGGGACGATGATGTGGAAGTACAGCGACTTTTTGGTAACGCCAATCTTTTGTCAATAACTGGCGAGGACACCAGCGACGACATTCAAAGATATTTGGAGCATCGCCTTGCCACTATACACGCGGTTCATCTGAGAAATGAGCCATTCAAGACCGAGATTCGAGACTCGTTGACAAGCGCTGCAGATGGCATGATCCTATGGGCCTCCCTTGTGTTCGACGATCTTGAAAACCAAGATTCTCTAGCAGCTACACGGAAAGCACTTCAGAAACTCCCGAGAAAGCTGGAGACAATATACACAGAAGCTGTAGAAAAGCTGGGTAAGGCCCATGCTAACACGATACGGTTTGCTTCTTTCGCGCTGGGCTGGCTCGTTGATGGGTTCCGAATGATGACGCTCCAGGAGCTAGAGGAAGCTTGTCAAGTACGAATCCAGAGCCGCGAGCTAGACCGCAACTCGAAGCCGTTTGACATTGAACTAGCGTTGAAACGGTCGTGTGGTCCATTTGTGCGCATATACGCCAACAACAATGTCTCCTTGAGCCACTTTTCAGCCAAAGAATTTCTGGCGACTTACCGCAAGGAATCTGAACGAGCACTTCTGGCTCCTCAAAGAATCGTCCATCGCAGCATTGGGCTAACCTGTGCCGCTTATCTTAATCTTAAACCTTTCCAGTCCGGCAGAATCGCGTTCGACGACAGCGAGCAACACATGTACCCGCTACTTGGATACGCCACTCAATATTGGCACTTGCATATCACAAAATCCGATATCTCAGCCAGTGGCCATGTGGAAATGTTGAACAGCTTCTTACGGAGCGAGAACTTCAGAACCTGGATCATACAGTATCATCGTCACATTTCTGGACCTATCGACTATACCTACTCTATAGGTCAGCTCAAAGCGATCATATCTGAAGTTCAAACCTGGCTGCACCACTTAGCTGCGAAGTTTTCAATGCATAACCAACCTGAGGGTGATGACCAGGTCATCGCTGCCTTCGAGCATTACAAGGACGATACAGTACGACTCTTCGGTCTCCACAATAAAGAGGCTATAAATGCGACAATGTCGTTAGCTCGCCTCTATGCTGATCATATGAACTACGAAGAAGCATGCCACCTCTATCAAGAAGGCCTCGAGTGCATGGAATATGTGTATGGTTCAGACAATAAACAAACGCTATTCGCCAGTGTTCAGTATGCTCGGTACCTGAGGGACTCTGGGAATATGTCAGAGGCCACCCAATTGTTTCATAGTATTTACGACCGCCTGGAGTCGTTTTTGGGACAGGATCATCCTTTCACGATTCTTACCATTGGGGGCATCGCCTATCATAACACCATCGCTGGGAATCAGGATATGGCGTATCGGATGTATTCCGAGTGCATCAGGATGAGCGAGGAGGAATTTGGAGAGTTACATCCCAACACGCTAGGCCCATTAAGCAGCCTGGGATGGCACCTCACCTGCTACGGTCCCTGGAACGAAGCGGAGAAGTACTTGCACATGTCGCTGGAACGGACAATAAGAGCGTTTGGGGATCAACACCCATTCACCGCGACTAGCATGTATAATCTCGGGTGGCTTAGGTTATGCCAAGATAGGGTAGAGGAGTCCGAACAACTGCTAACCGATTCGTTCGCTACAAGAGTGGCGACTCTCGGTATTCATCACACGGAGACGCACACAGGCCGTTGTGGACTAGCAACGCTTCTGGAGAGGGAAGGAAGGCTGGAAGAGGCATGGTCATTGTTCAGAGATCGTTTGGTTCAGGAGAAGCTGCCAAGGCTGAGGTCCGTGTATGGGATCGATATTACACCGACCAGAGAAGAGCCCTGGGTTGCGTACAGGGTAATGTACCAGCGAACCGTCCAACACACTCGAGGGTCGCATGGACAGTCAATCTCATGTCAATGAGACGCTACTACCATCAGCATTCTGTTGGTGCCGTCACTCTGAGGTTTCTCGCTCCCTGCATCGCCGGCGCAGGCCTTGGCAAGGTCGATTTACTCAGATCATGTGGCCTATGTAAGTCCCCAATGCACTATTTGAAATATCCCTTTATACTCTTCTCGTCTGCCTAGGTCAGTGATGGTGTTCTCGGCTGAGGTGAATTGTGGGGCGTAGAAGCAATCCAGCCGCCTTGGCGACCAACCTGGATCTCACCCAGATGCTAGAGATGGATTTATTGCGACCTAAGAATTGAGTCGATTGTCAGGAATGGTCACAGTTCCTGGCTCAGACGACAATACTCCAGATTGGGGAAAATTATGGGCTTTGCCAATACATTACTATACGAGATCACTTATTACTGCCTACGCGTTTATTCTAAAAAGCCGCCGCCTCCGCCCTGGCCGACTTAGCTTTCCCGTTATATGTCGCTTTTCCGATGTTAATATACAACAGAGTGAGGGCTTTACTCCTCTGAGATGGCCTAGCGAATCGGGCGAGGGTCGTTGGATAGAACCTGCAGTGCTTTGGGCTTTGGTCTGGGTTGGATCCTATTTCACATATCGATCTCGTGTAGCGCACGAGGGGTTAGCCAAACTTTGGACAGGCGATCCCAGAACTGAGGTGGGAAGTTCGAAGGCTCGGCTCTGGATTTGATCTTTTTGGCTGCACAGTCGGATTGTGACAGCTCGTTTATAAATGCGCTAAGACAAGCTTCATGCCGCAAGCGACGGGCCAAGAGCAGATAGTGAACCGACGGCGCGTGGTCCGTTTCTGTAGCTTCTGACACTCGTCCATACTAGTACACGGTGTCCTGGATGCGTTCGACTGAGCAATGTGTATGCCGGGATGCAACATGCCTCGAAGAGAAAGCCTGCAATGCACAGCCCATCTGGAATCCCATCGACCATTCTCTCAGGGAACCAGTACGGACAGCAGACACAGGCAGCCTGAACCCGTTCGGGCCAAGCGAACAAGACCTTCATCAAAGACATCTCATTTCCCTAGATATGAGACGTTGGGGGTCACCCTTTCCCGGCTGTCGTGTAACCAGCAAGCACCGCGCTGTGAAAAAGGACGGTACAGAGGCCAGGCCAAACCCAGGGCACGACCTGACTCACTGCAGACTACACGAGATAGACATCTATGACACCCATAGCGCGAGGAGGGCGCTAATCCGAATAAGCCTCAAATCTACACAGTAACCTGTCATGACGGCAGGACAGTTGATGCAGGACTATGAACGGCAAAGACTTCACGTTGACACAACCGTGAGACGGCATGATCTGGACCCTGACGAGTACCCGCATGCCAGGATCAGCCGAGGACAGATCCGAAGAGTTTCCGCTCTTTTTCTCCCAGTCGTGCCAAGGTGCTGTGTTATTTCGCGACTACTCGTCTCGCGCCAACGGCTGCCGCAATACAATACTGCTGAGGTGGTGGTCCTATTGAGTGTGACCCATATATTCCCCTGTTCTTTTAACAAGGACCTAGCTGCTACCTAGCTGCTACCTCGCCCGCTGCAGCATGACAACCAAGACCACCCCACACTTGAGAACCCCATGCTCATGAGGAAGTCAGACTGTCCTAATACAAGAGATCATGGATAACAGAAACCCCGTCTCAAGGCCCAAAGAACTCATCACACCAGTCCATCTAGTGCCTTACTCACAGGGCCCGTTAAAGCCATGCGTTGATGCAACCTATCAGCTTCCGTCTCCACCAAAGCCCGCATTGATATCGCCAAAATCATCAACACCTCATATACAATCTTTGACACACTCGAGCCAGTGTCTCTCAGCATCGGCGAGCCTGGAGTACAGTGCCGGACCGGTCAAGTCTGTCGTGTCTTGTTCGATTTCTTCTTCCCCGTCGCTGATATGACATAGCTTCTGGATCTCGTTGTCGGCATGCACAAGGTGCCCGAGCCCTTACTCCTGCGCTGCGGCGCATCAGCTTAGCGAACGGAACAAAGATGGTCATCGCAGAGTCAACCTACCTCCCCCAAGATCAAATATTGATTCTTCGAAACTTGACGACAAAGGAGTGTGTGCGCTGAGAAGCCATTGCCCTAAACCGTAATTCATCCACGGTCCTAACATTGCCGTTTTAGGCTTTGGCGAAGTCATTTTGTCGCGCATCTGCTGGTCGACGTCGTCATTTATTAGCATGAGTGACACGTCAAATATTTCCAAGGGAGTGTGGGCAGGGCACAGATTCGATATCATGACGGTTGCGAGACACAGAGACGAGATCCAGGAGGCAGGTTGGAGAGATGTCAGTGACGAAGTGGCAAGTGAGATGGTGGGCATCTGGGAGAGTGAATACGGTCCCGATTAGCGTGAGACTGCCTGCAACCACTGGTATCGGCAGTTCGGCCTTTGAAGAGCTGGCTCCGGAGACTACACATGCGAACACTATTTGGCACAAGTCCTGTTTCTTGATCTGTTGTTAGAGAGTGTAGCAACCGGGAGCCAATACTTCCAGACTACTAGTATCAGTGGATTCGAGCAGCGCCTTGCAGGCTCTCGATGCCCCAAAAGAACCTCAACTTGAGTGTGGCGAAGACCAACAGTCTCCGGACCATGACCCAGTCATATTTCGAATATCATCACCACATCTGACTCTAGCTTAAAAAATATCTGAGAAATTAAGGAGCCGAGAATGGAAGGACCAAGTGCAGCCTGATGGATTCATTTACCTGACATACGACGACGACTGGGACAACGAAGCACTCTGGATCGTTTTGAATATCATTCACGGTAGAAGTCGGCAAGTTCCACGTTTGTTTCTTTGGAAATACTGGCAAAGATTGCTATTATCTTCGACTATTTCGAACTCCATGAGGCAGTAGAGTCGTTCAGCATCCCTTGGCTTGCTGGTCGCAGCCTGTCTTTACCCACGAGATATTGCCAAGAGCTCATTCTATAAATTTGGGTTTCTTATATATTTAACGGAAAGAAAACACTTAACATATCAAAGTCCACACTCCGCGGGACCAGTAGCATTTTCCTTCCTCTCTGTTCTCTTCTCCAAGGGGTTTAGGGCCTCGTGAAACAATGAATAAACGGGCAGGAGGATCGACAACTTATCTGCATGCGAGCTACAGCACGTGGCATTTAATTTGTACCCTTGTCGAGTGATACCATCTGCCTTAGTGTCTGCCTGGTCAGAGAGGGGGCCAACACCTGCATATATGTTTATGATTAGCTCGGATGGATATATCAGCATTGTGTAAGCGCCCCTAAGAAAACGGGCCATATAATTAGAAACGTATTTTACTATATTGGCCGGTTAATAAACCGTTTTAACTGATTCAGGAGTACCCAATTTTAGCCGCGAAACCCCCTAAGTTCAGCCTCCCTTAAACCAACTAACCCACCTTTAGGCAAGAGCTACTCGCATCGTTATCCATCGAATTCTTCTCTATAGAGAGGAAGTAGCTTAGCGACAAGAAATCGCTTGAGCGATTACTACACAACATCACACGCATTCCTATCAGTACTCTTTAAGACAACCCACTCACCGAGTAAAGTAATATTAAACGTATATCCTAATCAGAACAACGACAGACGAAAAAGGATGAAAATATAGCCTATTTTCTACTTAGTATCTTCAGCATTTAGATAACGTTAATTTATAGTGAATACCGGTACAGTGCAACCTTTCGGCTTAAAGAGGCCATTGTAAAACACTAAGAAACTCATTAAGAACATTAGCCACAGCAAAGTGAGATCTCAACATCCATAACTCTTAGTTGATTACTAACACGTTGTGCCTTAGCTGCTCCGTAATCTCATTTAGTTGTACCATTTAGTAGGAAAAGGGGATTTATCAGCTGAAAGCACCTTTTCACACAGCTTTATTAATATTAAATAATATAATAATATTTTATTTATATATATAAGCTACTTATTTTTAAAAAAGTTTATTATAAATAAAAGTTTAAAAATAAATTTATTTCATATAATCTTTATATAAAGAAATATAAAATTATTTATATAAATTAAAATAAATTATATAAATATAAATAAGTTTAATATAAAATAATTATATATAAAGCTTTTATTTATAATTAACTATTTATTTATAATAATTTATATTTTTATTATAACTTTAAATATTATTATTAAAATACAATTTTAAATAAATAATAATTTAATTTATAATTAAAAATAATTATTTAAAATATTTATTTATATATTTTTTAAATAATAATTTATTTTTAATATGTTTTAATTATTTTAATTTATATTTTTAAAAATCAAAATTATATATTTTAAAATTAGCTTAAATAAAATTAAAAAATAATTATTAATTTCATTATTATTTTAAAATAATTTTAAAATTATTTAATTTAATATTAAATTTATTTATTATTTTAAATTATATTTTTAAAAATTATAATTACTTTTATATATTTTTATAAATAAATATTAAATTTTTATAATTTTAAAAACATTAAATTAATTATAAATATAAAATGTAAATTTATAAATTTTAATTTAAAAATTAAATTTATAATCTTAATTATTAATGGATTATTTTAAAAAAAATATATTACGCTTACGGGCTTTACTAAGTTACCCGGCACAAAGGCATTAATTTTAAAGTTAAACTTATATATTTTTAATTATAATATTTTTTATTTTATAATTAATTTTAATAATTATAAAATTATAATTTAAAGTAATAATATTTTTAATTATTAAATTTTATACTTTTTATATAATAAAACTATTAGCTGAGTTACGTATTTAAATACGTATGGGTTATTTGTGGGTGTAGTAGATTCGCATTAATTATAGAGGGGAAGGAGGCAGCGTGTGCTGCAGCCTTTGCCGTCTGGCTATGGGCTATGAATAGAGGCCCGTGATTGGCCAGCACGGGCCACTTGCACGCACCCATTTATCTACGCACATACGGCTTATTTTTATAAAAACTTTTATATATTTAATTAATTTGAATAATTAATATTATAATATTTTAATTATTTTTATTTTAAAATTAATTAATAATAAAAATTAAGTTTAATTTATAAATTTTAATGCTTTAAATATTTATTATAACGTAAGTTATTAATAAATAGCAAATATTAATAAATAATAAATTTTTATAACTTTACTTAACTTTAATTAATATTAACATTACCTTAAGGTTAATAAATAAATAAAAAGTTAATATTAATTAATATTAATTACTTTTAATTCTTTATTTTTAATTAATTTAATTAATTTAAAGTAATTAAGGGTAATTATATTAAAGTTTAAAGTAATTAACTTTTAATAAAAAGGTTTTATTTTAATGCTAATTATATCTTAAGTTTTTATATTAATCTTGCTTTAATTTACTTATTTAAATATTTAATATATTATAAATTAATAATTATTAATATATTCTTTATTTAAAAAAAATAAAATCCTTTTAATTATTTAAATAATTTAAAAATTTAAAAAATAAATAAGATAAAACCTTTATTTATAACTTAAGCTGCTAAGATCTTTTATATTTTTAAAATTATATTTTATTATAAAATAAATTAATAATGCTTTTATAAAAATTTATATATTAATATATATAAACTTAATTAAATTAAAAAGTAAATATTTATTTAATATATTATTAAGCAAAATATTTAAGGATTTTCCTTATAACTTTTTAATATAAAAAATATAGTTAACTTTTTATTAATATTATATAATATTAAATTTATTAATAAGCATTAAGCTTAATACTTTATAAATTTATAATTTACCCTTAAAATTAAATTTAATTATTTTTATAATTATTAAAAGGCTTTTTATAAAAATTTAAAAATTATTAAAAATTAATTTAAGCTACTTTATAATATAATAATTAAGTATAAAATTATAAATAATGATTTTTATAACTTTAATAAAATTAACTTTATAATAAATATAATTATTATATTAATAATAATTATATATATTAATAAGTATAAAAAAGTTAAATTAATTTAACTTAATAATTAAAAATAAGTTATAATTATTAAATATATTAATATAAAAAGTTAATATATTTTATTATTTATAATTATTTAAGGTATTTATTATTTTATAAGCTAAGTTATAAAGTTAAATTTCTTAAATAATTAAGTTATTAAATTTACTTTAAATAAATAAATAAATAATAAAATTAATTTAAAATAAATTTAATATTTTAATAAATATATTAAATAATAAATAAAGAATATATATTAAATATTAATATTAAATAATTATAAAAATTATATATTAACTAAGTTTAATTAATATTATAAAGATAATAATATTATCTTTATTAATATATTATTGCATTTTTCTTATTTATTTTAATTATTAAATATTATATTATACTTACTTTTAAAGTATATATATAATAATTAAATTAACCTTTTGATTTAAGTATTTATTAATTATATTATTAAGTTTAAATTCTTTTTTATATTTATAGCAGCTTATAATAAAATTTTTATAAAGAATAATATTAAGGTAATATTTAAAAAAGTTAAAATCTTGCCTTAAAACTTAAATTTTATTATTTTTAATCTTAATATATACTTATAAACTTTTATATAAATTCTTTTTATTTCTTTTCAATATTAAAAATTTTAAATATTATTTAATGCTTAATAAATTATTAAGTAATTAAGCTTTATTAAAGGCAAGATCTTTATTTATTAAGAAAGCTTTTTTAAATTAATTATAAAGGTTATTAATTAAATAATAAAAAGTATATAAGTAATAATATATAAACTTATTATTTTAAAAGATTAAGTTTATATTTTTAAAAATATTAATATAATACTTATTAAATATTAAAGAGCTAAAAGAATTTAAATATAGCTTAAAAAAGCACTTATTATTAAGAAACTTTAAGCTTTTATTTAAAAAAAATAAAAGGTAAAGTAATTAGCTAATAAAATAAATAATAATGCTAAGAAAGTAATTTATAATAAATTAATTAAATAATAATATAATAATTATAATAAGATTAAGCATAATATAAAAACTTATAAAAAAAATAAAAAGGGTTAAATTAATTAAATTTTAATTATATTATAATAAATCTAGCTTAATTAATATTAAATAATATAAATATATTTATTTTAATAATTTATAATAAATTATATTTTTAATAATATAATTAGCATTATTTAATATAAAATATAATTTTTTTATTAAAAGTTATTTATTTTAAACTTATATTATATTTATATTAATTACTTTAAATTAATTAAATTAATTAAAAATAAGGAATTAAAAATAATTAGCATTAATTAATATTAACTTTTTATTTATTTATTAGCCTTAAGGTAATATTAATATTAGCTAAAGTTAAGTAAAGTTACGAAAATTTACTACTTATTAATATCCGCCATTCATTGTTAAACCACGTTAATGTTATTTATAAATTTATAGTAAATTTATAATTTTATAATAAATTTATTACTTTTACGGTAAATCTATAATAAATTCATTATATAACTATTTAAGCACGGTATATTCACCATTGGTTGGATCTGATAGTATTAATTGAGTGCATTACTAGTAAAACGTGCCTAGGTATCGTGGCCCACGCGGGCTAATCTTCCTCCGTCTCCGCTATTGGTTAAGTATCTAACATTAGGATGTCAGCATCAGCATGTCAGCATCACACCGGATACCAATCCCTTCATCGCGTTCATTTCGTGGAAACCACCGCCTTGTTCTTCCTCTTTCTGATTTTGCTTCGTTCTGAATTGGAAGATGATGTTCCCCAACATCGCTTGCTTCATAGAGTCGGCGCTGACTGTTGCATCGTTTGCGACGAGGCAATCGCTGGACAGCTACAGCGATGCTCATTTCGACTACGTAATCCTAGGCGGGGGTACTGCTGGCATGGTGATTGCGAACAGACTGTCCGAGAATCCGAATAATACCGTCCTCGTCGTTGAGGCCGGTACTTTTCAATACGACAATCCCCTTGTCAAGAACACCACTGTGTTGGGCATAGCCACGAATACTGATGTCGATTGGCAATACGAGAGCGCGCCGCAGATTTATGCTGCCAACCAGACCATCGGATGGAGTGCGGGTAAAGGTCTCGGTGGCTCGAGTCTGATCAATGGGATGACATTTATCCGCCCGGCCAGCTCTCAGATAGATCTCTGGCCTTCTTTGGGTCTGGATCTCGACTGGGACAAGCTGTTCGCATATGGAAAGAAGTCCGAACGCTTCACGATTCCCCCGCCGAGCATTCAAGCCCTAGGGGGGAGATATGTTGCGGCAAACCATGGCTTCGATGGTCTTTTGGATACATGCATCAGCCAGCATATGCCCTCCAGTGATATCCATACTGTGTTCAACGATACAATGAAGAATTTGGGGATTCCCCCAATCGCGGACTTTGACGGGGGAGAGTTGAGAGGGTTTGGATGCCAGCCAGTGACTCAGGACAGTATGTTGGACGTACGAGAGGATGCCGCCAGAGCATACTATTATCCGATCCAGGATCGTGAGAACCTCCACGTCATGGTCAATACGACGGCTACTCGCATCATCTGGTCTAAGAACAATGAGGACGGGAAAGCAGTTGCCTTGGCAGCCAGCGTCGTCCGCCAGGACGGCCAGGTATCAACCATCTATGCTGATCGCGAAGTCATTCTTTCGGCGGGCGCTATCAGAAGCCCGGCAATCCTGGAGTACTCTGGTGTCGGAAACCCATCAGTGTTATCGAGATACAATATTAACACCACAATCAACTTACCGGCCGTAGGTGAGAACTTCCAGGATCAGACCGTGCTTGGTGTCACGGCCAACTTCACCAGCCGAATTGAGACGGGATTTCCCAATTTCGTCTCACATACATCATTGCAAGATCTTTTCGGCGACAACACCACGTCGGTATATAACACGGCTATAGCACAGCTCCCAGCTTATGCTGAACAAATCGCAGCGCAGAATGGAGGGGCGAGCAGCGCCAGCGTTCAACATCGTCTGCTCAAAAGCCAGTTGGATCTCCTTTACAACTCGAATACACCAACCTCGGAGGTCGTACCTGCAGGCTTGGGGAACCTGGCCGGTGTCTTCTTCTGGCCCCTGCAACCACTCAGCCGAGGAAATGTGCACATCGTCAGTGAAAATGAGACCACGTCGCCATCCATCAATCCAAACTTTTTCCAGTCGGATTTTGACGGTCTGGCTGCGGTGCAGACGGCGAGGTTTAGCCGCAGAGTGTTGACCACCGCGCCGCTGTCGGACCTTATTGATCTGGCAAGTCTCGCACCCAGCTTCGAAGAAGTTCCGGAGGATGCGGGCGATGAGTTATGGCTCAACTGGATCAAGAACTCCGCTTTCGGGCCCAATTCCCATCATCTCGGCTCGTGTGCCATGTTACCTCAGGATATGGGAGGCGTGGTGGACAACAATTTCATGGTCTACGGAACAAGTAATGTGCGTGTCGTCGATCTGAGCGTGATTCCACTTCAGGTAGCCGGCCACTCGACATCATTACTATATGCTGTCGCAGAGTGGGCCGCAACGAAGTTTACATAATTTGTAATGCGTAAATAGTTAACAGGGCTTAAACTCATGTATGAAATTGATGTCTCAAGATTTAATAGATATATTGTCGGAAAGTGCTGTGTGGCAGTCCAGGTCAGAAGCACTTATTCTGACTCCATCTATTCCATCTAACACTCTCATCTGTCCATCTCTGGCGCAGTCGCGATGATGGCTGTGACATATATGCGGCTCTCATCACGTAACTTCATCTCTACATGCTAATTCAGGTTTAAATGTTCAAGCCAACTCCTTTATCGCATCATCGAATACTTCATATGCATGCGCCTCGGCATCGAAATCGAGCAGCCATGCCTCTCGCAGAAGATGGAAACGCTTCGGATCCTTGCGAACCTCTTCCCAATCCGCCTTATGCCAGCGTTCCCGTGTACGGACACCTTGCGCCTGGGCATCTCGAACGCGATCATACCGTATCTTCTCGTACGCCTTGACGGCCTGTGTGATCTTATCCGTGCCGCTTAGCTCGAGCGTGATGGCAAGGGTCACTCCATCCTCGAGCGCTTGGCCGGCTCCTTGGATTGAGGTCGGCAGGAATGGGTGCGCGGCATCACCAATGAGCGCTATCCTGGCCTTAGGAGAAATGAAGGTCGGCAAGGTGTCACGGTAGACTAGCTTGTGGTCGATAAGTCGTCCTTCGGGGGTTGCCTTGATGATCTCCTGCACGACAGGAGACCACCCTTCCATATTGGTCAGGGCTTCCTTGACTGTACCAGGGAACTGCCAGCTTTCGCCAATATCTGCCAGGTCCTTATGAGTGTGAGCCCAGTTGAAGTCCTGTCCATCTGTTAAACACGAGCACAGGAAGGGCAGATCAGGTCCAATCCAGCCACCCATCCAGTCTCCATTACTAACTAGATGCTTGGTAATGTCGTTATTCCGCAGCCTCTCCGCGGGATACCAAGCCCTATACACCGCGTATCCAGAAGACTTGAGGTAATCCTCGAAGCCCAGTACAATCTTCCGACCGGGCGACCGGACTCCTTCAGCAGCGAATACTACGTCGGCAGTCAGACGCTCGCCGTTGGCCACGACGCCTGCCTGCTCGTCATCCTCAAAGTAGTCCGTGACTCTATGGCCCAGACGAATGTCAATACCGCGGTCTACGGCGTGATTGTATACAGCGGCATGCATTTCGCCACGATGACCACTCAACTTTGGTCCCCAATTCTCGTTCTCCCATTTGAAAGACTGCTGCGTCAAGAGCTCACCGGTCCATGCGCACATGTCAAAAACCTCAGCATGCCGAGTGATCGGCCATAAGGATTCCCAGACACCAGGCCAACGTTTGAGTAGACGAGAAGCATTGGGATCGAAACTGATAATATCGCCGACGTTTTGGAGATCTTCAATATTGCTGCTCTTCTCAAGTAGGATGACAGAGTGTCCCTTCCTGTCACATTCAATAGCAGCAGCTAGTCCACCAAAACCGGCTCCGACAATGATGACGGTAATTCCAGAGGGTGGGAGCATGGGGAATGGAGGCATATTGATGTAGCTGCAAGGATGAAACGAAATGCTTTTGGTGCTGCTGGTGCTTCGTAAAACTCGAAGTTGGAAATAATCTTACCTAGATCTTCAGACGATGTGATCCTCAACCCGGCTAAAAGCAAACGAGCTCGGCATTACCGGCTGAATGACGACGCACGACAATTTGCTATTCATCTAGAATAGTCTGTATACGGAAAATTTAACACGCCAAACCAAACTTAAAGCTTAAAAGCTGATTAACTAAGCAATTTGCTATTTATTTAAAATACTTTATAAATGAAACAAATAATATGCTAAATCAAACTTAAAACTTAAAAGCTAATTAATTAAGGAAGATAATATTATTAAGTAAAAAAGATTATTAAACTAAACTTAAAGCTTAAATGTTAATTAATTAAGTAATATAATATTATTAAGCAATAAAAACTATTAAATTAAACTTAAAGCTTAAATATTAAATAATTAAATAATATAATAAAAAGACATTATTATTATTAAATTAAGCTTAAGGACCTTAATAATTAATTAATTAATATTATAATTTATTTAATTAATTTAAGCCTTTATTATTTTATAATTTAACATTATTATAATAATTAATATAAATATACTTCTTAACCCTTTTTTAACCCTCCTTTTAAAGTTATAATTATATATTTATATATTATATATTATATATTTTATATAATTTATATATTTTATATTTAATATGTTTTATATATTTATATATTTTATATTTTATATATTATATATTTTATATATTATATATTTTACATATAATATAAATAAATAAATAAGTAAATAAATAAAGGTTAATAGCTGCTATTAATAAAATTAGTTTAAATTATATACCTTTGAATTTATGCATTACATATATATACTTATTATATGAGCATGTTATGCTTATATATATTATTTTTATGTTAATAATTTTATATATATATATATATACTTTAAAATTATACTTTTCTTTAAATTATTGCTTAATTAATTAAATTACTTAATTAATATAAATATTTTATCTTTTAAGGGGCTATAAGGGGTTAAGTACTTTATAATTATTACTTTAATAAATTAAATTTAAGTATTTAAATATAAATATGCTTAAATATTTTAAGTACTTAAATTGCTTAAATTACTTAATTAAATTATTTAATTATTAATACTTTAAAACTTTAAAGTATTTAAATACTATATTTTAATTAATTAAAAGTTTAAGTTATAATTATTAGCTTAATTATTATTATTATTATTATTATTATTATTATTATTATTATTATTATTATTATTATTATTATTATTAAAGTTTTTATTAAAGCAATTATTATAAATAATATTAAGGTTATTACTTAATATTAACTAATTATCCTTTTTTTAAGTTATAATTATTTTTATAAAAGGTATAATAATTATTATTTTAAGTAATTTCTTTTTAATTATTTTGTTATCTTTTTAATAACTTTTAAGTATTATTTATTAAGGCTTATAATAATATTAATTATATGTTTAGCTTTTTTTAAAGCTAAACATATAATTATTATTGTTAAGATTATAGTAATAATTGCTAATATTATTAAAGTTTTAATAATAATAATAGTTTATATATATATTATAATTAATTAAATAATACAAAGGGGTATTTTTATTAATATGCTTAATGACCTTATTAAGGAGAAACGTATTAAGGAGGAAGTTACTAAGAAGGAAGTTATTATTAAGGAGGAGGCTGTTAAAAAGGAGGCTATTAAGGAGCAGGCTGTTAATAAGGAACTTATTAAGGAGGTAGCTGTTAATGAAAAGGCTGCTAAGAAGGAACTCATTAGGTAGAAAGAAGTTATGGTTAAGAAGGAGGAGGCTTTTTTATAATGATTAGCTTTTTATTTTTAATTAGCTTTAGTTATTTCTTTTTAAAAAGCTTTTATTGATGCTTATACGCGTTTAATTATAAGTAAAATATTAATATTAATAACTTATTATTAAGCTATTTAAATATAATAAGTTAATTAATATTATTATATAGTAATTAAGCTAAAGTAATAAGTATTATTATTATTAGCATATAATTACTGTTTATATAAATCTTATAATAATAAAGTATTTATTTAAGCTTTTAAAAAAGCTTTTAATTAACCTTTTAAAAGCACTTTTATATTTATTCTTTAAATATATTATTAAAGCTATTAAAAAGAGTTTTATTATTTTTATAATTATTATTAAAATATTAAGAGAAGATAAAGATCTTATTTTTATTAAAAAGAGTAAGATAAGGCATTTTATAAAGGCATAATTAATAGGTAACTTTTTGCAATTAATAATAAGTATTATTGCTATTAAGATAAATTTTATAATAGTTAATTATAAGGCAAAGGGAAAGAAAAAAGGGAAAATGTTTTTTTGCTATACTTTTAAATTAATAATTAGCTCTTAAATTATTTACTTATAAATATTAATGCTTAAAAACTATTATTACTTAATAAATTAACTTATATTAATTCTTAAAAGTATTTAATATTAAAGATTATTATTAAGGAGGAGGATATTAAAAAGGGGGAAGGAGGAAAAAAGGTAATAAGGGTATTAAGAAGAGAAAAGAAGAGGCTATATAAAAGAAAAGTTATGCTTATTAATTAAATATTAATTATTATTAAAAAGTAAAAGTTTTAAAGGTTTAATTAAGTTATTTATATAATTAAACTTATAATAAATCTTAATTACTCCTTTTAATAATTTTAATTTAATTAAATAAATAAAATAATTACATTAATTACTTATTTTTTAATATTTTAAAGTATTAAATTAAGTATATTAATTAAGTATATAAATTATTTAAAAGAAATGTTATTTATTAATACTTTAAAATATTTAAAGTACTTTGCATTTTATTAAATATTTAAAGGGTTTTTAAAAGGTTATAATCCTTAAATATATTATATAAGTGCTTTAAAGGGTATTAATTATAAATAAGGGCTTTTTTAAGGATATTGCTTATAAGTAAGGGCTTTTTATAATAATTATAAGTAAGGGCGTTAATAATTAAAAGTGCCTTATAAAGGGCTTTTAAAGGTATTATAAGGAGGGCTTTTTAATATAAACAAGTTATAAGGAAGGTTTTTAATATAAGGTTTTTAAGACCTAGCTAATTATTAATATATAGTCTTTTTAGTCCATATAAGGACGTTTTAAACGTTCCCTTATAAAACGCTTTTTATTTTAAAGAAATAAACCATTATTACTATTAATTACTTACCGTAAAACTTTATTTTAAAGCTTTATATAAAGTAAATCCTTTTAATATTAATTAATAATTATAAAATAATTATAAATTAATAAAAAAAAGAAATATTAATTATTTATTATAAAAATTTAATATATTAAGATAACCTTTTATTAATTATATATTAAACATTGATTTTAAAGCTTAATAAATAATTTATACCTTTAAAATAATAGTTTATTAAAATCTTAATTATTAAATATTTAATAAAATAAATTAATTAATTAATTATTTTAAAGTAATATAAAATTATTAAGTATTTAGCTAATTAATTTACTATTTTTAAAAAGTATTATATTATATATATAATAAAAAAATAACTTATTCATTTAAATTTAACTTTAATATTACTTAAAAACTTATTATTATATTAAAAGAAATTATTTTTTTATTTTTTCTTTTTAACTTAATTATTTCCCTTATTACTTTTATTTCTTTATTTTATATATATAAGGATTAAAAAATATACTTAAAATTAAAATATATATTAAAAGCTTTTTAAACTTTAAAGATAAATTATAAAAAAAGTTTATTTAAATTATTAAGCTAATTAAAATTTAATTTTTAACCTTATTATAATTTAATTAATTAATTAATATTAATAAAGCAATTAATAATTTAAACCTTTTAATTAATTAATTAAATTTATTTATAATATATTTATTTATATTAATATATTATAATAAGTTATTATAATTATAACTTATTTATAAAGTTTATTAATGATTTTAAAAATTATAAAATAAAAATATTTTTAAAAATTAATATAATTTTATTATAAAAAATAAAATATATTTTTAAATATAGTGAAATTTATATTGAAAAATTAACTTAAAGCATTTTATTTATATTTATAAATATAATAATATAAAAGAATGTCTTTAAATAATTAAATTATTAAAATATATAACTTGTATAATTAAATTCCTTATATATAATATATATAAAATAAAAATAATAATAAAATAGTTAAATTATATAAATAATTATTAACTTAATTTCTTAAATAATATAAAAAATTTTAAGCTTAAAATTATTAAAATAGTTTATATAAATAATTATAATATAATTATATATATATATATAAGCTTAAAGCTATAAAAACTATTATATTAATTAAACTTAAATTAAAAAATTTAATTATGCTTTAAAATAAATTAATTAAAAATAAATAATTATAATATACTTTTTTAAAAAAAGTTTTATAATAATATTATTTTATTTAATAAGTTAATTTAATGTATTTTAAAAAGAATTTAAGTATTTAATTTAATACTTTAATTAATAATAAAATATAAATTATATTTAAAAAAAATAAAGTAACTTTAATTAATTTTATAATTATTAAAATTACTTTTAATTTAATTAT